TGCGATTCTTTTTTATTCCATGACGCTTTTTAAACTGACTCAACCATCCGTGACTAATTCCATCGACTTCAACTCTTGGTTTACATGGCATATATTGTGGTATAATTCCTTCCATAAATTGACATCTGTAGAAATTTTATTGATATTTTTCAACAACTCAAACCCAACTTGTTCAATCCATAACATGTAATCACCAAAGTGCCCAAAACTGCCACTTTGTGGTGTATACTCGGAAATATCGAAATTCTTGCTGAAAAACGCTTTTTCATTTAAGCGACTGTGTGTAACATCTTCAACGTTTTTCAAGTCAAGTTGTTTTTGTTCTCCAATCAATACTAGTTTGGTCATTTTGCCAACTACCTGAGCCCATTTTTTGATTTCATCTTGGGTGAAATTGAGAAAAAATTCCATCTCCTGAATATGATTACGTTTGAGCTTAACCACACCAAGTGACTCTTTTTCAGATTCAAAACGCGCCATGATTTTTTGTTTCAGCTCTAAAATCAGAGTATCCATTCCATCGCCACTGATAAATGCTTTGAAAAAGGATTTTCCATCAATATTCTCTTGGAAAACTATACTCTGCAACATAATGTTGAACCGGTTGATTAACTTATTCACCCTAAATTTGTGGAACATTGGTGAAGTAGAGTAGTTTGTAGAATAGTTTCTCCAAAATATGTCATTCTCGAGAAACGTTGAAAATGGCCTCTTTAACTTGTTCAAGTACATCAACTGTTTTAACAAAGTGACAGATTTGACTCCCACATTTCCTTTACTGTTTTTGAATTGTATTAGCCAATCTCTGCTATTTGAGTCGTACTTTCCATTTTGTGCAAAGAGTAGTGCACCATCAGCAGCATTACCGGTACCACTACCACTACCACTACCACTACCAGTAGCATTGGGAGACGGGAAATAATTTGTCAAATAGTAATCTACCAAAAGATTTTCAATACTCTTCAATTTTTCACTATTCAATGACTTTGCCATCAGGAAGCTAAGATAATCAAACACGTTGTAACAAGTTTTATTTTCCTCATACATGAACTCGAGCCTATCATCCAATAAAATATTTTGAAGATTTTCAAGTCTATTATATTTGACATAGAGCATCAACGGTGTCAAGTTTTTCAAATTGAGGATATTGATATTGATCAAATTCTCAGTATTTGAAAGGATTCGAGTTTCTGGTATACCTTTCAAAATGACATGCAACAAGGAGTTACCAGACTTATCCACATGTTTGTCAAAATCTATTCCTTTTTTTCCATACTTTGCGTAAACAACATCAAACCCGGTCTTCACAATTTCAGTATAGTTTGGATGATCATAACATCGACAAAGACTAAACAACGGAGTGTGCGAGTTATTATCCTTGAGCTCCCAATCGATCAAATGTCCAATCTTTGAAATTAATTTGTGATTATGAAAGAGATAATGACCAACTGCTCGACCATATTTATCTCTCATATTGTAATATGCTATTTGTTCAGCTACAGTTGCATTATTGGTGATGATATTTATTAAATCATCTACAATACGTTCATCGGTTTCTTCAATTAGGCCATACATCAACAAGTTTTGGTTATTCATCACATTCATATCAAACAAAATATCATCAATAGAAAACCACTGCGGATCCGAATTCATTAACAAGTCGTATACTTTGAAATTTTTCGCTTTGATGGCAAAATTCAATGCACTCTCACAGCTGATATTCTTGCTTCGTAAATAATGACTCTCGGGAAGTTCCTTATCGGTATACTTTTCTTGGACCAGCTCAATGATTTTCCTTGATTTATCTACATCTTCATCAAAGATTGTACTCCACAAATCATAGTTTAATTGTGAGCTTTGTGCAAGCTGAACAAACCCATTTACAGTCTTCCTATCCGACAAGTGACATAGTACAGCATCTAAATTGCTCATTATATAGTTGAACTGGCCGTCATTTGCCCTATCAGATGAGCTAAAATTTTTGATATAGTAAATGTGCGCTTCTAAATTGTCTACTCTTGAGTGAGCAACAGTCATTATAAGTAATGCCATCAACGTATCAGCATCGATTATCAATTTGCTTGATTTAGTCGATTGAGACAAAATCTCAATAGTCTTGTATACAACAGCTGTTTTTGATGTCAGATTTAGAACTGATGAATCGGATAGTTTTTTAAACTCTTGTACCGCGAGGTAGATTCGCTCATGTAACTCGTTCATATGCCACGGTTCACTTACTGGCACGTCTAATTGATTCAATGACAAACACGACAATTTATCATAATCAGAAGCAGTCAAATTTTTGATTGCTTCTGGATCATAAGATTCCTTATCATCATTTGGATAGTTGTATTGGAAAATCAATTGCGACCATAGCACATCGTAAAGATTCAACTCGACATACTCGTGGACGAGTTTATTCAAGTCGATTCCCGGGTACATGCTGACTATATGGTTGATTAGATTATATGTTTGCTCACTATTAGGGTTTTCCTCCTTAACGCTATCCAGAATGATATTGAAGGCTTCATCTAGAATCTTTTGAAACTCGATTTTAATATTCTTGAGCTTTTTTCTGGAATGCATACGTAACTGGTGGAACTGGTAATTATTATGATGGAAAAGTTGATAAAATTTATCGCTCACGGCTTTTGACAATAAGGGGAATCCTCTTAGTAATTTCTCAAAAGTAATTGAGTCTAGATCATGGCTCGAGGAAGTATTTGATCTGATGGATCCATTAGACTCAGGTAATGGTGGAGATATTCGCCTTATAGGAGGCGGCGGAGGTAATCCACCAATCAACGAACTCTCAATATATATAATCATAAACTGGCACCCTTTAGGGAAATAGTCGCAAAATGATTTAAAATACAGAATCGACGCAATCTTGAGCTTCAAGCTTCGTTTGAACCCCTTACCAGTGTATATCATTCTATTTTTGATCAAGACTTGTTTATTGTTCATTGTATTGTAAATCACCAGTTGCTCCTTTGATATTGGAGTTATTGTTGAAGATACTGGAGTGCCCGTTTTGATAAGATGGGCCTTGATAAACTCTTCATTGTTATAGCATAGATCCCTCAATAAAGTCTTGGATGTTGAATTGTCAGTTGCCGGATCGTGAAACTCGTTTAATATGTGTGCAGACGGTACAACTATCGTATATTGATTATGCTTCAACTTCAATTCCTCAATAACATTTTTAAAAGGCGATTTAGTGTGATTAGGATTATTGAATATGCAGTTGAGTAATGGATTATATAAAACTGGAAGATGCAGCGACGACGATGATGACGATGATAGTACTCTTTGCTGATGTTGTACCATTACCTCATACCATTTTCTAACCCTCTGGTTTCTCCCAACTTGTAGATGAGTCGATAAACTCTATTGCAAAGACGTCAAACTCGCCCTTCTTTGAAATCAACTTCGTTATTTGGAATCGTTTGCACTACCCTTTTTTTTCCAAACAAAGAGCACCCCCAACCAACCCCCCGGCTCAGGGCGCCAAAACCCCTAGAAAGCTAGTGAGCTTTCAAAAGAGAAAGAGAGAAGAAATATCTTGCAATCAAACCCCTGGCGTTGTTTAGGGAAAAAAAGAACACTCTCTCAATGATGTTAAGGTAAGCCTAGACCGTTTGGCGATGTTAATAGAAATCCTACATTGATCACAAATGTAGATTTTGGTAGCGCACAATCAAAGAGTAAGGGTTAAGGGCAATTGATGCAAAATGATAGAGAGCTGGGAAAGTGAACTAACAAGATAAGGCTGACTGAGGTGGAGCCACTATCGAGCCACTATCGAGCAGAGCGAGATAGTGGAGCACTTGCAAATATACTTGAATTTAAACAGAATGGATAAATTAAATCGATGAAACAGAATGGATAAATTAAATCGATGAAACAGAATGGATAAATTAAACCGCTCAACTATTTTGGGCAAAATGGGTTTAGGTGAAAAGTTGAGATGGAAGTTCTTTTTTGGCTTTAGTGCGAGTACCGATAGTGTCTGTGGCAGTCACTGTGCTCCACTATCTCGCTCGGCTCGATAGCTCTTGTTGAGAAACTATTTCTTCTCCTCTTTTGATAACATCTTTACTCGTCATGCTTAAAAAAATTAACGTTGGAAACAGAGTCAAAGGCAATGCTAATGCAGGGAAGAGTCTATGTAAAGTATGCAACAAAAAAGTATCAACGTTGACCTTTGGCTCTTTAAACGCAAGAGATTTTAAAGTTTGATAAAGATACAAAGTATTGCCTCGCTCTACTTGATAGAAGAAAAGAAAAGAAATGAAAAAGAAAGTCAAGCCTGTGTCGACTTCCTCGGCCAATAAATAATGTTGCTCAACTTTGTGATTTGCGCCCTAGGGAGTTCGAATTCCTATCAGGCTTTTTTTTTATTGTTTAAATATGTATCCTGCACTATCTTGTTTGTTTTAATTAACGAATATGGTGCGTAATTCCTTTATCAACCCCAAAAAAAGATAACAAGTGTATTGAAAGGCAACAAGCATGAAAATTGGGGGAAAGCATGAAAATAGGAATAAGCATGAAAATAGGAATAAGCATGAAAATAGGAATAAACATGAAAATAGGAATAAGCACGGGATTGGGGGATTTAAAGACAACTTTCTAGAATTGTATATTGAACCCTTCTCTTTGTTTACAAGCTGAGATTAACATCAAATTTTTTCCATAATCATCTTGGGCGCTTATCTTTGTTACCAAAAAAAAAAATTACATTGATAAGGCATTCCTCCAAATTTCAAGATGTGAATAAAACTCTTTGGCTAAATCAATATTAAAGATTACTCTTTAGCGGGTAACTTGAGAACAATGTTTACCTATCAAGTCGTCTTTATTCAGTTGTCCTTTGTATATATGTGTATATATATTTAAACTGAATCGCCTATATCTTGTAGAAGTTTATGTACCTTGTTTTTCAAACTTTAGCCCTCTTCACCAACTAAAGAGTAATAAATCTGCCTTGTACAAAAAAGAAAATTCTTGAGTTAACGATGAATGTGGTAAAATCGAAAGCAGAAAGTCACTTGCAGGGCGTTCTATCTCATGTATCAGAGCTCCGGGTAATTGATCCTACGCATAATAATGGTGATGAAGATTTACTACACCAAATTGGCTATAAGCAAGAATTAAGGCGTCATTACTCTACACTTCAAGTATTTGGAATTTCATTTTCAATCATGGGATTACTTCCAAGTATTTCTTCTGTTCTTAACCAAGGTTTGGAAGCAGGTCCAGCAGGTCTCGTTTGGGGTTGGTTTATTGCAGGGTTTTTCATTACAATCGTTGGTTGTGCAATGAGTTTTCTCGGTAGTGCAATCCCTACAAGTGGTGGTCTTTACTATTATGCAAATTATTATTGTCCCGATCTCTTTAGAGTGCCATTGAGTTTCGTTATTGCATGCTCGAATAGTCTTGGGTTAATGGGTGGGTTGTGCAGTATCAGTTATGGTTTTGCAGTGGAGGTATTGTCGGCTGTAGCCATTTCGCAAGATGGCAATTTTAATATAACAAATGCAAAGTGTTATGGCATCTTTGCTGCTTGTGTTGTTTCAAATATTATCATACTGTGCTTGGCAACACAACATGCTGCTAGTTTACAAACCGCTTCTATTGTTGTCAATGTCTTTTTGGTGTTATTATTTCTAATTGCAGTGCCAGCAGGAATGGGTCATGGATTCAATTCTCGTGGCTTTATCTTTGGCAATTTTGAAAATGCTAGAGATTGGGGTACTGTATGGAGTGTCTTTATCTCATTACAGCCCGCAGTGTGGACAATCGGAAGTTTTGACTCGGTTATTCATTGTAGTGAAGAAAGTAAAAATGCTCAACGTTCTATTCCCATTGGTATATTGGGCTCAATTATCGCATGCTGGTCTCTAGGCTGGTTTATTGTGATTGTTTGTGCTGCTTGTATCAAAGACGGAAACGTCCCAAGAGTTTTAAGCTCAGATACAGGCTCAGCTATGGCTCAAATCATATATGATTCATTGGGTAAGAAATGGGCGGTTGCGTTTATGTCACTAATTGCGGTGGGACAATACCTTATGGCAATTTCAATTATGATTGCATTATCAAGGCAAATTTGGTCCTTTGCCAGAGATGATGGACTACCAATTGTTTATCGATACGTCAAGTATGTCGACCCTAAAATCAAAGTCCCTGTACGCGCCTCAATATTTGCTGGGATATTATCATTGTTTTTGGGGTTATTGGTGCTTATTAATGGAACTGCTGGATCGGGCGCTTTGTTCTCCTTGGGTATTTGTTCAAGTAGTTTGGCTTGGGCAGTGCCACTGCTTTTAATCTTGTTACCACATGGTTGGAAGAAATTCCAACCTGGTCCCTTCTATTTCGGTAAAACTTTGAGTACAGGAATATGCGCTGTTTCTGTTTGTTGGTTGTTTTTCATTATAGTATTAAACATGTTTCCCGATAATAAAAAAGTTGATAGAGACTCAATGAATTACACCGTGGTTATAAATGTTGGTGTCTGGTTTTTGTCATTGGTTTATTACTTTGCTTGGGGGTATAAAGTCTACTCTGGTCCAAAGAGTAATCTTGATGAGTCAAATAAGGACGAGTCGGAAACTGAAAGTGACGAATCGCCTATTCCGCTAATAGAATCTGTTATAGAAACAAAAGTTTAACAAGCCCAATTTGTTGTAGCAAATTGCATAGGAATGTAAAAGATAAAAAATAAAAAAATAAAAAAAAGAAGTTGCTAGGAGTATGTTTGTTGTTCACTTGCCCGACAGTATAGTACAGTGGATTTTCTCCCTCAAGGCTCGGATCAAATCTCTCCCATTGTGTTGTTTTTCAGCAACTGCTTTCCCACAATGGAAAGATTCAACATTATATTTTTGGGAAACTTTTTTCAAAATTGTAAACAACCGTTCATCAACAGTGCTTACTTTTCTCTTTTTCTGCTCTTCCTCCTCTTCAACAGCTTTTCTCTTCTTTTGCTCTTCCTCCTCCTCCTCAACAGCTTTTCTCTTCTTTTGCTCTTCCTTCTCCTCCTCCTCAACGGATTTTCTCTCCTCTTGCTTCAGTTGTAGTTCCGAATATTCATTCCAAAATATCTCATAATTATCGATACAGTCACCACATATAAATTGTGTCAAATTAGTGGATTTCTTGGAATTAATTATGGATGATATTTCATATAATGGTTTCTCGCACAAATCACAATACTTTAGCAATTTAAAACTTGGTAAATTACCAAATATAGCTTGTAAATCGTCAAGTGGGCGTGGATTGACAATGTTTGTAGAAACATGTGGATTTGAAATAAAGTCGTCGTCATTGTTGTTGTTGTAGCTGTTGTTGTTGTTGTTGCTGGTTGTGCTGTTTTCTAAAATTGGCTCATGCAAGCAAACATTATTTGTTGAAAGTATTCGTTGTTTGAAATTGGCCAAAGATTCTTGTCGTGATAGGTGATGATTTGCTAATGGTGCGGTAGTTGCGTTGGGCAATTGCAATTCATCTGCCTCTGATTTGTCCGATACATTATGTGTTGACAAATAATCCTCGACTAGTACTATAGGGTCTTCATCGTCGTATGAGTATTCGAAGCAATCCTCCTCATCATCGTCCTCCTCGTCGACATCCTCCTCTTCCTCCTCTTCCTCCTCCATCTCCAGCACCTCCTCCCCATTCATTTCTGCTTTTTCTCGAGTATCGATGCTTTTCCTTCTTTTCCCCTGTTTCCTCGATATGTCATTAGTTGCGTCGGAACACAGCTGTTGCAGCCGCCGTCGTCGTTGCTGTCGTTTTTGCTGCTTTATTGAACAAGTAGCTGAATTTTGAGATGACTGATTCAGTAGTCTCTTTAAGGGTGGTGGTGGGGGTAACGGTAGCGAAGTCAAAGTAGAGTCATCGAGTAAGTCTAATCTTGAAGGTTGGTGCTTTATTGATTTAGTTAGCCTTGTTGATGCTGCTGTAGACATAGAATCACAGAGCAAAGCAAAGAAAAGAAAAGAGAATGTGAATAAAACTGTTCCTAGAATTTGTGGGTTGGGTTAGGTCGGGTCGATAATTAGAAAAGTGTAAGTGTCAATGAGAAAATAGTGAATTGTCAATGAGAAAATAGTGAATTGTCAATGAGAAAGTAGTGAATTGTTAGATATTTGCCAACTACTTGCTGGCGTGTAAATTGCCCACTACTTGCTAACCTGTTGTGTAATTCCTTTAGAGACTTTTCAGTTTCTCAGACGCGTGCCAAAAGAAACGAAATGACAAAGATCTGTGAAGAACTGGTAAACTGGATTGGAGTGCCTTTATATACAATTGACTTTGCAAAGAGATATAGAACGAGTGTATAGGTAGTGTGTATCAGATATATATATATATATATATATATGTATAGATTATTCACATAAATAAATCTTCCACTAAGACTATACACACATATTTATTGCGTTATAGATAATAAAGTTGGGTTCCGTCAGATGGATAATTTTGTTGGTAAAAAGAAAAATACATAGAGTATCTGTTTAAAGGTAAAATATAAATAAGCCTTGGAGAAAGGAAAGCCTTTGACGAGAGAAGGAAAAGTTATATGCAGTTGAAGCTACAAACCATACTGTACCTCTCTGTACCACTACAATACCACGACATGAAAGCTGCCAACCACCCTGCTTGGTTTCAACTTAAAGTCTATCCACAATTAGAGTATATGGGTATCTAGTCTATAAGTATCTGAAAAGACCCATTTACACGCCCCTCCTACTAACACATCAAAGTTTATAAAGCAAAATGTTTGCAGAAGAAATAGACTTGCCTATAATTTTTGTGTCACTGTACACGGCCTTCAAATCTAGATCTCTTTTTTTCCAATGTTAATCTCGAAACATTTCACAGCATTCTTGACGCATAACTGAATCGTCATCCTCTTTTCTTGAACTAATTGCAGTAACTGCAGTAACTTAGCCTTATCATGTTACATTCGAGTTGCACCATTTACATTCGAGTGCACCATTGACTTACAATCGAGTTGCACCGATTTACTCACATTCAAAAGGGGTAAAGATATTTACTCGTTTATCTCAATACCCTACAAATTCTCTCTTAGGTAGACTTACTACTATCTCTTTTTGACCTTTTTTTTTTTTTGTATACTGTTACACTATCTTTTGTATCTAGTGCACTACTTCTATTGCACCTTTTTTTGGTTTTGTTTACTGTTACACCTATGCACTACTTCTATTGTACCTTTAGTTTGATACACTACTTTTTGTAATATGTGCACTCCACTATTGGCCAGAGTGAGATAGTGCAGAAAGGATGTTGCTACAAAGTGTCTCCACTATCGGGCAGAGCGAGATAGTGTCTGTCGACACTATCGATCGATAGGGGATGCTAGTATGGTGTCGATCGATAGGGATGTTAGTATGTTCCACTATCTCGCTCTGCTCGATTGTGTCGCCATAATAAACGAAACTCGCTAAAAGAGACTAAAATCTGATAACCTCTGTAAATGTAACTAAGAAAAAGCTTTAGCTTCTTGTCATTATGTATAATTAGTAAGATAATTACAACATTTCTTTTTATATTTTTTACATTTCTTGTTATCTTCTATAATAAGATATTATAATGAAGGAGAGTAACATTTGAAAATAGAGAGAGAGAAAACGCTAAGAAGTCGGGCTTCGATAAAGAGTCGGCTTTGATAAAGAGACAGCTTCAACTTGGCGCGCTTGTCTGTGCATAGAAATATGAGGTAGTAATTTCTCTACAAGGCATATTTTTAGGTATATGTATATATACGAATTATCACCATTACCCCACAAACTTTACAAAAGATAAGGGGTCACCTCCTTTTTTTTTTGTTTTACAAACAAGACTCATATATATTAGTAAAAACAAACTACTAACAATTTGTCACTATTGATTTGCCATTATATCACCTTTTTATTCCTGCGTCTGTATTTTATATCACCAATTTATTCCTGCGTCTTTTTTTCCTTAGTTCTAATACCCCGGGAATTGTTAAATCTCCATCGTTTGTGTGGTTATTTACATAGTACAAAACATCATCCATAATCTTGGTCGCTATAAGTTTATCCATTTCCAACTCTTGTATTCTCATCCTGTACATTAATTCCTCGCATAGTTCAAGCAATAGTAGAATTCTACTCTCCTTGCTTAGCACTTCACGACTTCTTTTGAATTCAATCAATTTAGTCAAATCAATTAATTGTAAATTAAAACACAACTCTAAAACAGATAAACGTGGGAAAAACATGCTTGAAGTAGCACGATTGAAAATGGATGAAACACCCAGATTCGTCAATTTGGGACAATTGTTCAATGATAAACGTGAGATATTTGGTAATGTTTGTGCGATTTGCCAAAGTATCTTATCACTGATAAAAGAGCCAGCTAATCCCAAGGTATGTAGTTTCCTGTTCTGGTTGATTAGTACATGTACCGAGTTATCAGTGATTAAATGACCTTTATTCTTTCTGCCAATGTTAACACTCCTGAGATTATGGTTTGATTTGAAAATGCTATAAAACCCAGAATCGGTGATTGACTCGCATGCTCTAAGATCGACAACTTCCAAATTATGACAATATTGTCCTACTCGATGACAAAATAAATCATCAACCGTTTTCGATCCAGTTATAACTATTTTCAAAAGCTTATCTGCCAGAGCTTGAAATATCTGTAATGGCGGATAAACTTTGGGACACATAAACAATTCAAATGTTTCCAATTGCTGAAAATCTAGCGTTGTTATGCACTTGTTGAAAACAACTTGTCTTAAATGGAGCAATTTATGTAAGTTGAAATGTTTTGGTTGTATCAAGTCATGTCTCCTGTTGGCAAGGTACATGTTAAATTGTGTTTCATTATGGAAATAGAATTTACTCAGTATTATTTCACTGGTGATTTTATTAAATAGCTTGTTGACAAGTGAACAGTTGTATAATGGGTGACGGTTTGTCGTCGTCGTCGTCATTCTCGTTCTATTCACCGAGGGTGGCAATGTATTCTCACGCATCGCCTTTATGGCTAATTCCTTTGTGCCATGAATTAATAAGGCATGGTTGTAACTCAATGGTGTCCTTCGAATTGGTGTAGGTTCATGTGGTGAAACTGTATTCTGAGCATCAACAAAGGAAATTATCTTGTAGACAATTTCGGGGATTTCAAATATAGAAACGCGTCTATTCTTTTCTGCTTTTTGCACTTTGGGGGGGTTGGCAGGGGAGACAAATTGGGTCAAGTTGGAAGACGAAACGAGCTGCTTGTGTTTGGTGCATTTGAATTGAAAATCGCTATTAGGCGTATCCAAAAATGTGAATTTGTGGGGTGTTTTCTTTATAGGTGTTGTTTCAGGCGTAGGATTCCCTTCATCATCATCAGTCAAATCAGGTAAACTTTCCAAATCTGAAGAAGATGCGGATATAAAATAATCGTTACTAGTACTACTTGTATCGATAAAACTTGGTACACAATGGCCCGTTCTTTTTCTCCTCGTTGATTTACTCCTCTTATTTGCAAACAATGCATCAAGTGAACTCGAAGAAGTTAATCTCGCTTTCTTAGCTGTATGTTTATCCTCCTCCTCCTCCTCCTTTTCCTCCTTTTCAACATCATTTAACAACAAATTCCCGATTGATAAGCTTTCATTTGTAGTGTCGTCATGTGGCAATGGACCTGTTTGGTTATAGCTCATGACTTGAAAAGTGGATCAAAATTAATTATATGTGTTATGTATTATTTAAAAAAAAAAAATGCAAAATGACTAGTAAGAATTGTAGTGTGTATATGACCTGCTATCATAAATTCTAAATTAAAGTGATTTGAAGTGAAAAATGGAACAGTATATGCCTCGATATGCAATAAATAGTGCAGAATATGCTTTAAAGATAGACTAGGGTGAGTTTTTTTTTCAATGCCAAAGCGATCAGCTAATCAACCAAGAAGGGACAACAACTAAGAATTAGCTATCAACCAAGAAGTGATGGGATACCGCACACTATAAAACGTGTTGGTTGAAAATCAATAAAAAAAAAAGAATAGGAAAAGTAGGGTGTTTGTTTCAATTGATGAGATTGAGTCAAATATATATAGATGTGCCAAAGGTCTTGATAATTGATAATAAAAAATTCTTGCGTTGTGATGTACCTAAGTAAATGAAAACCCTTTCTTGTTTTATTATCTTACTGTGGAAAAAAAAAGCCAGCTTTTACATCACCTAGTGCGATTATTTACCACGAAAACTGGTGAGGCTTGTTGTTGTTGTTGTTGTTGTTGTTGCTGTTCTGTTTTCAATTTATTTTGTAAATTGACCTTTTGGTTAAACTTTAAACCCAAAAAAAATTGCTTAAAACGGCTCGATGCTTGATATTCAACGTAACAAATTGGTTGTTATCTCACAAAAAAGAGCTCTACCAAACAACCAACCAGCCGAATTCAATTCAAATAGGATTAAATTCTTTATTTGAATACCAACAAGTTTTTTAAAGAAAAATTGTCATAATAATCTTTTACTTTGTCCCCTTCAAAGAGATTTAGTTTCTGCTTGTTTGTTTTAAATGGCTGGCAGTATAACCTCTTTTCGCACCCAAAACTTTAAATTAGTCGTGCGTAGATGGAAAAATTGTTGAAGTGTCGCAATAAATTTTTCTGGTAACTAATTCACGAACGAGCTGTTGAAATAAAAAATGCTCATCAGTATAGAAAGGGAAAAAAAAGAGCCCATTGGTACAGATTGGTACAGAAAAACGAATTTATTGGTACAGAAAAAGGTGCTGGTGAATTCTTCTTTTTTCTTACTTTTTAGTTTGTTTACGTTATATATCTTTTTGGTACTAATTTTGTCCTAATTCTTCTCCAGGTCATATTCTCAAATGTAATTCAGGGGAAGGAAGGGGTGTAATGATAAAGCAGGGAGGGGAGAGGGGAGAGGGGAGAGGGAGGGGTGGCCATGTAGCAAATAACGAGACAAGAAGAAGTGATAGAATATTTAGCATATACCAGCTTGATAAATGTACTAGGCAACGCATTTGCTGGTTTCGAAAACAGCTTGCCTTGGAAACAACCAGGACAAAACCTTTCAACGGGGAAAGGTTTCGCTCGGTTGTCTGGACAATTTAATCTCTTCATATTACGCATTCAACGTTATGATTGCAAAAGTTATCCTTTATTTTTTCAGTTGTACTGAAACAAACATTTTAATTTTAGGCACAACAGCTTATTTACTATTATTACCAGCCATAACTATAGAAAAGACGACAATTTATCTGTGCTGCACAAGTGATTGACAAATTATCTATGCTGCACAAGTGATTGACATTAGCTTGGCTAATAGCATATCGACGCCGCATTCTCAAATATCGTTTCTCTTAGTCGACAACACCCTCACCTGCATTATCGCATGTCTTAGAGTCCTTCACTACCAGCCTCATGGTAGCTGCAAGTAATCGTTTTACTTTGGTTGGTACCAATTGTTTTCTGTTCCATGTGAGCAGATGTCAAAACACAATACTGGAAGCAAACAATCAATTAGGTTGAGAGTATCCTGCAATTTGGGCATTGGTGTAGCTAGCTAAAGGTATTTTGCAATTTGGGGCAGTGTTGTTGCTAGCTGCACTGCTTCCTAGTGTTGTAGCAAGCTAGTAAGTACTGCTCCATTATCTCGCTTCGCTTGATAGTGTCACTACTCGTTCTTTTTTGCGATAATTATATATTGCTACTGTATCCTTCTTTTTTTTTTGGACTTTTTTGTTGCAAAATCACTCCAAGTTTAATCAAGACAAATAAGACACACTCTTCTTGAATAAACTAATAAGGTAAGCAAAAAATAAAATGAAATAATCAAACCCGTGTGTTTGTTTTACAAACATGTTATCGCTCTCACCTGCTACTACCCCTCCACCAATTGTTACCCTCTGATATATGCTTTATTTTCTCTTTTTAGTTTCGCTTTTCTTGGGAAAAAAATACAGGTCCCTATTGACGCCAAAAAAGGAAATAACGTTGTAAGTGCGGCTTACAAACATAATTTCCTATTCAAAGTAGGACGGAACAACTTTTAAAAAAAAAAGAAAAAGTTTCTATACATCAAACGTGTTGCTAAATAGTTCTCTTTCTCAAAATTGAAGTTTTTGACTAGAGTGAAAAAGAAGTGTCTAATTGATTGTGTGCTTAGTTAATTATGTGTTTTAATAAAATAATGCGCTTAGCTTAACATGTAGAATGCACCTGGAATGATTATGCGCTGTTACGTAAGTTAAAGAAAACGGTAGGTGAACAATTGACATCATTGTTGAATTACATATATATATATACACTTTTAATCAAAGTTAACTATGGAAAAAAAAAATACAGTTTTCCTTACAATTATGACTCACTCACACCTTTCCCATGAAGCTCCAATACGATAACAGCACTGGGAAATGATTCAATTATTATAAAGGATATAGTGTGAATTTTAAGTTGATGAGGCTATGTCACTGTTGTAATCACTCTTTCTAGAAAAACTTTCTCCTGTAACGGGTAGCACACAATTTTTCCTTTCATATATATCTATATATAATATATATATATATATATTATTTTTTATTTCATTGCCGCATTGATTATCAATGAGAAATAAAAAAGAAATTTGTTTTTCCATCGCAATTTGTTCCGAAAAAATCGTTTTGATATCTTTCTATTCTACATTCTTCCCCCCCTTATCATAAACAGAACCATTTCTTTGCAATCCGATATATACAAGTTTGACAAGGTATGCAAGGTTAGCCGTTTTTAGCAACAAACTTTAACTAGCATTTCACTCCATCTTGGTTCCTTTTTTGGTCCTTTTTTGGTCCTTTTTTGGTTCTTTTTTGGTTCTTTTTTGGTTCTTTTTTTTATTTTTGGGTTCCTATTTTGAGTTCTTTTTTTATTTTTTTATTTTTGGGTTCTTTTTTTCCGTGTATAAGAGTTCGGACTTTTAATTTTTCCAAATCTCCCATCACTTGAATCCCTTCCCTTTTATATTAAACCCCCCCTTCCATTTTATTCCCATTATTTGACTTTTTTTTTTTTTTTTTTAACTCCCTTTCATTTATCTTTCATTAGGAAAGATGTTGAAAAAGTCTTATCAGCAAACTAGTAGATCCACCTCATTATTTGAAATACGATTGAAACATCTTGACCATGATGTTTTGGTTCTCAAAGGAAATGCACATGAAGCAGGCTCTGTATTGTTATCGGGAAATATAGTCTTATCAGTTAATGAGCCGATATCGGTTAAGAAATTGACACTTCGACTTTACGCCACATTAAGACTTCGAGCTGATGCAAGTACGCCAGCAGATCTGGGAACCAACAGGAAGATTGTTAACTTTGCTAAACAAGTTTATGAGCATGTTTGGGACGCTAGTGAGTTTAGTGCATACTTTGATCATGTTTATGAGAATAGCAGCAGCAGTAACGGCAACGGCAACGGCAACGGAAATGGAAATGGAAATTTTAGAACGACACCTCCCCTATTACTGAAGAACCATTCAACTTCATCCTTAAAGAACTTACGTTCTAAAAGTGTATTGAGTTTAAGCAATTTGACCTCTTCCAGCTCGTCAACAAATCTCAAAGGGCAAACAATAGGCGCATCGACACATGTCTTGGCACAAGGCAATTATGAAATCCCGTTTAGTGCAATATTACCTGGCAGTATGCCTGAATCGGTTGAAGGTCTTCCAGGGTGCTCATGTATATACAAACTAGAAGCAATAATCGATAGAGGAAAATTCCACAGTTCAATGATTACAAAAAAACATTTGAGAGTTGTGCGTACCTTAACTACTGATGCTGTTGAACTATCAGAAACAATTGCCGTTGACAATACTTGGCCAAAAAAAGTGGAATATTCCTTAAGTTGTCCTACAAGAGCTTTGGCGATAGGAAGTGGCACCCCAATCAGCATAATGCTTGTTCCGTTGCTAAAGGGATTGACACTTGGTGATATCAAGATACAATTAGTTGAGTTTTATTCATACGTGGGTAGTATCCCACCTACACATAATGGTGAAAGAATAATTGCTACCAAAAAGATCAAGAAGAAGGATCCAAGCGAACTTGATTTTGATAAATGGGAAATGGAAGTTTTTTTGAGAATACCAGCCAGTTTATCGAAATGCTGTCAGGATATCGATTCGAAACATGTTCAAGTAAGGCACAAGTTAAAATTCAATATTGGGTTGATTAATCCTGATGGTCATGTTTCCGAATTGAGAGCTTCTTTACCTATACAATTGTTCATTTCCCCATTTGTTACAGTCACCTCGAAACAGGACAGCGAATCTTTGGAAAATGAAAGCAACGATGATGCAGAAGATTTATTGTTCACAAGTGATTCCTTTGAACAATTGAATGCTTTGGAGCAACAAATAGATAATAACAGAGGAAGCAACAACAGTTCATACACTTCTTTGACTGGGTTGATTGCTCCACCGTTATATGAAAGACACATATACGACCGGTTGTGGAATGATGTATCCTTTATTGAGACACCTATGTCTTCAGGTGCAACTACGCCGAGAAACAGGCAAAGCGGAATCGGTGATTATGGACAGATATCAATGCAACCTTTGGACTCCTTGGTATTGAGTGAAAACTTGAGGCAATTGAGTCTACAAAGACAGGGACAAGAGGTTGAGCCTCGCAATCCTCAGGGCCATGTTAAATTTGATCTTGATGATGAAGATGCTCAATCTGAGCAACTCAACAGCAACAACAACAACAACAACAATAATAATAATAATAATAATAATAATAATAATAGCAATTACAGTGATTATTTTGCAAGATCTCCCGGATTACAAAGAAATCACAGTTTTTTACATAACCACCTTGCAGTAACACCACCAGTTCACCTATCTAGAGCTAATTCAGATGCCAACATATTGAGTAGTGATGAAATGTCAAGAGTTCCTTCCTATAGTCAAGCTATAAAAAGTGAAGTAAGAGATGATCTATCTCCTGCATATGAACCGCCATCTTCCGACTCAGGCATCAGTTTAAACGAAGTAGATCGAAGTTTGACCAACCAAACACAGCTGCAACCACGTCGTACTAACTTACGTGGACTTACTCCATTGATGTTGTCATCTACCTCATTATCGAGATCATCCTCACAGGGGTCATCCCCCGGAAATTCACGAAACGTATCGTCATCCAATTTGGCGGCTTTATTGTCATCATCTCGAAAATCTCCAAATGCGTTAAATGCCGGTTATCATACTCCTACTATAAGTAGAGTCAATCCCAGTATGAGTCTAACACCGACAAGCGGTGCCGGAGCTAGCACGCACCCTTCGGATCTGTTATCGACAAGTCCCATACATCTACCGGTACCAGGACATGATCAAAGTGTTGCACGATTGTCAAGTAGTGCAACTGATCGATCAGCTAATATACCTTCTCGTACAAGCTCAAGTTTGAGTTTGCATAACTTGTCATTTACAGGAAAAAAGAAAGATAAGAAATAGAGCATAGTTTAACTTTTTGTCATAGAGTGTTAATAATAGATAATAGAGTCCCTCTAAGTTCTAGCAGATTGTAGAATTGAACTCCATGATGGTGATAAATATGTCTTCTGCAGCAACAATCTTTCCAATCAGCAAATCTCAGAACAGCTCATTGGAAAAAAAAAATAAATAAATTGATCAGATAATCTGTGCAAGATCATACGTCTTTATTGAATAACGGGAGATAAGCCAAGTTACGTTACTAGAAAAGATGTTAAAGACACGAGCTCTGTTGGTTATAGGCAGGATGTTCTCTTATGGACATGCATCTCAACCATCGGCACCACCATCGTCATATTTCTCTAGTCCAAGCGACGTGCCTCAGACCTTTGGCGGATATAATAACAATAGCAATAACAATAACAGCAGCAGCAGCAGCAACAGCAACAACAACAACAACAACAACAGCAACAATAGCAACAACAGTAGCAATAGTAACAACGGATATCGACAACAACTTCCGCAACAACAACTCTCACCTTATTACCTACATTCAACAACAAACTCTACACCCTTTCAATCGAGTTCGTCTTCACAATCTCAAACACACGAAGGGTCATTACGAGAAATAACGGGACTTCTAGCCATGTTTGCTCTAGCTTACATAGCTATTGACAATTACACAGAACGAATGAAACTAGAAAAACTTCATTCAGATACAACAGCAATCAATTTAAAAGCGTTGCAAGTGCAGCAATTAAATTATCAAAAAGAGCGCAAAAAGAGAGATTTGGCTATTTTACAAGAGCGAAGAGAGTTGGCGAAACGTAGTTTCAAGATGGGATTGCATATAGCCATGTTGAGGAAACAATTGATCGATGCAGGATTAGATCCTGTGAGTATGGATCAGGCCGTGGCAGAGTTTGAAAAAAGTGTTAAGGCCGATAACTCTATAAAGAATGTTACTGGACAATATCTTTGGCTAGATGACAAGTCAGGTATGTATACAAGGAGAGCGACTTTGAATTAGCCAAGTTGACAGTTGGCAGTTGAAAATAAGTGTGTGTGTGTGTGTGTGTGTGTGTGTGTGGGCGGAGGTGATAACTCGCGATATTTTCCGATTACTAACCCAAGATTTGTAGATTATAAACAGCACTTACCAGATTCAGTGGAATATGATAAAGCAAGGAAACTGGATTGAAGAAATGGAAAAAAAAGAGGGAGAATAAAGGGTGTATTAAATAGACTCGACTTTATGAAACAATTGTACAATCTTTTGAACCATCTTTGAGCCACCTTTGAACCATTTTTGAACCATTTTTGAACCATTTTTTAGACCATCTATTAAACCATCTTTTAAAGTTGGTAATACAAAGGTCGTGTGTATTGTCACACAACGATTCAAATTTTTCAGTCTTCATCCCAAATCATTTTTTTTTCACTTTAACTTTTCTTTCTTCTTCTTCTTCTTCTTCTTCTTCATCAATGTCTTTAATTAATTGGCGCCCATTAGAGTCACGGTCTATATGATGTATATAACTTTCTACATATTGACTATTTATTGCCATGTTGTAATTTATTTTCGTGCTCGGGTAAAAGCCATAGATTATATTTATATGTTTTTACCAGCCTTTGTTTGTCGTGTTTATCCTTTAATGGGTTTACTACGCGGTTCTAAACATACATTTTCCCATCGCTTTGTCCGTTTTTTTTCCCCCCCAGCAAGGAATGTTCTGGAATGGAGAGCGACCGATGATGGTGATGACTTAGGTTTCACCCATTTCTATGTTGTATCAAATCAGCATCGATTTGTCCCAATGATCTCTGTTTTAGTTTTAGTTGTAACAATTTAAACTTTGGACAACAAACACTCCTTGCTTCTATTCCGTTTGTTTCGTAGAATTCCTTACAACACTGATATAACTCATCGATATACTTTGAACATTTGGACTCGTTATAGCCATTTCGTTGTAAACAGTCCTGAATTGCACAGGCTCTATCCTGACAAGCTTCAGACGACTCTGGCATTTTTAATTGATGTAGTTTTTTCCCTTGCTGAGTCAAATGTCAGATTGGTTTTATAATTTATCGGAAAAAGGAAAAGGAGAAGGAGAAGGAGAAAAAGAAGGAGAAGGAGAAGAAAAAGGAGAAGGAGAGGTGACAGAAAGGAGACTTTTAGTTGATTCAAATTTCTCCTTTTTTTTCTTTTGCTATCTCAGTACAAATTGAACTTGTTAATAATATTGAGTTAATTAGTTACACAATTTTTTTCCAGTTATAAGTCATCTATTCAACAGTTGATTTATCCAAGTCTGTATGATAATCATCTTCGTCGTATTCGCTTGGTTCGCGTATAACCAAAGGTATGAACTCCTTCTTTGCCTCTGCTTTTTCCATCTTAAATTTGTTACTAAAAAATATCAAACTTGCTAGGAACAAAGATACTAACAAAGTAATCAACCCCCATCTAGATAAGTACCATCTCAAGCTCTCTATCTCTGATCTAATTGCAGAATCCAACTCTGTTGTAATCTTGTGGTTGGTTTCCTGGATCCGTAGAAACAATTTCTTGACATTTAAGGTGTTGGTAGATTTTTCTTCATGTATCGCAACTTGTGAATCATTCTTAAGCATTATACAATCGTTATTTAATTCGTCCGATATGATATGGAAATCCCGCTCCAAGATGTTCACCAACGTGATTAATTCATTTATGTGCTGCTCTCGACTCCTCGTTATATCAACTCTTATCTCTTGCTTGGCACTTTCAAACAAATACTGTTCATTTTCCAACTCAAAATTTTGCGCATAAATAGTGGATAGTTTTGATAACTTTGAATTTAGTTGGAATATAAGTAATTGAATAATTGAATCACATTGCGAGTCTGTAAATCCAGCCTCTTTTAGCTTGGAAAACACCGAATACGTGTCAAGGTACGGCTCTAAGTTGTCGAATATCTCAGTTAAAAACTCATCCTTGCGAGACCCCTCAGGTATGATTTTTGCTTCACCCAATTTAACACCATCGTTGAGCTCGCTGTTGATGACACTTGAACGTGGAGCCGTGTTACCGTCAAGCTGTTGCAGTTGCAGTTGCAGTTGCAGTTGCAGTTGCTCAGGAGACATGGCTTGTTTGCTCAACTTGCTATCTCCACCATCTTGCAGGAGTAGACGTGTCTTGTCCTTGTTAACTTCTTGAAAGTGTCTCCAATTGGATGAAAAGTGTCTCTTACATTTGATTTGCTTATACTTTGAGTAACAGCTTCTGAACAGAGGACTGTTAAAAGACTTGAGATAATTTAGAGAGTATCTCACTTGGTTATAATGCGCTCGCACTAAGTAGTGGTTCATGGTAGGTGTACTTAAGGTGGAAAAAAAAGAAAGAAAAAATAAATAAAAGGATTGAACTGGTTGTGCTATGGTTATAGGACTTTTTTTTTTTTGTATTTTCAATACTAAACGGTGGAGGGCTTATGCCCAATATCTCAGTACTGGAAAAGACCGAAACCCTTGAGTAGCTCTCCTTTTATTCAACAGTTCTTTCACCCAAAAAAGCGTAGTAACTGAAATAGGGCGTGAGGCAAAACAAAAAAAAAAAAAAAAAAAATAAAAAAAAAAAAAAAAATAAAAAAAAAAAAAAAAAAAAAAAAAAAAAAAAAAAAANAAAAAAAAAAAAAAAAAAAAAAAAAAAAAAAAAAAAAAAAAAAAAAAAAAAAAAAAAAAAAAAAAAAAAAAAAAAAAAAAAAAAAAAAAAAAAAAAAAAAAAAAAAAAAATTAAAATAAAACGAATCAATATTTTTGCAACTTTATTTTTAGTGAGTGAGTTGCTCTTAAACTGCAAAAACCCTCATATCATCAGCACCAGCACCCTTGCTCAGCTATTCTTGCTAACCAATATCATGTTCATCTTCATCTGAGTCATTTTTTTTCGGAAACTTGAATGGCTGCTCTAAAGAATAATGGTAGAGTGCTCTGGAGAAGAATGAAAATCCAAATCTAAGGTGCGAAAAATAAACTACCGCCATATTTTGAACATTTGCAGTTTTCTCAATACATGCATATCCTTCGAGTTGATTTCTAGTGTGGGACATGTTCATACAGCCAACTACTAAATCTGGTATAGGTGGGAACTCTTCGCTAAAGATTTCGCTTTCTGGCGTCAAGGTGTCTGCTTTGGTCATTAAAGCTTGAAAATTCACTGTTCTTGTACTCTGGTCACAAAGATAGACAACCAATGTTCTTTGGTCTAAATAACCTGAGATTATCTCTTCGGCAATATTTTCTTGATCTCTGCCGTCTCTTGCGGAGTTTACTTCATCATCAGTCACTGTATAACGCTCTTTTGTAAACTTATTGACCAAGGTGATCTTTGGCATTACAGATTTGAATTTTCTCAATTCTTCTGGGTTGCAAGTATTGGCCATAGCAACTAGCTCAACCAAAATCGCATTCTTCATCGAATTGGTAAAATCCTCGTTTTCTTTCCAGCAATTACCCAGTTTCTCGTAGATTGTCAACTCAGTAATAGTTGGAACCAAACAGCACCATGTAATAAATCTACCAATTTCTCTCAACAACCTTACTCTTTCAGCAGCAATATGGGACTTGCACTGGGTAAAATACTCGTTTCTAATGGCTATGACATATTGCACATCTTTCTTTTCTGGGATAACGATTGTCCTATCTGAATCCAAGTATGGTTGCGGAATCTTAGGTGGCGGCTTTAACATAGGGGGCGCACAGTGTAACACTAAACAAATGGAGTCGGGGGTATTAGTTTTTGGTATATACTCTAAACATTTGTTAAGGCCAACCGGCGTGTCTCCTCCGGGACGAAAGGTTTTCCATAACAAACTTGGGATTTTGAATATTACTTCCCAATTTGAAACGAAATCGTTTGCAAGGTCAAAAATAAAGTTGCGTTCTCTTTCCTTTTTATGATGCAACAATTGGTACTTGTAATCTAGGGTGAATATACCTAATAGCTCGAAAAAGTTGGTGATAAACTCATGTATATTGTACAACCTCATATAAAGAAATATAGCAATGGTCAAAACAACTCTAAAGCAGTGGATTCTGAACAAGTCCCATGTAGTGTAGTTGTCTTTGGACGAGTCTAATGCATTTGGGAAGGCACTAGAAAATAAACCTAAACTCGTAGCTGGTAAGCCATTAAATTCATGAGTCCTAGTGGTGCTGTCATAGACAACTATTTCATCAAGTTTTCGTGAAAGCATCTTGTTCGCTGCTCTTTTTATGTGCTTCTCTCTTTATGGGTCTATGGTTGCAACAGGTATATATGAAATTAGCCAATATTGCACCAAGAAGGGAAACGAAAAAAAAAGGTGTTGCAAAACTCTTAAACTATAAATACTATTGAGGATGGCAAGGTTTTAGAATACAATCTATTATCTTTAATGAAGAGATGTGTGAGGGAAAAAATATAAAAGGGTAGGAGGCTATCGAGGGGAGCGATGGCACTTGGTGTCGGTGGCAGCTAGTGTCGGTGGCAGCTAGTGTCGGTGGCAGCTAGTGTCGGTGGCACTTAGTGTGCTCCACTATCTCGCTCCGCTCGATAGTATTGAATATCAATTTCTTCTGTTGTACTGCTGTCCTTATCCTCATCTTCTTGTTGTTCAACTTTGATTGTATACGAATTGCTGTTTTTCCCCTCTATGGCTGCTTTATTTTCACTTGGTATTATTAATTCCAAATCATCTTCTCCAACAAATCTTGCCTTTATTTGATCAAACTTGATTAATTCATCAAATTGGAAATGCTTCTCAAAATGGATTTCTCTATTTTTGTACTCATTTATTAAGGTCTCTGCATCTTCTTGAACTTCCTCGTCATCATCAGATGCTTCTGCCCGAAGCAAATCGTCTCTCAATTCATCTTCACTTTCCTCATCCTCATCCTCTTCTTCTTCTTCAAACCCGGACCATTCAAGCTCAGCAGTATCATCTGCATCACTTCCAACTTGGTAGTCTTCATCTGATTCTTCATTATAGTCCTCCTCGTTCTCTAAAATTTCGCGCGCAATTTTGTCACGCTTTGCTTTTGCAACCCTGGCGCCTTCTTTGAGAACTTCTATTAAAGAGTCTTCATCTCCCGAATACTCTTCTTCTGAAACATTTTCCACGTCTCCTTCTTCGAAATCGGCATCTTCTTCATCTTCTTCATCCATTAGTGAATACTCTGCGAATTCAGCAGGGGTCAACTCTATCAAGCAGCCATCATCTTCGTCATCAGTTTCTGCAGAATCATTAAAATTCATCGTTCCCTTTATAACAATCTCATTTTCATTCTTTAAATATTCAATTTTCAATTCTTCTTTTACCAATGATGGAAATCTGACATTCAACTTGTATGTATTTGGGTCAATTTTTTCCAAATTATAATCAGCACTGTTTGCTACGTCGTCGGTTAAATCAATGACCGAAAATTCGTCTTCTTCTTCATCTTCATCTTCATCTTCATCTTCATCTTCATCACCCCCACAAATTAACGCATTCTCATAAATAGCAACCTCTTCATCACTATCACTAGAAAACTCATCTTCCTCACTATCAATTTCAATAAATTCTGGCTCTGAACCCAAGTCTGAATCTTCATCTGAATCATATTCGTCCAAACTAACCAAGTCAGCCTCAAAATCTTGTCTAATAGCTTCAAGTAACAACTGTTCAGCAGCCTTTGGACTGACAATTATCTCCTCCTCCTCCTCCTCTTCATCATCAGACTCTTCTGATTCACTGGAGTTACTTGATGATTCAGAGTCGCTGGAATCACTTGATGAGCTGCTAGAGTCATTTTCGGAGTCGGCACGGATAAGACGCACCAATATTTGAGCATCATCTTCGGAGGAAGAAGTATCGTCATCATCATCATTATCCCCAGAGCTTGATTCAGATTCACTGTCACTTGTTGCATCTTGGATACCATAAAATTCAACAATCTCATCATTTAAATCGTGAATTTCTGAATCTACAGTCAAAAAGTCCAACAAGTCATCGCCAACAACAGCCTCAGCAATGTACTCATTTCCATCGGAGTCAATAATAATCTCGTTGACATCAGAGAGATTTTCTTCTTCTTCTTCTTCAACTGGTTCAAGCTGGAATTCGTAAACTTCCTCATCTTCATTACTCGATGCACTTTCACTTGAACTATCGTCCAGCTCGTCCTCCTCCTTTTCGTCGTCGTCGTAATAAACACCATGTGGATCTTCTTCATACTCCATTTCAGTCTCATCGCTTTCTTCAACATCACTATCTGGCTCTTCCACATAAGCATAACGTCTAGATGGCTGCTTATGATAGTACTTTCTATAGCGTTTCTCATGTGGTTTTTTTGCTTTTGAATGTACTTGAGAGTTACCACGTTGGGCTCTACCAACGTGTAACCCTTTTCTACCGTACCTATGACTGTTTGACCTATGAGACATTGATGGTTTAACTACTGAAAAATTTCCAAATCCAAGAAAAAAACAGAGAACCTATATCCACCAATATATATATATATATATATATATATATATACATTTCTTTTTCTAATTAGAAGCTTCTCTACATTTAAATTTTTTAAAGTTTTTCGATGAGATGATGTGGCTCAGCTTCCTAATCGGTAAATTACCACCAGTAAAAGATGCATAACGTAACACAAAAAGAAAAGAAGGAAAAAGAAAATTAATCCTAACACTATCGAGCAAAGCGAGATAGTGTTGTAACAAGCTACAAAGTGCTCACTATCGAGCAACACTATCGAGCAGAGCGAGATTGTGTTGTAACAATCTATAAAGTGCTCACTATCGAGCAGAGCGAGATAGTGTTGTAATAGGCTACACTGTGCTCACTATCGAGCAGAGCAAGATAGTGTTGTAACAAGCTGCCAAGTGCTGCTCCACTATCGAGTAGAGCGAGTTAGTATTGTAACAAGCTACAAACTGTTGGTGGTAGCCAGTGTGCTCCACTATCTCGCTCTGCTCGATAGTGTCGCTCGATAGTGTCGCTCGATAGTGTGTCAAACTTTTATTGCTTTTATACAATAAAATATTTTCAGGTAGCGTTGCAAAATGTGCATGCTACCAGGTAATATATATATTTCCCCACTAAGCATATGATACTCCAAAAGATGGACAGTTCCCATACTACCCAACTCTTTCATAACACTTGTTCATTATTTCTCCATTCAACTAAAATCCGTGTGTGCGTATTCAGTGTTGCCATTAAATGGATACTGAACCAAATTACTATTCCAAATGCCTGAATTTATCAATCATTTAAGGGCAACCTTTGAGCCGACAGATTGCGAGCTCTTGACTACGACGCCAACATCAAAATTGTTGGTCGACCACCCCATCTTGGCATCTGCATTATCCCAAATCTTCCCATATTTGTTACTAGTTGATAGCATATTAGAGACTATTACGTGGACTAATGACGATTATTATCGTAATTTCTTGATCATGACCCTATATTCTTGCATTATTGTGTATTGGGATCTTGTATCGCATGCAATTCTCCCACTACTCGCGGTGACGTTGTTTTCATTTATTGTATGGCTGATAAGCTCAGTAATCTATGACTCAAAGTACAACGAGAAACCAACCATAGAAGAGGTATTATATACTTTGCACAACATAACAGTAAGAACTGAGATGATTTTTAGACCAATCAAAAAGTTCCCATTCACAGTTAAGAATTACACGAGGCTATTTATTGTAAGTATCCTCTTGACCCCAGTGCATTGGGTATTGGTAAAGACGATACTACCACCACAAAGATATATCTGGTTTGCTGGTCTTTTCATATTTTCATTCAACAGTCCATATTCATTTGCTATGAGGCAACTTTTGTGGAGATCGTTGTACTTGAGACTTGCAATTGTGTATATCACAGGGGTAGATTTCAAGATAACCAAACCGCAGTATCAAGAAGTATCAATGACGCAAAGCTCCTCCGCCAGTGACTATGACGATTCCAACACTTCCTCTTCTACACCATTGTTGTCAAATTTCAAGATTGTGAGAAAAAAAATGATTTCTCCAACACAGTTGAAGCAAACAGTGTTATTTGAAGTCTTGGAAAATGAGAGAAGGTGGTTGGGTATAGGATGGTCTTCCTTATTGTACCCGAGCGAGCGTCAGAATTTCTGCTACCAAAATACACTTCAAGCAGCACCAGATATAACTATCAATGCAAACAATTTCCCCTTCCCCATGTTCGAGAATGACGTTTATTCCTATCAATGGGAATGGGCAGAGGACAGGTGGCATTTGGATTTGGAGTTCAACAAATGCAAAGCAAAGGATGGATGGGTATACTACAATAACAACTGGGAGTGTCCACGTTATTGCGACGGGTTCAGCAAATATACAAGATCAAGAAAATGGGTGAGAAAAGCGTACCTAGTGATCGATAAGCGTGGAACCGTATATGATGAATGAGTCTAATATATATCTACAGGTATGGTTGGTTTTTTTTTTTTTCTTTTTTTTCTTTTCTTTATAGCTATGTAAGGAGCACATACGTCTTCTTTCCTCGGTACAAAACTTTATTGTGTTTAAGACTCGTGAGAGCTAAATGAATAGAAAAAATTAAAGAGAAAAAAATGAAATGGAAAAAGAGAGAAGAAGCATTGAAAAAAAAAAAAAATTATTCAATCGCTTTTATTCAGTCACTTCATTTTAACTGGTTTTTTTTTTTGACCCATGGCATCTGATCAAAGTTAGCAGAAGAACTTAAAAAATGAGTTCGACTTCGAATTTACAATACGACGAGATACCGAAGAAATATATTGATCCTAGTACCCCAAAAGATAAAGGCGAAGGGTCAAGAGTTAATGGTAAGGACTGGAAAATCAAGAAAGATGCATTTAGAGTTAAAGCAATAGGTGTAACTAAGAAGAAGAGAAATGCCTTCAAAGAAAGAGAATTAATGAGGCTACAGGAGCAGCAATATAAAGAGCGGTTGAATGAGTTGAAGACTGAGAAGGAAACAGCTAAGAAACAGAAGTTGGATGATTTGAAACGTAGGAGAGAAATTAAGGCCGAAAAAGAAAGGTATGAAAAGATTGCAGCAAGGATGCATGCAAAGAAAGTAGAGAGATTGAAGAAAAGAGAGAAAAGGAACAAGATGTTGAAAGAACGTTGATGATATGATGACTAGTACCCAATTCTTTTTTTTTTTTTTTTTTTTTTCTCTTCTCCTAGTTGCTGACAAGTTGGTATGACGACGATGACGATAAGACCTTATTTTCAATACTTTTCAACTATGGTCCCCAATAATAGCCTATCATACATTTTAGTGACGACCCGAGTTCACCATCACTAGTGAGAGGGGGTTATGGGCTTTACCAATCATCCTACTTGTGTGCAATCACATTTTCTACCACATTTTCCTCCCTCATCCCAAAATTATATTATTTAGACTTTTTTTTCTTTTTGTTGTTCTTGATAATTTTTTTGCAATGACATCCATGCATCAACTGATAAGAAAAAGTTACCCGGACAAGACAAAGAAGTATAAATAGGAGCTCAATTTCCTGCAAATTTCAATTTTTAAGAAAGGAAATTTTTTTTTTTGGTATTGCTTGCACGCCTAAAAGGAAAATAAAGAGAAATTTTCGCGAGTCTGCATATTAGCGTTTATATTACCCATAAGCGCCCAAAGCCTACTTCCAATATTAGTTTATTTGCGAAGGGATTTTGCAGCAACTTTTTTATAGGTGTTTGATTAATTATACACATCAAATTTACATAGACCGATTGGATTTCAAATTAAAATAAGCAGAAACTCCAGTCATCAAGCTACTTTTTTCTTCTTTTTTTTTTTCTTCTCCCCCCCACAAACCAACCCTTGTATTATAATTTTAAGAACTTGAGTTCTTTGACACTTTGGGATACATTCAGTTGTTCATCTCAAGAAAAAAAAGGAAAAATACAACCTCCCCCCTTTATTTTGCATACATTATTAGCTTTTATACAAAGTCCGAATAAATATTCATGGATTCCTTAAAATTACCAACGACAGCCGCTCAGGCCAAAGCATTTACTGCGCCAAACTCGATATTGTTCCCCAAAGGTATAGATTCCAATTCCGACGAATTTAAAGAATCCGAAGCCAACGTATTGGCATCAGCATCAGCAGCATCAGCATCAGCATCAGCGGTAAAGAAAGAGCAAAGCTTGGATATTATCGAGCCAAAGCAAGATGATGATGACGGAGCTACTTCTGGTATTGTGCCCACTTTGCAGAATATAGTGGCAACGGTGAATTTGGACTGTCGGTTGGATCTCAAAACAATTGCCTTGCATGCACGTAACGCCGAATACAATCCAAAACGTTTTGCCGCTGTGATTATGAGGATCAGAGACCCAAAGACAACGGCTTTGATTTTTGCCAGTGGTAAAATGGTGGTTACTGGTGCCAAATCAGAAGACGATTCGAAATTAGCATCGAGGAAATATGCAAGGATTATTCAAAAATTGGGGTTCAATGCCAAGTTTACCGATTTCAAGATACAAAATATTGTTGGGTCATGTGATGTTAAGTTCCCAATAAGATTAGAGGGTTTAGCCTTCTCTCACGGTACTTTCTCGTCTTATGAACCTGAATTGTTTCCTGGTTTGATTTATAGAATGGTTAAACCAAAAATTGTGCTTTTGATTTTTGTCTCTGGGAAAATTGTTTTGACGGGTGCAAAGCAAAGAGAGGAAATCTATGCTGCTTTCGAAGCCATATACCCGGTCTTGAGTGAATTCCGAAAGTCATAAAATGTGGTTTTCTTTTTTGTTGCAGTTAGACCCGTAGTTAATGGAGGGAAAAGATGTATAGACCAACTTCTATTATGCATTAATTTGTGATTCTACAATACAAAAAGAAAAACAAAAAAAAAAAACAAAAAGAAAAAAGTTATTGTAGCAATTAGAGTGGAGTTTTCTTTCCTTCTATTTTTTCTTTTTCTTCTTTTTTTATTCTTAGGAAAAAAATTTACTTATTGGTTTCTGACTAGAAGATTTTGTGGCTTTCCTACTAGTGTAGGTCAAGACTCTAGGCTTTTTCAATTTCGGGTATGCTTCATCTGGCGTTGATGGTTTTGTGCTTGTTGAGCGTTCATTTTCCGACTCTGTAGAACTCTCTGATTTTCCAAAAAACAGGGAAATATCTTTGCTCTTGTTCAATCTATAATGGTTTTTTGCTTCAAAAGGTAGCTTCTCTGATGTTAATGTAGTAGTCAAAGATGATGATGATGATGATGATGATAGTTTGTTTTCTTCTTCATCATCCAACAAATCGAAATCAGTGAAAACAGGACAATGGTCACTCCCCAATATAAACGGCCAAATATCAGCTTTTGAAATTTTTTTCATCATTTCATAAGAGCTACAAAGAACCAAATCAATCCTTGATCCAAAATTAATCTGTCTCGAGCTAGTGAGGGTATTCCATACGGTGTACATATTCTTTCTCCTACCTTGAATGTACCTAGTGGTGTCGTACAAAAACTGATTATTGTTTTGCATTTCCTCCATACCTTGCCATAATGATCTAATAACATATTTGTTCATCAACTCTCTCGATTGCCTTGAAGTTTTAAACTTGCAGCATTCTTCGTAATTTTGTACTTCAAACTGATGCCCATCAAGTGCGTCAGTTATCAATTTTCCAACTAGCCTGTCCTTAATACCTTCTGCGCTATCTATTAGATCTAAACTCACATTTATATCACCCATCAATATTACATCTTTTTTACATTGAAACTTTAAATAGTGACATCGTTCTAGCAAGCATTGTAGAAACTTGAGTCTGTAGTTTTCACCTTCTTCTGTACCGAGTGAATTTGCTGGGCAATATACTGCAAAAACGACGCAATTATTGTCAAGTTCCACAACAACACATCTTCCTTGACTGTCCAATTCTAGTCCTTCCTCTTTTGAAATGCGCGGATAACCTCCTATCGAATCAAAATCCGGGTGGTTTTGATATACGTTACCGTTTCTGTCGCTTAACCAGCCAGTTATACCCTCTTCTGCACGCTTGATAGTCAACCATTTTGCTTGTGCTGGTGTTTTGGGAATCCTTACAAACAAACCCACGCCACTATACCCCTTTTTAGTAGTGGGAAGACTAATAAAAGAGCGAAAATCTTGGAGATGCCCAATATTTCTCAAGGAGCTCATAGTTTGCTCAGTTAGTTTCAACTCTTGTAAAGTAATCACGTCTGCCTGTAGCAGGTTGAACATTGCATTAAAATCATTCTTGAACTTGTTCCAAGGGTGGTAATTGAAGATTGTCTTGACACCATTGACATTAAATGTTACGAATCTTAATGAATTCTTATTCTTTTGAGCGATTTTAGTAAATGGCTCGAGGGATAGTATTTCTTCCATAGAAATATTCATGAAAATGAGGCAATGCGTGCCCCATCTCGCTTGCCTGGAAAATTGCAAAAGATTTCGCCGTTATTTTTTTTTTCCGTTTCCCATGACACTAGCTACACTTCATAGCTTGTGTTTAAAGAATTGTAAACACATTCAATTCTATGCTCAGTCAAGCATTTATCTGAAATTCAACAAAACCAATAAGAGTGGTAGATCAGGAGAGTGGTAGATTAGTAGTGCTAAATTAGTAGTAAAATAGTAGTAAAATAGTAGTAAAATAGTAGTAAAATAGTAGTGCTAAATTAGTAAGAGTGCTAGTTCAACATGTTACCCTTTTTCCCCCCCAATGATTTTTGCAATCGTATGGATAGGAGTCATATAAGTGACAGCTAATGTTGCTCCACTATCTCGCTTTGCTCGATAGTGTCTATCGTACAAGAGTCGCATTACAACAATGTCACAAGCATCTGTTTCGAGAATAGATTTAAACCACTACCCGAAAAGGACTAATCAATGGTGTTGTTTCATTTCACGTTCCAAGTCCATACTGACTAAAATTAGAGTTTGAGTTAGTTAGACAAAACCACTTTTTCTTGCACTTGAATCGCACCATATTCACTCTCTCATTGCCTGATAATATCTTTCACAAGGGGTATAGGGGTTAGTTGCATACATGTTTCTTTAGTTCCACCACCTTACATGTTTCTTTAGTTCCACCACCTTACATGTTTCTTTAGCTCCACCACCCTACATTCTTTTAGTTGCACCACCCTACATTCTTTTAGTTGCACCACCCTACTTTTTTTTTTAGTTCCACCACCCTACATGTTTCTTTTAGTTCCACCACTCTTTCTTTCTACATGTTTTTTTTTAGTTATACCCCTTCTTTTCTATCTTTTAAGGTTATTCCTATTATTTCTTAATCTACAGTTATCTGACAAACTCAACTCATATTTGTTTATTTACATCTAGAGAAAAAATCTTAAACTATCAGGTCTCTCACCAACAAAAATGCTTGGTATACAAAAAATATCCATCAAATTTGTGTGTATACTATGTCGCAGTTTTATTTTTAAAAATCTACATTGCTCTACGATTTCAGATATAGTTTGTATAGTTTGTATACTCTGTACGTTTCCTTTGCAGTTTTTTTTTGCTTGTTTGTACAATCAGATCGAGGTTAGTCAGCATTAAGGTTAGATTGATAAGCAGAGTCAACTCATATTCATACCAGGCTCGCCTCTCCTCGCCTCACTCACTTAGACAAAACTCAGTCACTATAGGTATAGGTACAACTATCTATAGCCATGTTAGTCCAAACGCGTCTCATTTCTTTAACGAGTGAAAAAAACAACCATTAAACATCCATACACACATAGTTCCATAAGAAAAAAAAAATACACACAACCTATTCCATCAACGAGCAAAATCGAATCTTACAACATTGAGAAGAAATTTACTCTTGCATATTAATCCCAGAAAAAAAAAACGACGTGCCTATTCTAAAATTAGACCAACATTTATCTCTCTTTCTTGTTGTCAAGCATCCCCAACTAACTCAAGAAAATTGACAGTAATACGACACGACACGCCCCCTCCTAAAGCGGAATCGGAACCCAAAGCCCAAAGCCCAAAGCCCAAATCCCAAAGCCCCAAGCCCCAAGCCAAAATTTCAAAAGCCAAACCCCTACCACTTTTGATTCAAGACTATAAGCGAAAAAATTAACCTTTTTTTTAGGAATTTGTCACTACTTTTTCTTTTCTTTTTTTTTTTTCTTCACATATACTTCAAGTTGGATACAAAGTAGGTTGATAAAACCCAGTGTTTCTTTCGGTTTACCATGATAGAACCAGAGTCCTTTATTGCGAACTCACCATATAGTCAAACGCATGGCAATTCCTTGGACAAGTTCAACATTACAAATACTACTAGCGAGTTGCTAAAATTTCAGTTACAAGAACAGCATAGAACATCACTAGCAAAAGCTCAGAATTTAGACAAGGAAGAAAGCGATATTCTCAACTATGGCACCAATATTTTCCATAACTCGTTCAACGGCCATTTACAAGAAAGAATAGAATGCGGCTCAATATCGATCCATTCTCTATCGAGCTTGTCGTCATCAGGCACACCTTCAAATGGCGACGAGCTCGTCTACAATGAAGACGAGCGAGAAGAGGAAAAAGAGGAAAAACAAGAAGCTTTAGAAGCTGTATTGCAACGGCAATCAAAGAATCCAAACTACTTGAATTTGAAGATTTTGATGGAGAACTCAATTTTTGATGCAAGTTTGATAGGCAAAAATGCAATCATGCCCTTGCACAACTTGGAACAAGTCAAACTGACTATTTCCGACAAGACAGATTTGCAGCACTATTTGTTGTCGAAAATTTTCCTAACACTGCAGTTTATTAATCAAGTGACAAATGAAGATTCAGATTTGTCAGTCTTGTCTCGAGCAGTGAAGATTATGCAGTCGTTGCTGCAGCAAGCGATGCAAAATAACAAGGAACTAGATGCTTTGAAACAGAAATTGAATGAACATAATATGTCGTGTTTGCTTTTGGGCTATATAGACGACGTCAAGCGAAACCAAACCATGGATCCACAAGAGCTACTAATGGGTGGTAATGGTAGTAATGGCATTGACATTGGAATGGGGAATGGCAGTGGCGCCCCCCCTTCTATTACCACAGGGTCACCTACTCGGATGCAGGCATCAAGCGCCTTACCTTCACCAATGAAAGCGAATCAGAGCCACGTCAAGATTTTTGACTCATTATTCTCGTACATTGCAAGCGTGGCTGCACAACGTGGTGTCTCTCTTCCGTCACCGGAAGCCAACTTAGAATCAGTTCAAATGAAAATAGAGTGGCTTCAACAGTGTCTTGACAAATTACTTGAAAGCTCTCCTGCTAGCAGCACTTATACAACATCTGGGGAAACAAATACTACTAAAAAAGATGGCATTTTTGACGAGGGTTCGTCGTTGCCTGTACAAACCAAAACGGCATTGAAAGCGTTATCAGAGTACAAAACTGCCTTGACTGATCTTCGGTTTTCATATCAATACCTAGCTAAAGAATACGAGTTGTCAAGAGCAACGTCATCAAAAACAATACAAGAGTACCGGAAGAAGCTAGAAAAATTGAAAAATGAGACTAATTTTGGAACGGAAAGTAATAGTGTTTCTTTTTCGAGTAATCGCCGATATACTTCACTGTCAATGTTATCGTCAGCTTCAATTGATGATAAGGACAAAGAGATCTCTAAGCTTCGGAAAGAATTAAACTTGTTGAAAGTCGACAGTTTTGGATCTCAGCAAAACAACCTCAAAGTCAAGTCTCCATCTCAAAACGATTTTACCAAAAATGTGTCTCCAGTAACCGGATGGTCTCTAGGTGTACTGCCAACCGAAAGTGAAAATGGAACAGTAAGCGAGAACAACGGGGATGTGACAATCGCAACTTCCCCAACAAGTACTCAACAAACGCCACAACTGAGCGGTGTAAGTAATGCTTTGTTGAAAAAGGAGTTTAAAAAGATTATAAGCGAAATGCAAGATCAATACGAATTAGAGTTGACTGAAGAAAGATTGAAAAGAAAGAAACTTGAAGATGAATTGAGTCGTTTAAGAGATGTAACATGATGTATTTACTAATGTATAGATAAAAGTTTTTGTTATTCACTTTGTTACTTTTGTATAAAGCTGGATTAAAGAATATAGCTGGATTAAATAATATAGAGAGAGATTTTTTTTTTTTTTTGTTTACTTTTATTTTTCATTTTTTTTCGTTTCTAAAGACGCGTTTGATTTCTTTTCCCATTCTTCACCTATTGACAGAGCTTTTTCCTTCTATTGACAGAGCTTTTTCTTTTCTATTGTAGTAGGATGCAAAGAGACGAGTAATACACATTCTGTGGAATGACTAGGAGGAAAAATGTGAGGCAATTGAGTGGTGGTGGTGGTAAATTTGTAGCTGTGAATATAGAGGAGGAGAAGACTGATTTTAAAACAGAAGAGCCAAGGTTAAAACGACAAAAGACGGCTTCTTTGTATAAGCCATTAGAACAAAGCGACGCTCGACTAGGAGAGCCATCATCTACCAAAAACCAATCACAGGTGCAATTAAAGATTTTGTACTTTATACAGCAATCTAACAGGTTCATCCATGCAGCACATAAGCAACTTCACACCGAAACATACTTTCAATTTGTGAAAGCGGCGATTAGAAGTTTGCGTATTATACTCAAGAAATACGAGAGAGATATGACCTCTAAACAAAGGGTGGCTGTTTACTATCAATTAGGAAAAGTCTATCTTGAGGAGACAGAGAATCGAGACAAGGCCGAATTGTATGTGACTATTGCTTCAAGGATTTGCCATGAGGAATTCTTTGTTAAAGAAGGTTTTTTTTGTGACTTAGTTTTGGCTAAAATTATGGAAAAGTCTAGCATACAGTATCTTTTAAGCGACTTGTCAACCAAAATCAGCCAATATCAAGAGAAAGGATATAATGTCTTTGCCGATTGTTTGGCTTTGACACGTATCAACTACTTGCTCGCAAGCGATTACTCGTTAGCCTTGGTTAGTTTACAAAGTTTACTAAAAAGTAGCACCTTACACCCTACAATTCGAACAATTGCAACCGTTTACTTGTGCGGATTGTTGATCCACAGAGGTGACCCTTCCAAAGGATTATCAATCCTTAAAAATATTGATCGATACTCAATTCCATCCCAGCCGTTTCAGGCGTACTACTTATTACTCAAACTATCAGCCAATCTAACTTTGAATAGGATCGCCGAGACCAAACACGTTGTCGCAGAGCTATATACACTCAAGGGTGACTGTGTAAGAACTTACTGGAGTCAGTGGCTGACAACTGGCAATATAGAAATATTCATGAAATGCGAAACTAAGAATAATAATGCAGAAGAATTCAATCTCATTCTACCATGGTTATCGCAAACTGATTTTTTCATCATTACCTTTCTTTTGAACGGTATAACTTATTTAGGTGACAAGAGAGAAATGTCCAAAAACTTTTTTGAAAAGGCTTTAAGGCAAGTAGAAAAGTCAAAGGAAGAAGTAAAGAAAAATCATTCAGGAAACTTTTCGCTTTCCAACGTTAAGGAGCGACTAATCAAGTTGAAATATTATAAATATATGATTCAGTTTTATCTCCAGTATCATGCATTTATTATAGATAATTTCAAAGTCCCATATATAGATGAGTTTATGGCGGCCAACAATGAGTGCTTTCTGAAGACCAAACACACTTGTTTCAGGACGCATTACCCATACATAAACTATATGTTTGCCCTTTACTATCATCGTAAAGGTGATCTCCAAGCTGCCAAATTTTATTACTTAAAGGTGCGGAATATAACTTCCGACTTTGAAGAAGGAAAAGAAGAAATAGAACAAAAAGAAGAAAATGATGTTTGTTCTTTGTTGCAACAAATGTCCTGGGGAGTTGGTTGTGATTCGTATAAGCCCAGGGGAAAATTCAGTGAGTTATACGTTTACTCTAGTTTGCATCTAGTGGCATTGTTGGACTATGAGGTGAAGGAATTGATGCACTGTGGTACTGATATATCCAAAGAATTGTTTACAAAAACGAGTCAGTTGAGGAACACCATTGGCGAAGAGTTGAAGAGTTTGGTAACGAGCAATAAAGGGAGTAGTGATCTTTTCCAAACCAATTTTTTGAATGAGAACACTCTTTTGAAACTCACTATGAATACCATCTTGAATACTTCACAGGGCATAGATGTTAAAATTGATCAAAATATCTTGAGAGAGCATTTATATTTTGTTGAGGAGAAAACTGTGTTTTATCTCATATGTTTCTTGTTTTCACTTGAATTGTCAATCCAAGCAGGTGTGTCTGGAGAACAGGAAGAAATCTTACAGAAAGCCTTAAATAACTTGCCATTTTCCAAAAGCGAGATATTGGTAAACGGAGGATCTTCCGTACAGCAGGTTTCAACTACAGAACCGGCTGATAGCTGTCGAGTATTTCTCCTACGCGATTTACACAAAATTTTTGTCGAAAAAGCTGAATATGGTAAAGCGGATATGTATCAACTACTGCTGGCTAGACTTTCAAAATTGTTGAGTTATCGGTACCAGTTTTTAGCTAATAACGTTGTAAACGATTTTTAATCTAATGCAGCTGATCATTATAGAGAAACTCTAACAATTGCTAGTTCTTTTGCTCTTTTTCTTTTCCTTTTTTTTTTTTTTTTCTTATTAGATAATGTACAAATATTCACTTTTGAAACCTACTTACTCCTTCTTTGACTTTTTCTTTTCGCTCTTAATATCATCATCATCATCGCCCTCGACTTTTCTCTTTTTGTCCTTTTTATCCTTTTTATCCTTTTTATCCTTCTTTTCTTTCTTTTCTTTCTTTTCTTTCTTTTCTTTCTTCTCCTTCTTCTCCTTTTTATCTACATTGGTTGTTGTACTTATATCAACTTCTTCAATTAATGCTTTCTTAGGTAATTGTGGACTAGGGGCAACTAATTTTGATTCTGGGACAGCTGGAGCAGGTGCATCATCTAGGTCTTTATACTCCTTTTTCCATGATTCTGGAGTTTCTTCATTAACTCTACCAAATTTGTCTAATTTTCCATCTGCTTTCAACTGTTTCTTCTTTTGAGCAATTGGTCCTAAACCCCATCTTCTGGGGTATGTGTCTCTTTCCATTATACACCTTTTGACCTTGGCAACAACACCATGGTCACATCCTTGTAAGTCAACAGTTGTCATTTGAGCAATACCAATAGCGATGGCTTCACCTTTAGTTGTAATTAACACGACTTCATCGTACAATTCTATACCATCTTCGTACCTTAATAAACCAGGTAACATCAATTTCGCACCATAACAAACGGAATTTACAGCAGAATCTTTAACCACAAGTCTCTTGTAACCAACTAGTAAAGTTTCCAAAGGTTGTATAATTTTTCTCAAGTACGATTCATCTCTTGTGTTATCGTATACGTATTGTGCATCTAAAACGTCATGCAATGTAACCAAGTTATCGCTCTCACTCATGGCTCCCGAACGAACACGACGCAACTCTTGCATGTGACCACCAACACCCAATAACATACCCAAATGAACACACAACGTTCTCATATATGTACCTGCTTCACAAGATGCCCAAAAGACACCGAGTCCCCTCTTGTTATCAAACTCGATCAACTTGGAATCGTAAACAGTTCTAACTCTCAATTGTCTCTTGACAGCTGAAATTAATGGGGGTCTCTGAAACAAAGCACCAGTCAAGTTTTCCAAAGTCCTATTCAACTCCTTTGGATCTTCTAGCTTATCGTGTAATCTGACAATACAAACATACTCCTTACCAGCACCTTGCTGGGATTTAACAAGTCTTGTTGCACGATCAATACATACAATCAAACATCCAGTAACTTTTGGATCCAATGTACCTGAATGCCCGGTTTTTTCAACCCTCAAAATCCTCTTTATCCAAGCAACAACTTCGTGAGAAGAAGGGTTGGATGGTTTATCCAAATTGATGACACCAGAAGAAACATACGATTTAAGATCTCTGCTATTTGGTGATGCGCCCGCAGGGATAGGCGTATAATGACCTGATCTTACAAGTAATTTGTCATAATTTTTCAACAAAAGAGGCCATTGGGACGTATCCTTTGTTGGAGCAATATTCTCCGGTTTTATTTGAAAGTCTTCTCCAGACATGTTTAAGCTGACTTTTAATGAAGAGAAGATGGGGGAATTCCGAGCTTATGCCTTTGAAAAATTGCAAAAAAATTTCGATGAGCTTTTTTTTTTTTTTTCATTGAAAAAAACATTTGGTAGCGATGTCAATGAGCTGTGTTCAAATTGGGTAATTTGTACATGAGCCGCATTCATCAATGGGGAATAAGAGAGCTGGGATAGAGTTTGAATACACTAGGTTACAAGTGGCTCAAGTAAAGAAACTTACAAAAGCTATTGTTAATGAGTGGACAACCAGAAGCAATACACTGTCTATTGTTAATGAGTGGACAACCAGAAGCAATACACTGTCTATTTTATGGTCTGGTCTGGTATTATATATAGCAACCCGGCTGACTCCAAAATGGAAGCAATAAAAGAATATAAACCAAACCATTGTGTAAAATACCTCAGTTGTTACACCACCTTTTTTTTTAATATTATGAATGATAATTTCTCTTCCTAGAAGTAATTGCCACCTCTACTGTCAAAAAGTAACCGCCACCTCTACTATTTACGACTTCTTTCCCCCTCTGGGCCAGCTATTCTCTAATCTGCATGTTCTGGTCTCAAGTCAGACCTCCTTGGAGCTTCTAATGGATGTAATTGTGCCAAATACGTAATTGCCCACATCAAGTAGCACATGGCCAATGCCAATATTACCGAGGACCTAAAAACAACAGTATTTTCCTTTGGAGCAAATACCCATGCTAGACATGAAACAGCAACTACTACTATGAGTACAAATATTACTGTGTAACTTTGATCAATAAGTTAGTAACGACATACCAAATCAGAAACCTATCGACACTATCGAGCAAAGCGAGATAGTGGAGAAAACTAGTCGACACTGACACTATCGACACTATCGAGCAAAGCGAGATAGTGGAGAAAACTAGTCGACACTGACACTATCGACACTATCGAGCAAAGCGAGATAGTGGAGAAAACTAGTCGACACTGACACTATCGACACTATCGAGCAAAGCGAGATAGTGGAGAAAACTAGTCGACACTGACACTATCGACACTATCGAGCAAAGCGAGATAGTGGAGAAAACTAGTCGACACTGACACTATCGACACTAGTCGACACTGACACTATTGGCAAATCAAAAACCTGCAAAATCAGCAAATCGGCAAGTCAAACCCATTAGCGAATTGGCAAATTGGCAAATCGGCAAGTCGGTTTGGCAATAACAAGGGAAGATCAACATACCCGCTCATGACCCAGTATTCTGTATCAAGTAACCTTGTCAAAGTAATACTTAACCGCTTACTTGATTTTTTTCTTCCTTCTTCTTTTTCTTTTTTAGAGAGAGAGAACTACACTAGTAACTATGTTTTTCTATATACCAATAGTTAACAGTTAATGTCTTTACAGCAACTACCACAGCTGGTTTCAAATTGGTTATTCAATGTGATACAACCGCTGTATATTTACAAACAGATAGTTTATAACAATGTTTATCACTTGCTACAGTTGCATTTGAAGAAGAATTTTAATTTTCGAATAAGAACCAAAGTATATACTGACGAAGAAACCGGAGAGTCTTGTTTGTTGCTCAATTTGTTCAAAACAATTTTGATAGATGAGAACATTAGTGTACCAATAGAGATTTGGATACCATTTACCTATCCCTACAGTGATTTTGAGAGACAAGGAGTGCCATTGGTGTATATTGTGCCAGATCATTCTAAGAATTGGTTCTTGAAACCTAGTAATAATGTTGATTCACAAGGAAAGTTCTACCATCCGTATCTATCGGCTTGGCATCGCGAATACACAGAATCCAACTTTCATGCTGGTGAATTGTACAACTTAAATGAGTTGGCCAATATTGTTCATCAAAGTGTATTGGCAGACCCACCAATACTTAATCGACTGCCTATATTGAGTAGTGGCGCACCGCCTCCGAAGCCAGCAAAGGTTGAATACGGAAAGAGCTCTTTCACGTTTAATAGATATCCGCAAAATGAGGGCCAGCTTTTCCCACTTGAAACAAGTGGACCATCATTACCAGAGAAACCACCAAAAATTACTTTGGCAAATCACACGTCTTCTCAATATACCGGAAACAGCAGCAGCATTAATATCGGCATTGGCAGCAGCAGCATTAACACTGGCATTGACATTGGCAGCAGCAGCATTAACACTGGCATTGACATTGGCAGCAGCAGCATTAACACTGGCATTGACATTGGCAGCAGCAGCATTAACACTGGCATTGACATTGGCAGCAACAGCAGTGGTGGTAAACAACCACCACCAATTCCATTAAAGTATCAGGCGCCGTTACCAATACCAGATCAATACACTAAAACACGACAACCACCACCTCCAGATACGCCTTCAACTCAAGTGCCCGTTGCCATGCTTCAGACCCTTACAATAAACGAACGACAGAACTTCCTGCCTCCATCTTTACCAATGCAGAAAGTTGAGCCAGTAGACCTTGTGGATAGCGATAATCCTCAGGTCTCTAGCATAAGTGCCGAACGAAAAATGGCGTTAGAGAAATTATCAGAAAGATTAAACCAATGTTTTGAAAGCGATCCTATACATCAAAGTATAGCCTTTGCCAATGAAAATGTACAAAAGGCAAATGCTTTGTATAGCCAACTAAGTCACCATTATCAACAAGCTAAAGAAAATTCGAAAAACTTGGATGGGCACATTCAGTATCTATCTACGATATTAACAAATATAACAGATTTGAATAAAGAACTAACTAAATTGAATGAACAGAATAACCATGCAGAGTCCAAAGTGGTTGTTAATTCCAAATGCGACATTCCACTTGACGAGTTGATTGTGCCTGACCTGCTCTTGGTCAAGCAATTATACGAAGTTGTTCTGGAAATAAAAGCAATTAAGGATACAATGAATTTGATATCTGGAAATTTTCACAGCTGCTCAGAAATTATTAATGATAAAAATCAAGATTTCTGTGTCAAGACAATGAGAAATTTGGGAAGAGAGTTGTTCTGGTTAGAGTTGACAAAGAATGAAATTGCAAATATAATGAAGTTGCAAACGATTTATTAGAAATGGTGTGTGCTCTAGTTTTCTCTGATCAAACGAAGAATTATTTCCAAGACTACAGTTACCCCCTCCCCTCTCTCTAGAAGCTACACACAGGGTAAGTAGAGTATGAACTCTACAAGAAATACATATACACACACACACATATATATATATATATATAAATCTATAAGATGTAGTGGGACCGATCGGGACTCTCAATAATTTATCATCTATATTTCAAGCCACACAAAGGATACAGTCAACCACACGATCCATCAAACAAAAAAAAAGAACAAATACCGGTTGTATCAAAAGTGGTATAAGTTCCGTTTCATGGCTTTATCTTCTCCATAATTAGAACCCATAATCCCATAGAAACAATAATGGATTTGAGGCAGAAACAGGAGTGTTTAAAGTATATTATTTCGTACTATAGAGATGAATGAGAATGGTGAGGAGAAGGGATAAAAGCAGTTTTTTCTTTTTTTTTCCTTCCTTTTTTTGGGACGGTAGTCTTACTAGTTACGTATATTGATTCGATATACAAACTGGCTGTTGTTTGTCAACTAGATGAAATGAAATAAAAGAAGAAGAGTTGAAAATTTTTTTGAACAACGATGAGAGATGAGCATAGATTGCATTTTCAGTATACAACCGGTAGCGCTTTCACACAGATACGACGAGTAAGATTGAGCAAGATACCCGGCAAGACAGATACTATACTGTTCACACAGGTGCCACAGTCACAAATGGCTATCATTTGATCAACATAGTACTACTTCACCTCATTGCAATCACTGGCATTTTTAAAGAGAACAAATATTAGTTACAAGTTGAAAGTAGGTGACAAATTGGTATTGTTTTTGCATCCTTATCGGCCAATAGAAGACTACCTCACCTTTCATGAATATAAAGTAAGAGTAACAATCAATTGATTATATGCTGGACCAAAAGCAAAATGCCGCCTTTTGCCAATGCCCTTGCATTGTTGTACAAGTAAACTAACTACAATTTAGAATTTTGTGCCTTGACAAATATCTATATAATCCAAGACAGTATACCTCACTCCTGAAGAAAAAAATACAAAAAACATAAAGGTTCATGCTTCCATTTCTTTTAACATCAAGGTGAAATTTTCTCACGTGACACCTGATGAGATTCGCCACAACTTTCAGATTTCAAATGCCCTTTTATTGCAAATTTAGTATGTGTTCCTTTGTGGCGTTATCTATTAATTGCCTTAAATTTTAGCAAAATGGCATATCTTCTTCTTGTCATTTGCATTTCAAATGAACCTGCATCATTAATTGCATTCCAATTTGCAACTTTGTATATTTAAGCAATTTTAGGGCAGATTTTAGTTAATGGGCTAAGCATTTCTTCATAAGCTTCTTTCTCTATCCGCCTTATTTACGATAGGCTAATCCCATTTCTAAAGTATTGCTTTTGGGAGAGTTTTTTCATGATAATTGGAATAGCAAACATTCATATATTATACATCTAATCCCCTTGCTCTTCCTCCCCCCCCCCCCTGTCGCCTTCTTACTTTCTTCAAATTCTCATTTTACCGATTCTTTTCCTTTTCAATATATACACAATATGTCGCAGTCTCATCATGAGATCACACTAGACAACCCTCACTACCATGTAAAAGACGAATTTGAACTGGTGAAATCTCAGGAACTAATAAATGATGTCAACTCATCGATAGAGGAGGCAGCTGTAGGAGAAGAATACGATAATAGAGGCTTGAAGCATGGTCTTAGAGATAGACACTTGTCGTTAATTGCCCTAGCTGGGATCATAGGACCCGGTATTGCTGTAGGAGCGGCACAGGCTTTAGCAAATGGCCCTGCAGCTATGTTGATTGGATTTGGTATCATTGGTATTATTGCCCTAATAATGATGCAATCTTTGGGTGAGCTAACCACAATGTATCCCACAGGCGGTTCTTTTTCTACTTTGGGTGCCAAATTTGTGGATTATGCATATGGTGGTGCTGTTGGATGGAATTATGTCATTGTTTGGGCATGTGTTTTGGCAAACGAGTATAATGTCACTGCGGCGATTTTTCAATTTTGGGGCCCGCAAGTACCATTGTACGGTTATATCTTAATATTCTGGGCTGCGTTTATGGCGTTTCAATTCTTGGGTGTTCGAACGTTTGGCGAGTTTGAGTTCTGGCTTGCCTTGTTTAAGATATTTGGCTTTATTGCATTTTATATTTTTTCTATTGTTTATTGTGCTGGTGGAGTCAAGGGAACCAGAGCATTTGGGTTTCATTATTGGAATGAGCCCGGTGCATTTAAAAGTGGGTTTAAATCCGTTGCTAGTTGTTTTACTTTTGCAAGTACATTTTATAGTGGTACTGAAGTTGTTGCAATTGCTGCTTCCGAGTCAAAAAACCCTAGAAGAGCAGTACCTTCAGCTATCAGGCAAACGGTTTGGAGAATCTTGATCATTTATATCGGCATTGCTATAAGTTATGGATTAACCGTTCCTTATAATGATCCCAGGTTAGGAAGAGATACCAAGACATTGAGGTCTCCAATGACTATTGCGATACAAAGAGCCGGCTGGGAAGGTGGTGCTCATTTGATCAATGCATTTATTGTTGTGATTTGTATCTCGGCTATTAACTCATCGATATATACAGGTTCAAGAGCTATGGTACATTTAGCTCACGAAGGTTGTGCGCCATTTTTTTTCAAGTGGGTAACGAAGCAAGGTGTGCCGTGGGTTGCAGTTGTGGTAATGAACTGCCTTGGCTTGATCTCATTGATGAATTATAGTACAGATGCAGCAAATGCTTACAGCTATATAGTGAATCTATCAGGTGTGGCGGTATTTATTGTATGGGGAAACGTGTGTTTCTATCACTTGAGGTTTAGAAAAGCAATGAAACTACAAGGAAGGTCACTTGATGAGTTACCATTCAAAGCATGGGGATATCCATATTTACCGATTATTGGGGTCATTTTGAATATATTCCTTGCCCTTATACAAGGCTGGCAATACTTTAAGCCATTTGATGCCGGAAATTGGGTAGATGCTTATATTTTATTACCATTTTTCTTTGTGTTGTATTTCGGATTTAAACTATGGCATAGATCGAAATGGGTTAAATTGGACGAGGTTGATTTGGATGAAGGGAGAAGAGCCGATGCCGATGCAAATGCCGATGCAAATGTCATTGCGAAACGAAAAAAAAAGTGGCTATTGTAGTAGAGACCAGTGACCCACCAACCTATTAACCAGCCAATCTTTTAATCACTTTCAATATATACTAGCACATCTTTGTTTCAATCTATAGAGGTAGAGACAATATTATACATGTGCTCTTTTTGTAAATATAATACATGTTACAACTCCTGTAAAAAGAAAAAAAAACCAAAAAAAAAAATCCATGGGGATAGATGACACAATTGTAATTCCTTCTGTCCAATTCTCTCCCTCCTCCTCCTCCTCCTCCTCCTCCTCCTCCTCTCTTCCTCCTCTTCTCCTCCTCTTCTTCTTGCTCTATCAAACCCGTGTGTTGCTGTGGCATGTTTTATCCTTTCTTTTGCTGTGGCATGTTTTATCCTGTTTTTTGCTGGGATAATGAATTTTCAGGGGGTTTGAAAAAAATTTGCACTATGTGTAAAAAAAGAAATGCCCCAAGAAATTTTTTCAGTTAGTACAAAAAGACTGAAAAATTATGGAGATAAAGAGTAAGCCCGTTAAAAGGCATTAGCTGTATTAAAATTCAACATTGTAACTGGTAAGTCATTGTTGGTAGGGGGCTCTTTAATTCCAATAGAAGCTCTGGTGATTCTACTGGCTTTTTAAGATTAGGAGGCTTTTTTTTATTATCGTAAGGTGTTACAGCCGCTCGTAGGGCCATTGGATCTCGCATAATATCTAAGCGAAGCAAGAGAAGCTTTTGTTCTCTCAGTTTAAATCGCGCATTAAATTTTCCTGTGAGGATAACCCCCTATAAGTTCAGATCTAGCGACACATAAAACAAGGGCACTATTTCACATACGTGTAACACAACAATCACTCCTACATGTACACAAAAGAGTGAAAGTGGAGAAATATATTTACAGCCACTTATTTGGATAATCAATAGTATAAAGTAGAGATGAGGTAAAAGTAGAGATGAGATATTCAAAGATACTGCTCCTGCTAATCTCTGCTAATCTCTGCTAATACTGTTTAATATAAGGTGGAGCCAACATACAGACGCAACAAAAAAAAACAAAAAAAAACCCCAACCTATCCTTTTCTACAACTCTGTAGTTTACTAGCTCAGTAGCTCTTACTAGATCGTGTAGTATTTTATCAAGAGTTAAGCTTTACCCCAGAAAATCCGTGTCTGAAAATTCTTTCATTTTCTTTTCTTTTTTTTTCTTTTTTTTTTTTCTGTCTTCTATTTCTTTGAATGCAGGGATAGCTTTCTTCCCCCGTGTTATGTATATCAATACCATCTATGGCAGGGAATAGCTGCGTAGGGAACAACTTTGTTGGGCTCAGTAGAGGTCACTTCTGCAAGATCCATGTCATTCATAATATAGCTCTGGTAAATCTTTCAGAAAAGGGTTTCATATCTGACATTGTCTGCAGTTTAAAACAGATCCTCTCACCTTCTCCATACTAAATTTCGATTTTTTGGCTTAATTGCATCGAGCCGTATTTTTCATACTTGGCTATTATATTCCTTAAGAGCGGGGGGGATGGGGGGTGGGGAAATAGGTTGAATGGCTTCTTGTAGTGATTGCTGGTACGATTTTTCTGTCTTGACAAATCCTGCCTATTGGATTTACTGAATCACCGAATTACTGGATACCGTCTGATATTACCTGCCCCTCCTCTCTCCTCGTATGCTCTAACCTATTCCCTCCCTGTGCAAAATTTTCTTTAATATACCATCCTCTAAGCTTATAAAAGGCAGTCAAATCTTGCAAGATATTTTTCAAAAATATCCTTCACTCTTTCTTATCCAAACGTTGGAGATTTCCAGTTTCTTTGTAAAAGAACTTGGGAGTTTTCTTTATGTCCTTGTTTTGCATTGTTTGAGGACAATCATAGGTGCAGATTAAATGGAATATACATTTGTCGGTGGAATGGATAACTGTAGTGAGATTATGGATGGTAACGAAATGATGGGGGGTAATGCTGGTGGTGATGATGATGATGATGAAATCATTATTGGTAATGCTGGTGGTAGCAGTGTTGTTGTTCATTGTATTGACCCGCATGGGAAAGCTGCTAGTCCAAGACACAATGGTGGTGGTGGTTCTCACGGCTTCGACTCAGGAATAACTATACAAAAGTGCCCTTTTAATTCGTGCGAAGCAGCATTAGAAACAATCGAAATGTACGGCCTTGACTCTATCCGGGTTGTACCTGAAATATTAATTAATAGCAGCAGCGGCGGCGGCGGCGGCGGTGTCAGTGGCAATGATGATGTTGTTGTTATTGATGACGATGATGACGATGAAGATGCATCAAATTCTCATCATGATTCCCACTATCTTTCCTTACCCTCGGGCAACTCATTTTATGACACAACAGGCTATCGCACTAGCCCAATTAAAAGCGTCACTCCTAATAAACTTTATTCAAACGTTGCTCTGGTTGCTCTGGTTGCTCTGGTTGCCCTGGTTGCTTTGGCTGCTCCTCACACACAAAAATGTGATATCGATTTGGTCAATAAATCAAATACCCTCGAACCCAGTCCATCAGGAAAAAGCATCACTTCATCAGCATCATCAAGAAGTTCGTCGTTCCATATTATTACATCCGCACTGCAGATTCCTATAGTTCCCACAGAGCTTCAAAATCCCCAGTTTCTTCATAAAAGTCAACACGCTGATCTGCTGACAGACTCTGATGATTCCGTGCTCAATTTTAAGTTTAACCGTATGGTACCAAAATTCAAACCGGTACAGGTAATTTCTGGCCAAGCAACACCCTTGACTGGATACCCCGAGTTTGACAAATGTGGAAGATTTTTGGACTTTGTATCTCCTTTGAAACTGGACCTCAATAAAGAAGCTTTTCCCCCAATTACATCAACTTCCAAGTCGTCGCCTATTTTGACTAGTGGTGACACATTTAATGCTCAAAAGTTCTCACAGCACTATTACAACTTAACAGATGAAAGCGTAAAAACAATTCATGATGATACTATTGTTTTCAATAGATGTGTCACACCAACATCCTCGATTTCATCCAGGGATCATCATTTACAACAGCAACTGCTACTTCAACAACAACAACAACAAGAGCAACAACAACAACAACAACAACAACAACAACAAGATCAACAACAAGAGCAACAACAAGAGCAAAGACAGAGACAGCAAATGCAACTGCAGCACATTGACTATAATGATTTGTCAAATTTTTCTATTGTCAAGATCCTTAGTCCTAAGCATAATGTCACTCCTGAAGATAACGATAACTTATCTGATACCGGCCAATATAAGATTTCTGCTCTCAATTTAAAATCCCAATCACTGCAGGATCTCAAATTCCCAGTTTTCACAATTTCAAGTCCAGCAAGAGAATCTACTCCTGAGAATTGTCCAGCAGCAAGTGATACCCAACTAAGATCACCTTTCGATAAGGGACTCACGGCTCCCAATCTTGCAAGCACTACCACCACCACCACCACTAATAACAACAACAATACTAATAACCATCTCGTATCCAAGATCAAAAGGCCATCAGGAAGACAAGCAATATTCCCACAGCATAGTATTGCAATTTTCAACAAAACGGAAAAAATAAATGATTTTAGATCAAATCTATTATCAAAATATTCTACAAGATTAATTGAATCGATTAAATTATGTGCCTCCGATTTACAATGTGAAAATCATTGCTCTCAACATTTTGATACCTATTTAGATTTGGTTGAGCACTATGAACAGTATAAAATAATGACGACGATTTTTGATCGTAGTTATAGATGTCCCGTCAAGGAATGTCCATTACATTTAATAGGGCTCAAGAATCGTGCTGAATTGAGACATCATGTGCATTATGAGCATATAAGCAATGGCTATGTCCACCAGCATTTTAAGAAATATGACCTGGAGATTAAAAGTATATTGTTTGTTTGTATTCAGCCAAATTGTGAAAAGTCCTTTTATAGAAGTGATTCATTAACTAGACATCTCAAGTTGGTTCACAAAGATGGGAAGAAGAAGAAAAGTAGAAAGAGAAGGAGAAAAGTAGAGACAATGGACAGTGATTTGGATCTTAGCTGCGAAGAAGGAGACGAAGAAGATGGAGGGGGAGGAGTGAGGGGAGGAGAAGGGGATGATGAAGAGGAAGAAGGAGAAGAAGGAGAAGGAGAAGGAGAAGAAGTTGATTTGAACGAAGACGAGGACGAGGACGAGAAATTTAATGGGGGATTTGGATCAAAGACTTGTTCAAATTCAAGTTATACTTCAAATAGAAAAGTAAGAAGAACAAAGTATTGAAAATAACGACACTATCGAACTCCTTCGAGCTAGTGAGTGTTGTAACGAGCTAGTGAGCGTTGCTCCACTATCTTGCTCTGCTCGATAGAGTAAAGAGAGAGGAGTAGGGCAAAATGATACTATTGACGAGCTTTTTGAAATGAAATGATGTTACGACGATAATGACAAAAAATATGTTTGGAGTTGCTGGCAACACCTTTACAAATGAGAGATTTTGTATATTAGATAGTAGAAGTTATGTTTATTTGAATGATCTCAGGAGGAGGAGGAGGAAGGGAGGAATGTGCTCCAAAGAACGTGCCAGTGTTCCGTACTGTTCTCCCTACAAGCCATACCATATGTTGCTGGTCCAGAGAAAAACACGTCCCATTCGACGAAATAAGAAGAAAAAAAAAATCCCAAAGAAAAAAAACCCCAATTGGTATTTTCTTTTTCTTTTCACCAGTTAGCCAAGTAAGTTCTAGATGAGCTCTAGTGAAGCGGTATGTTTGGCCTACCCCCGTCGCCAGTCCACACAAACCTGTGTGCTTTGAAATACTAACAGTAATTCTCTTTCTTTTTAGACACCGTCGCGAGATGAAGAATTTTGGGGGGGTGGGAGCGACCAGATCCAGTTTACGCCCAATAATAATAGAGAAAAATATTTCACGAAAACGGAGAAGCAGCAGGTTGATATAGAGAAAACCAGCAACCGATTTAAATACTTGCTTGGTCTCACGGGATTATTTCGACATTTCATTGAAGCCAAGGCGAATAAAGACCCATTGTTTCGGAAAATTGTTGATGATTTACATGAGCTGGAATTGAAAACACAATTGAAGAAAACCTCTGATTCTAATAGGAGAAGGAAAACTGAAAAGGAAGAAGATGCTGAGTTATTAAACGAGGAAAAACTGGGTAAACAAACATATGAATTTATTGAAAGTCCCGGGTATGTGCATGGGCAATTACGACCATACCAAGTTCAAGGATTGAATTGGTTGATTTCATTATATGAAAACAATTTGTCAGGTATATTAGCTGATGAGATGGGGTTGGGGAAAACGTTGCAAACCATATCTTTTTTGGGGTACTTGAGGTATATGCACAAAATAAATGGTCCTCATTTAGTTATTGCTCCCAAATCTACGTTGGATAATTGGTATAGAGAATTTAAACGGTGGATACCAGAGATTGATGTATGTGTTTTACAGGGTGATAAAGAAGAAAGATCCGGATTTATCAAGAACAGAATAATGACGTGTAATTTCGATGTGATTGTTGCTTCGTACGAAATTGTTATTCGAGAAAAATCCACCTTCAAGAAGTTTGATTGGGAGTATATTGTAATTGATGAAGCTCATAGAATAAAGAACGAAGAGAGTCTTTTGTCTCAAATTATTAGGATGTTTCACTCAAAAAATAGATTGTTGATTACTGGTACACCCTTACAAAATAACTTGCGTGAGTTATGGGCATTGTTGAATTTCATATTACCTGATGTATTTGCTGACAATGAGTCATTCGATGAGTGGTTTCAGAAAAATGATAATAATGAAGAAGAAGACCAAGTTATTCTGCAGCTTCATAAAGTGTTGAAGCCATTTTTATTAAGAAGAATAAAAGCAGATGTTGAAAAATCTTTATTACCTAAAAAGGAGATGAACGTTTACACCAAGATGACCCCAATGCAAAGAAATTTGTATCAAAAGATTTTGGAAAAAGATATCGATGCTGTGAATGGAGCGAATAAAAAGGAATCGAAAACAAGATTGTTGAATATTGTTATGCAATTGAGAAAATGTTGTAACCATCCATATTTATTTGAAGGGGTTGAGCCGGGTCCTCCGTATACAACAGATGAACATTTAGTTTTCAACGCACAAAAGATGATTATCTTAGATCTGTTGTTGAAAAAATTCAAAGCAGAAGGCTCAAGAGTATTGATATTTTCGCAGATGAGTAGAATGTTGGATATTTTAGAGGACTATTGCTTTTTCCGAAATTATCAATATTGTAGGATTGATGGACAAACTGAGCATACAGATAGAATCAGTGCCATTGACGAATACAACAAACCGGGGAGTGAAAAATTTGTATTTTTATTAACTACTAGAGCTGGTGGGTTGGGTATCAATTTGACGTCCGCTGATATTGTTATATTGTTTGACTCCGACTGGAACCCACAAGCAGATTTACAAGCCATGGACCGTGCGCATAGAATCGGACAAACAAAACAAGTCAAGGTATTCAGATTTATTACAGAGAATGCCATTGAAGAAAAGATTCTTGAAAGAGCAGCGCAAAAATTGAGGTTGGATCAGTTGGTAATACAGCAGGGTCGAAATACAGCAAATATCGATGGGCAACAAAGTAGTAAAGCGGCTTCAAAGAATGAGTTATTGGATATGATTCAGCATGGAGCTGCTGATGTGTTTAAGAAAGAAGACGGAGAAGGAGAAGAAGGTGGAGCAAATGGGGCTATAAAGGAATTGGATATTGAGGAGATTTTAAAGCGGTCAGAAGAAAAGACGCAAGAGCTTAATGACAAATATTCCAAATTGAATTTAAACGCTTTGCAACATTTCACGAATGATGAAAGTGTTTATGAATGGAATGGAGAAAATTTCAAGAAAAAAGAACCAACTGCCATAACTAATGTAGGACATGCATGGATAAATCCTGGGAAAAGAGAGCGTAAGGAGAATTACTCTATTGATCTGTATTACAAAGACGTATTAAATACTGGAGGAAGAACACAACCAACGATAAGCAAGTCTGGTCCTCGGCCACCAAAACAACTAAACTTGTATGATCATCAATTTTACCCTCCCAAAGTGTTGGAGTTGTATGAGTTGGAGAAAAATTATTACAGAAAACAAACGCATAACCATGCGAAATTAAAGGAAGGTGAGCCGTCTACTTTAAAAGAACGAGAATTGGAGCAAAAATTGGAACAAGAGGAAATTGATAATTCTCGTCCATTGACTGAAGAAGAACGACAATTGAAAGTAGATTTGATGAAGCAAGGATATGGTAATTGGAACAGAAAAGATTTTTACCATTTCATTCTGGTGTGTACAAAATATGGCCGCAACTCCATTCCTTTAATAGCTCGCGAGTTTGACGATAAGACTGAAGATGAAGTACGTGAATATGCCAAGGCATTTTGGAAGCATTATGAAGAAATCGATGGATATGAAAAATATGTTGGACAGATTGAACAAGGCGAGGAGAAGATCATCAAGACCAAGATTCAAAAAGAAGCACTTCGTAGGAAATTGTCACAATATCGGTACCCTTTGATGGAGTTGAAACTCAAGTATCCGCCATCTTCAAGCACGAAAAAAGTGTTTAGTGAAGAAGAAGATCGATTCCTATTAGTTCAATTGTATCGATTTGGAATAGATCTGCCTAATGTGTATGATAGAATCAAGGAAGCTATTCGAGATTCACCATTGTTTCAATTTGATTTTTTTTTGCAAAGTCGAAACTTGAATGAGATTGGAAGAAGATGTGCTACTTTATTAGGTTGCATTGTAAAAGAAATCAACCCTGAGCAGTATGTCAATAGAGTTCAACCAAATGGTAAAAGAAAGGAGACTACGCCAGATGGGCAACCGACAAAGAAACAAAGGAAAAGGTGAATGAATAGAAGAAATAAAAGAAAAGGTGAATGAATAGTAGAAATAAAAGAAAAGGTGAATGAATAGTAGAAATAAAAGAAAAGGTGAATGAATAGTAGAAATAAAAGAAAAGGTGAATGAATAGTAGAAATAAAAGAAAAGGTGAATGAATAGTAGAAATAAAAGAAAAGGTGAATGAATAGTGGATTGAAGGGACCATTTTTGTAATAATAAAGTAATGTGGTATTTTTTTTTGATTTTTGTTTTGTTTTATTTATCATGTTATTATCATTATTGTTAACAATCATTTAATATAACAGTAGTATATACACACTCAGTTGCTCCAAAAATGAGCCATAACTGCCTCTCACTCATCCCTTCTAGCCTGTATTCCTTCATTATCATTTCTCCTTTACTGCACCTTCAACTTTGTATTTTTTCTTCTTCTTCTTTGTCTAACAACTGCACAATATAATCTTCAAAATCTAAAGGAGTAACAGATGATGCAAACCTAGCAACAACATTGCCCTTTTTATCAATAACAAACTTTTCAAAATTCCATTTGATTCCCCTGAATCCAAATAATCCCGGTTTTGACGTTTTCAAAAACTCGTATAGTTCAATAGAGTCATCGCCATTGACGCGACATTTCTTCATAATAGGAAACTCAACTCCGAAATCGCGCCGGCACTGTTGTTCGATTTTTTTGGAAGTTTGAGGTTCTTGATTGCCAAATTGATTACATGGAAATGCCAAAATCTCTAATCCTCGCGTATGATACTTTGCATATAGTTGTTGTAATTCGAGATATTGCGGTGTATAACCACATAGACTTGCTACATTTACGATTATCAATACTTTATTTTTAAAAGTTTGAAAATCAATGTACTCGTTTGAGGAATTAGGAAGCTTAAAGTCGTAGATTGTTTTGGTTAGTAGTCTGTTAAGTTCTGTCATGAATAAAACGGGTGTTAATGGCGATGTTTTGTGAGTCAAATCAAACCCGTATGTTGTATATTTGTGCCTAAAAGTATTTTAGTGAGAGCAAATTGAAACGTGGACTTTGTACTTTCCTTAATAGAGATTGTAGGTAACCGTTTATTTAGACCAGGTGCTATAAGTCTTTTCCTTGATGCAGGTATCTATCAGGTTTAAGTTTGGTCCGCGACATCTCATTGGAAAAATTGGAAAATTGAGGATGAGCGACTAGACGAGTGAGACTAGGCGAGTGTGACTAGGCGAGTGTGACTAGACGCGTGAGACTAGACGAGTGAAACGAGTCTAGTCGATAGAAAAGAGTAGAGAAAGAATAGATTGAGACTAGTCGATAGAGTGAGACTAGTCGATAGAGTGTATATAGAGAGAGTAGAAACAGGCAGATAGAAAGGAGTAGATAGATAGAAAGTAGAGGGAAAAGATGGATAGAGAGTAGAGGGAAGATAAAAACTAGTTGAATAGACTAGTCTATAGAGTGCATATAGAGAGAATAGAGATATATACTATCAAGCAAAGCGAGATAGTATATGTAGAGAATAGAAATATAGAATGTAGAGAATAGAAATATAGAAAGTAGAGATATATAGAATAGTATTGTTTTCTCGCTTTGCTGGATGGTCTATAGAAAAAATAGAGATATAGACTATTGACAATAGACTATCGAGCAGAGCGAGATAGACTATGCTCGATACTCTATGCTCGATAGTCTGAGAGAGAGTAAATACAGACTATCTCGCTCTGCTTGATAGTCTAGAGAGTAAATACAGACTATCTCGCTCTGCCTGATAGTCTAGAGAGTAAATACAGACTATCTCGCTCTGCCTGATAGTCTAGAGAGTAAATACAGACTATCTCGCTCTGCCTGATAGTCTAGAGAGTAAATACAGACTATCTCGCTCTGCCTGATAGTCTAGAGAGTAAATACAGACTATCTCGCTCTGCCTGATAGTCTAGAGAGTAAATACAGACTATCTCGCTCTGCTCAATAGTTTAGAGAGTAGATACAGACTATCTCGCTCTGCTCAATAGTTTAGAGAGTAAATACAGAGTATCTCGCTCTGTTCGATAGTCTATGATAGTTTAAAATCATCCCACTTTTCGCAACCGGTAGAGTTTGGTAGCGTCACACATAGAGTTCCCATTACATTACATTGTACCCTTACGGGTATTCACGGTAATAAAGCATCAAGCAAGAAATTTAAACCCGCCATCTATAAGAAAGTTTTGCACTATAATTTACAAGCAAGTTTAATTATCAACCCCATACACTTGCTTCAACGGGATTAATTCTAAAAGAATCTTTTGTTCAATTAAAAAGAAGCAATTCTTTTTACACCACAGAAAAGAAACGCAGAAAATAAACACAGAAAATTTTTTTTTCTCTTTTAAAGGCAATAACTATAACCAATCTTTTTATTAGTTATATCAGACAGACACTAGTTAGCAGGGAGTAAACCACCAGCTATAAGGGTGTAAATACTGGACATAAGACATATTTTTATACTAAAATTTTTTTTGGCCGGGGGTTGTTCTTTTCTTTTTTTTGAGGAATCACAAGTTTTTCACTTTCTATATTCTATATTGAGGGTTGATTATCTATAGGTGATAAACTCCGTTATTAAAATTTGATAATTCGGTATGTCGTTCAAGGTCAACTGGAAGTCTTTGGAAACGGACTCGCTATCAACATGGACCAAAGAGATTTTGACAAGCGCCTTAAATTCAGGCAAACGACCTAATATACTAGCTTCTAGCATCACAATCAAAGACCTCAATTTTGGCAAAATTGCGCCGGATTTTGAAATATTGGAAATTGGAGAGTTGGATAGAGATAGGTTTAGAGGCATATTCAAGATCAATTATGCGGGAGACTTTCATTTAACTTTGCATACTCAAGTACAAGCTAATCCTTTGAATATATATTATTCCAACTCATTAGCAAAAGAAGTGTGCAACTTTTACCCACACGATGGTGGCAATACCAATGACAATGATGAGCTGAGGTTTGTTACTCCTCAATTTGTCTTATCAAATGAGCAATTTGCCATTCCTTTGGATTTGAAGCTAAGCGATATCATGATTAGCGGTATTGGCATTATTGTTTTTTCAAAATCAAAGGGATTGACCATGGTGTTTAGGAATGATCCGCTAGACTCTATCAAGGTAAGCTCAACATTTGACACTGTACACGTATTGGCTAATTTTTTGCAGAACCAAATTGAATCTCAAATTAGAGATTTGTTTAGGGAAACGTTACCCACCTTGATTCATAAATTGTCACTAAAGTACCTAAGTCTTGATAATAATATGCATAATTTGAGAAGTAAGATGGCAGCAAATGTAAATAAATCCAATAATGCCGAAGCCATCGTTTTAAATCATAATAATAACGCCAATGCCACAATGCTATCCACAAGAAACAACACCATAGAATCCAGCACTTTGACATTAAAGATGTTGGAGAATAATGAGGATTTCTCTTTAATATATTCAGCAAAAAATCTACAAAAAGTTTTACAATTGTTCAAATCTCGTGAAACCATGAGTTTACATATTCCCAAATTCAAAAATATTGTTCAAAGAACTCATTTGGACAAGTCTAACAAGAGTTATCCAAACTTGTTAAACTCGTTGGCTGTGAATAATAGTGAGTTACTGAAATATGCTTCCCGCCATCCACAAGCACACAACGGAATACCTATTGATATTCTACAAAACAATTCGTTTCAAAAGACTGATGACTTGTTGAAAGATATCTCTTCTATACAAGCAGGTGTATATTACAAGCATACTAAAGATGCACCAACAAAACCAAAAAGAAGAGTTGTTAAACTTCACAAGAGGAAGTTGAGTAAAGAATCTAGCGAAACAAGTTCAGTGACCAGCATCAGCACCAGCACCGGCACCAGCACCAGCATCAGCACCAGCTCAAGCACCAGCTCAACCTTGGTTGAGGAATCACAAGCACCAGTCAAGAATTTGAGTGAAATAACCCTAATTCCGGAACTTGTACCTATAGCACCAGCACCAGCGCCAGCACCACCCAAGACACCCAGGACACCTAAAACACTACCACCACCATCATTGGCATCAGCTATTCAACACCCAACACCGTGCAAGGCTGAACAACGGCAGCAAAAACACACATCGGCTCAAGCTTTATTACTTCAAGAATTTATGAAGTCTTGCCCTTCTCCTTCCCTTTATGATAAAGTATTAACAAATGGAGGTGGTGTCGGATTAGGAAATACTGGATATTTCAATTTCGTGCCACAAAGAACATATAGCACCTCGCCAATTTCAAGAACCAATATTGAACAGAATGAAAAGAAATCAATTAATCATATTGACTTTAACAGAATTAACGAGAAATTGAAACAGAATAGCAACAGCAACAACAGCAACAACAACAACAACAACAACAATAACAACAACAATACTTATAGCACCAATAAGAATACTATGAAAAATGAAATAGAAAACATTCCTCGATTGGCTCATCTGGATACGTTTTCTGCTACTGCTGCTGCTTATACTGGTTTATTCACTGTTCCTCCTCCTCCATATTACCAATCTTCCTAGTGGGACGGGTATTTGTGTTGGACATTTTGTCGAGCACCGTTTCCATGCTATTTATTTATTTATTTATTCTTTTTCACTTCTTTTGTCTTATGATCTTACGCTATATATAAACTGGATTTATCTATCGATTAAGAAGATACAGAGTAACTGTCAACACAAAGCTTCTTCAATGTTGGCCTTTTATTGTTGGCATATTTTCTCTTCCTGTCCCTTTTGATATTCACGTTTCATCGCGGCGGTTAATGGAACAGAAAAAAAAAAATTTTGATTCAAAAAAATCCGTTACCTTGTAGAATCAGGATAGAAGATAGAAGAGTAAGCCACTACCGGAGTAGGTAGTAGGGATAGGAGTGACTTGGTTGAGCGATTATCAGAATAGAACTAATAGGAGCCGTAAATCATTAGCATCGCTAAATAAGGACACTTGACTAAAAGACAAGGACAAGGACAAGGACATTAAAGAAGGCTCAGTTTTGTCATTAAATATGGGTTTCGGTTCGTTTGACGAGATTTGCAACAGAACAGCGCTTCCGTTATGTTCTGTAGTTGGAGCAGTAAACCAAACCTCGACTTTCCAGAAAGGCGTAGTGCCACAGTGTTACGCGCGGAGTGTTGAGTTAGCCAATACGATGATTTTTCAAATTGGTAACGCATTTGTCCATTTTGGAGGATTGATTACTTTCTTAATTATTATATTCAACGTGCGTGCTAAATACACGGCTATTGGTAGAACCGAGATGTTGAATTTTATGTACTTGCTAATTGCTTTGATTGTTAGTTCATTGATTGTTGATTGTGGAGTTGCTCCGCCTAGCTCGTCAACATATGCTTATTTTGTGGCATTGCAAATAGGTATTGCTTCCAGTTGTTGTATATGCTTGCTTTATAACGGGCTATTGTTTTTCCAGTTCTGGGAGGATGGTACTAGGAAGTCGATGTGGTTATTGAGAATCGCTTGTTTTTCATGGGGTGTCGCCAACTTCATTATTCCACTCATTACATTTAAATCATGGAACACTGCTTTGGATTTCAGAAAAACTACATTAATGTTTGTGTTTACTTATTTGATAAATGCTATAATACTAGCTACTTATGTGGTGTTACAAGTAATTCTTGTTTTTATTCTTCGGTCAAAATGGGCATTTGGGTCAATACTTCTTGGTGTGTTTTTCTTTGTTGCTGGTCAAATCTTGACCTATGTGTTTAGTGAAGGAATATGCAAAGGTGCTGCACATTATGTCGATGGCTTATTTTTTGGAAGTGTTTGTAATGTGTTTACAGTAATGATGATATACAAGTTTTGGGATCAATTAACAACTGACGATTTGGAATTCAGTGTGGCCAATGTTGAACAAGTTGTTGGTGAGTTTGGTGGTAATGGCAATAATACATTGGACGAAAAGAGTTCAAGTGTGTTTTTTTAAATTTGCAAACGGGTAAGGTAAATTGTGCAGTTTTTGTGGGATACTGGATACTAGGTATTGAAAGTCTACTAGGCATGACCTGTTGGGATCATCAGAATAGAGGCAGATATATATATATATATATATATATTGAGGATGTGGTTTCTAACTACTACTTGTGAATTACCAAATCCGTTGGTATCTGACGCTCTCTTTTTGTACATCAATAAATCAACAAAATGAAATAAATAACAGAAATGTATAAAAAAGTAAAAAATATCAATACTAAGGGAAGCCGGAGGGGGTAGTGGTATGGACGCTGGCACTAAATATTGGATACCTTTTTTAAATATGTATATATATAGATATATTATTTTCCTCGTGACTTAGTCAACTTTTTGTCTTTTATTTTGCAATTCTTCATCAGGTATGATTTCGACTTCAGCATCAATATCGTGTTCTCTATGGCCATTAGTTTGTGGCCTCATTGCTGGTGTGTTCTGCTCCTGATGAAAGTCTTTAATTATGGAGTCGACATCGTCGATATTCAATTGCCTTACATCACCCAATAATTTGATTTTCGCAGTGACTTCTTTAACTTGATCATCAGTTAAGCTTAAATTCAATTGGTCAACTCTCGATTTGATCGCATTCCAACCAGTTAACCTATTAGCAAAATGAATATACCTAGTTAATCCGAAATCACTTGGATTCAAAATTTCATAAGTTGACGGATTGGCCAAAATGGCTTTTGCGTGAATACCTGCTTTATGTGTAAATGCACAGAACCCGGTGATTGGATTATTGAAAGGGATGTTGACTTGAACAGCATCGGCAACCAAGTTTTCCAAATCTCTTAATTTGTGAAGTTTGTATTTGGACAAGACGTAATCACGGTCAGCAGTGATCATTCTTGCCATTAAAGCACCCAATGGAGTTATACCGTTTCTTTCACCAATTCCCAATACACTTACATCAATCAACTTGGCTCCGGCTTCCAACGCAGTATAAGCATTTGCAATAGCACAACCGGTATCATTGTGGAAATGACACTCGATATCACACGATACAACCGATTTCAAAGTACGCACCAACTCATAAACCTGTCTTGGATTAGCGCAGCCAACAGTATCAGCAATACCAACTCTATTGACACCTATTTTATCCACTGTACGATATATGTTTAACAAGTCAACCAAATCTGATCGAAAACTGTCCTCTGACGAAAATCGAATTTCTATTCCTTTTGATTTGACAAACTCTATAACTTCGATTGCACTCTGTGCTATATAATTCATATCTTTGCCGTGACTGTATGTTCTTAAAAATTGTGACGTACCAATAACGACATCTACTCCATCGACCCCAGTTTCAACAGCAACTCTTGCATCATCCATATGACACCTGATATGAGTCAATATCTTAGCTTTTAAACCCAATTTACAAATAGCCTCACAATCTCTTCTACTTTGTTCCGATGCCACTGGTGAAGTCAACTCAATGTAGTCAACACCAAAATCGTCCAAAGCTTTAGCAATCTCGATTTTTTTCTCAGTTGAGAAAAAGGCATTGGCAAATTGTTCACCTTCTCTCAAGGTACTTTCAATAACCTCAAATTTGTTGACGTTGGATAAGAAATCCGAAGGATTTGGTCCATAGGGATTAGATGATACTGACATTGTTTAAAAACTTGCTATAGCAGAAGAAAAGAAAAGGGGAAGAAAAAAAAAAACCAGTAACTAACAGTAACTTACAAAAATAATACTCTCAGAGAGACAAGCAACCTTATAAAGACAGTACTCTTATGATGTAATAATTGGAAGAAGGAAATAGGTTATTTGGATTGAAAAATTCGCAGTTAAATTTTTCACCCATAGTGAAAGAAAGAAAGGAAAAAAAAAAAAAAAAAAAAAAAAGAAATTAAAAAAAAAAATTATACGCTATGGAAATTTTTCATCTGATTGCCCTAGAGCAGTTGATAAGGCCAACAGGACCCAGTGTACTCGAATGCCAGTAACCAGTAGTATGGATATAGATTGTATTATGAATACCGTCATACTTATAATACAATAAAACCAATAGTGTTGTCCGTATGTATGTAGGTACTGACCTTTCTTATGATGTATTCCCTAAACAAATTTCTATCGAGTCATAGAGTATGACTCATTTCTTATCAGTAATCCATTTCAGTATAACAGAAAATAATCATCCCCACACAGAAAAGAAAAATAGTTTATCACTTGAAAACGGTAATTGTCGGAATTTAGTTTGAAATATGCGACACTAATAAGCGACACTATCGAGCGAAGCGAGATAGTGGAGCAGCACCCACTATCGAGTGACACGATCGAGCGAAGCGAGATAGTGGAGCAGCACCCACTAGTGACACTATCGAGCAGAGCTAGTCGACACTACCGAGTAGAGCGAGATGAGCAGCACCCACTAGTGACACTATCGAGTAACACTCTAGAACAATCTCTATTTTGGTAATTTTCACGTGACTTTGATATGGGACCTCGCGACACCATCTCGCTTTGCCTACTACACCGACATTAGTGACACTATTTTAGTGTTTTTTTTCGATTAACCTTTAGTAAACTCTCTATTGAGGACTGGTCCTCGTTAGTTAATAGAGATAGTGTTAGATATTGATAGTGTTAAATATTGTTAGACTAGTTTGCGACTAGTGCTAGATAGTGTTGGATAGTGTGAGACTAGTTTGAGACCAGTGTTAGATAGTATTGTCTTTGGCTCTGTACAACTAAAACCTGAGACCGATTATGAACATCGCATAGGATCCAGAATCCAGAATCCTAGATTTTAGATACTTTTCACTAGTCAGTGTGCTCCACTAGCTCGCTTCGCTCGATAGTGTCGCTCTGCTCGATAGTGACAATAATGTCAGTTTTTAAACATAAAAATTTCATAAAACACACAATCTATAAAACAGATTGATATAAACACAAAGCTGACTCTTGCAGCCAAACCCTTGCAAGTGATGTCCAGTGATATGCGTCAGTATACCACTAAGCAAAAGCTTACTTGCAAGTACTCTGCTCGATGGTGTCGGTGGCAGCTAGTATGCTCGATAGTGTCGACTCATCAGTTTTCCACAGAAATCATTTTAACAAACCTAAACATCTCATTCTTCATCCTAACCAACTCAATCTCCTTGATATTCAATTTCCCATTCATTCTGTCAATCAATTGCTTAACAATAACATTTATCTCATGATTTTTCAACCCGCTAATTGCTTCCCAATCAATCTCTACTCGACTCTCTTTTCTTCTTTTCATCTTGTTTTCTTTTAATATCGTCAACTTAAAACAACCAATAATCAATTTCTTCAACTCAAATCCCATATCATTATACTGAACAAAATTATTTGTTTGGTTAAGGTACCTTAATAGATAAATTATGTCCATATATCTAAACAAATATATGATACTTTTCAAAAACGTAGAAAGGGTACAGCGTAGTCTACTGGTCAATATGAGTAAGAATTTGTCCAAGGGTAATTCTGGTTTGCTCTTGGGCTTTCTTGATGAATCAGGCGGGAAGGTATTGAATATCTTGGTAGCCACATACTTGACAATTATTGTCATTAACTGATCACGTTGACGTTTGAATGTTTGTGGTGAAATGCTGCTGGAATCGCACAATATTTTGTGGTTATAACCAATAGCTCTAGGCTGGCTAGTCACTTTATCTCTTGTAGTTTGCTGATTTTGTTGGGAACTTGTCTCGGATGTAGACACAACTCCTCCTCCTCCTCCTCCTCCTCCTCCTCCTCCAGCTGTTGCGTGTGATAGTGGTAGTGGTCCAGGGGAGAATATGGACTCTTGCACACTTGCAATAGAAGCGGAGGTTTGATCATCTTTACCCTTTTGAGTTGTTATTTGATCAGATTCGTTATCTGATAGTAAATTTGGAATATCAATAAATTCACTAAAATCATCTTTTAAGTTTTCATTATTTTGCACTGATGTAATATCAAGTGATGAAGTTGACGTTGAAGAAAAAGATGCTGATGATGATGATGATGATGATGATGATGATGATGATGATGATGATGATGGTTCTAAACCATTTCCACTTGTTGTTAGATGCTGTTGCCTGTGACCCTGTTTTTGCGCTCCTTCTGCAGCTTCCAAATAAATAAACTGCGATATATCTTTGAAATGTTTATCAAAAACAGCGGAATTTTCAGCCAGCTTAGGATGAAAAGGAATCAGAGGGCCACTGCCATTAAGGTTACCGTGGTGCTCTATGGTACCACTATTTTCCAAATTGTCGTTAATCATCATCTACACTCGTCCCAGTTTCCGTTAAAACCTTTTCTTTTGCCTCAGGAAAGTAAAGTTACGATATCAATTGCAGTAAGTCCTGTTTCTTGCCAAATAGAATATCCTAATTTCCAATAAATCAATAAATCTTACAAATAATGAGCTGACTTGAACCAAATTAAACCATATATTTCCCGTATACATACAAATATACGGAAAATCACTTAAACTGCTTTCAAACTTAGGCTAGTAAACGATAACTTGCCAGCTTAAATACATTGTGGAAAAAGACTTATCAATAACGTAAAATAGATTGGGGAAGGGAAAACACAAATTATTGCTGAAAACTCACAATTCAAACAACTTTAACTTATTGCCAAGCTATTCTATTTCAAAACTCTCTACTTGTAACTCGTTTCTTGCTGCTAAAAGTCAACTCTATTAAGGAAAGATAAGAAAGTGATTTGTTAGGCGCTATTAAATTCCCTATTTGATGTTTTTCAAACTGGCGAGATGAGTAATCGGTTTAAGATCCAAACATACATACTAGAAATTGCAAAATCGACTCATTTGCCTCATTTGCTTCATTTGCCTTATAATTTTGTCGCATTTGCCTTAATTTGTCGCATTACTTATGTCGCACAATTCTCGCGTCACCGGTAACGGAGTCACTACCACGTGACATGGACCAAAAGCGGTTTACGTAAGGATTGCATAAACTGATTAGTTGATGAATCGATACATTTCTCAATGTTACTGGAAAGGAAAACGCGGTGGTGTATGATTATAGATCTTTATACTTTTAGAGTTACAAATATCGTCACTATCGAGCAGAGCAAGATAGTGTAGCAAAACAGAGTAGCAAAACAGAGTAGCAACACTATCAACACTATCTCTCTCTGCTCGATACTGCTGCACGCCAGCTGCCACCAAATAAAATAACAAAACTCTAGTATACATAATCAATTACACAATAAAGTTCCTAGGGAGAGGATAATTTATAATCTACATAAAAATAACCGCATACCATGCAGCAATATTAATTTAGGTGAATTAATATAGCCGAACTCGTGTGAGCTCAATAGAATGGCTATGAGTTCAATTGAATGGCTATGAGCCCAATTTCTATGCCTATAAGCTCAATTTTTATGCCTATTAGCTCAATTTCTATACCTATGAGCTCAATTTCTATGTCTATGAGCTCAATTGACAATGCTCATCGAGCTCATCTGGCTGGACAAGATTTCTTTTTTTTTATGGCTGCGAAAAATAGAGGGGCATTTTTCACTTTACATTTTTCACTTTACATTTTTCACTTATGATGACAATTGAACTAATGAGGTTACTGTTGTAAACGCTTTTCTCCTATCAAGTAACAACAACGGGCCGATCTCAAGTAGTATCGTTACTGCCTTACTCTTCTTGCTCTGTACAGCTTATATCCACACAAATTGTACACAATGATCACCACTTGCTATCTTTTTTGATTGGCCTTTTTTTTGTCCATTTTTTTTTTTTCATTTCATTATGGTGAGCTTAGTAGGACTGAGTAAATAATCTACACCATATGAGTCAAGCAAACCCTGGCGACTCTGAAATGAGAATTCCCTCTTTGTTGGGTTCACGCACTTATAAAGATGCAATAAATGCTCTCAACTCACTACAATCAAACTTTGCTTCGATTGAAGCTATGAAAAAATTAGGTCCAAATGTGAATAGAAATGAACTATCTATCGGTGAAGTGAAGGAGTTTACCAGAAGAATGGGATACACAGGTCTGGATGTTGATAGTTTGAATATCATACATGTCACCGGAACCAAGGGAAAAGGATCAACTTGTGCATTTACCGAAAGCATATTAAAACAATATCAACCTGGTTATATACACAAATTAGGATTGTACACTTCACCACATTTGAAGTCTGTTCGTGAAAGAATTAGAATTAATGGGAACCCAATTGATAAGGATTTGTTTACAAAGTATTTCTTTGAAGTTTGGGATAAGTTGTCAGCAACAAAGTCCAATCCTACAGAATGGCCCACGTTACAACCATGTGATGTAGTGAAACCAATGTATTTCAAGTTTTTGACAATTTTGTCATATCATGTGTTTTTGAAAGAGAATGTCGATACAGCTATTTATGAGGTCGGTGTAGGCGGCACCTACGACTCAACAAATATAGTTGAAAAGCCAACGGTAACAGGTATAAGTGCCTTGGGAATAGATCATACATTTATGTTGGGAAACACAATTGAAAGTATAACTGAAAATAAAACAGGAATCTTTAAGAAAGGTGTCCCTGCTTTTGTTAGTGTACAAAATGAATACCCTCATACACATAAGTTGATAGAACATAGAGCTAAGGAACTTGGCGTGTCATCTTTGGAGTTTGTTGATACAGATTTGCCAATGGATGTTGAAGTGGGACTATTAGGGCATTTCCAAAGAGGAAACGCTTCATTAGCTGTTCGTTTGGCAAATGCCCACCTCAATTTCCTAGGTGTCGAAAATCAAGTGGAGTTCACTAGTAGTGGAGCAATAAAATCTTTATCTAAGAAATTCATTGATGGATTGAAACTAGTCAACTGGCCTGGTCGATGTCAAATCATAAAACACAAACCAGATAATATAATATGGTACATTGATGGTGCACACACTATAGAGTCGATCAAGGCATCATCAGCTTGGTTTAAAGAGGAACAACTTAACCAAACGCAGGCAAGGAAACGAGTTTTATTGTTCAACCAACAAGGGAGAGATAATTATGAAGAGTTGTTGACTCAATTACACTCGGTGATATGTCAAAATGACCCCAATTTGCAATTTGATGAAGTCATATTTACCACGAATATAACATGGTCATCGGGTGACTATAATCCAGAGCTATTATCCAAAAATACTTCAGAGGATGCTGTCAAGAAATTGGAGTTGCAGAATAAATTCAGTGAGTTATGGGAGAAATTAGACAATGGGAAATCAAAGAGGCACGTTTTCCCAGATATAGAGACCGCCCTTGAGTACTTGAAGAAAAAGAATGAGATAACTAATGTATTTGTTTGTGGTTCTTTGCATTTAGTAGGTGGTTTTTTAGTTGTATTGGATGGTGAAAAGGAATAGACCATAGATACACTATCAAGCAGAGCGAGATAGTAAAGCAACACTGACTACACCGACACTGACGAAACTATCTAGCAGAGCGAGATAGTGGAGCAGCACTGACTACACCGACACTGACGAAACTATCTAGCAGAGCGAGATAGTGGAGTAGCACTGACTACACCGACACTGACGAAACTATCTAGCAGAGCGAGATAGTGGAGTAGCACTGACTACACCGACACTGACGATACTATCTCGCTCTGCTCGATAGTAAAGTCTAATACCTACAACCATAATTTTTTTTTTCTTCGTTTTTTTTATTTATGTATTAAAGTCTAGTTGGTACCCCCATTAACTATATTTTCTCTTGTTTGCCTAACAATCTCATCTATATTGCTTATAGACTGTGACCACTGTTGCAATACAGCTTTAACGATTTCCCAACTCTGTGCAATTGCTGAATTGTCACCAGCAATAACAAATCTATTAACTCTACTCAAGCTAAAAGTATTGTCAATCTGATTTAATTTCCCTTCAACGATGCCTGCTGTTATTGCTTCAACTATTAATTCTTGAAACTCCAATTCACTTGAGATATTAGGTACTTCTTCATAAGTAAATAAAATACCATCGTGATCTTCTTTTAATGTGATTGAATCTGCAAAATACTTTGCCAAGCTCAATATCTTTGATTTCTGATGGATGAATTCCTGTGGCAAGTTTGATGGTATGTTTTCTATTTGAATTAGTTCGCCCTTGACATATGCAAGGAATAATTGTGACAATTTACAATCGTTAAAGGAGTCCAATGCCTTGGCAACGTTGTTATTGACCAAGAATGAAACATCGACTACTTTCGACTTGAGTGCAAACTCAATCATCTTTGTCAACTCATTCTCGGTTAATGAATATGAATGGGTGAAGTTTTTTATGAAATGTAATGATTTCAATGAATACAATGAGTCCAATGCAATAAAATCCCAAAATGCCGCCTTGATTTCAGATTCCAGAGCATTACTAGACTTTAGCCATGAGACAATATTCGAGCCCAAATTCTCTTGAACCGACAGAAACGTAATTCCTGAAGTCTCCAAAACTTTTAAAATCTCCTTTAATACTTGTCCTCTAACTTTTGAAGCTTGAGGCAACAAGTTGAAAATCGTACTCAATATAGACACTACTGAGGATGACTTTATAGATTTCCTATCCCTAAGCGATAATGGATGTGTTGGATTGATGGAAACAACTAAACGGTCAATTGCAAAGCTTTCGTCACTCAAAACAGCCTCAACGGAGGTCAACTCGGCTAAGACATGGATCAATAAGTATATAGTGGGCTCGAATTCTTTATCAGTGAGTTTCCCTAAAACTTCCGCCGTCGAAGCCTGTTTAATCTTTTCGTATAATTCACGTTTATCACCAATTTCAACTTGATCATCACCACTCCGTTTAAGTAAATGTGATTCAACACTCTTACTAAACTCATCGTTGCCCCTAACTCCATCTATAATCTGTGCATACTCCTTAACAGAGTCTGCTAAACCATTATCCACTACTATAATAGACGAACCCATAGCTTTGTGGGAAATTGGCATAAATATCCAGCGATGATCTGTTTCAATATCCTTAATCCCTCGTCCTTTACAGAGTGAAAAATTCAGCCTAAAAAAAATTTTCCACTGAGAAACGTTATATGCAGAATCGGTCGCGGGGTCGTGTCTACGATCGAGGAACGAGATAGTAGAGAGTGATGGAGTAGTGCTCTAGTAGAAAATACTCTAATGGTTGATAGTAGTAGAGAGTGCTTATGCTGTGCTTATGGTCCTACTATAGAGCGTAGAAAGATAGTAGAAAGTACTTTAATAGATAAGTACTCTAGTGCTCTCCTCGATAGACTGTTCTATGGACAGTGCTGTGTTATAAACAGTGCTTATGCTCTTCGCTGCTTGTGCTCTCTAGTCCCTCATGCTCACTGCTTATACTCTCTTGTGCACTCTACTTCCTAGTCTCTAATCTTTACTAGCTTTTGACACTCTTGAGTATAGGAATGGATCGAATGTGTAGCTTTTGTGGTCTAGTCTATACCTACTCTCTTTTCTATATATATCTGCTCTCTCTATATATCTGCTCTCTTCTCTCTATACCTACTCTCTTCTCTCTATACCTACTCTCTTCTCTCTATACCTACTCTCTTCTCTCTATACCTACTCTCTTCTCTCTATACCTACTCTCTTCTCTCTATACCTACTCTCTTCTCTCTATACCTACTCTCTTCTCTCTCTTCTTTCCATAGACTAGTTTCTCTCTTTTCTTTCTTGTTTCACTCGTCTAATCCCTAATCTAGTCTCTTTTTTTGCATCAATTTGACCCAAACTCAATAATACTCTAAATATTACTACCAATAACTCTACCTTTATATATATATACATACTTTTCTCTCTTCCGACTAGACTCATTTCACTCGTCTAGTCTATAGCTGCTCCACTAGCTCTTCGAGCTAGTGTCGCTGACACTCAGTCTTGTAACAAGCTACAAAGTATTGCTCATATACTATTATACTTTTATACTCTATATCAAACCTGTAGTGAATTATCTGCTGCAAATCACGGTATCATCCTATTACTATCAAGCAGTGTGACATAGTTTCGTTGGCAGCTAGTGTCGCACTACTACATTCCTTTACATCTTTATAGATCTTCATTCTCCTCCTCCTCATTAATTACGGAGCCGTACATAGAGCTCTTCTTCTTAGAATGAAATGCGATTGTATCTACACAAGCACGATCGCTCACTTGTTTAGTATCCTGGTAATTTCGAGGCAACATATGTCCATTGGCAGAGTTTGCTGTGATGGTATTGAATGTAGATATCGATGGTCCGATTTTCTTGATGGGTTTCACACTTCCTTTGAAAGGGAATGGTGGCGAAGGTGCACGTTGGCGCTGTTGTTGTTGTTGTTGTTGTTGTTGTTGTTGTTGTTGTTGTTGTTGTTGTTGTTGTCGTTGTTGTTGTTGTTGTTGTTGTTGTTGTTGTTGTTGTTGTTGTTGTTGTTGTTGTCGTTGTTGTTGTTGTTGTTGTTGTTGTTGTTGTTGTTGTTGTTGTTGTTGTTGTTGTCGTTGTTGTTGTTGTTGTTGTTGTTGTTGTTGTTGTTGTTGTTGTTGTTGTTGTTGCAGCAGCAGTTGCTGCTGCTGCTGAATAAAGCTGCTGAAATTAATATTTCCAAAAGGCCCTCCTTTACTAGTAGCAACTGGTGAAAATAGTTTCATCAGACGATTCTTACTAAACTGATCACCACCATCAAGACTATCTATCCCCAAGGGCATGTTTTCGTCATTTTTCAAACATTCCTCGACCCCTTCTTCAGATGAGTTACTTGGTAATCTTGAAACTGATGGTTTTTTCCAAACACCGTGATTGGAACTTCCTCCAGGAGATGAACTTGTATTAAGAGAATGTTCAGAATTGAATGTGCGGCGATAACTTGGCCTCTTTTTAATTGGTGCTCTACTGGTGGTAGCAGTGGATGGAGGTACTCCCAGTAATCCAAAACGGCCATCTGAAGTAATGTTTATGCTTGATTCGTAAGCTTCATCATCGTCGTATTCATCGTCCATAGTATCTGTCTCATCCAAAATATCCAACTCAGATTCAGACAACATCGTAGACATTTGACTTAATCTGCTCAACTGGCTAATTTGTGAAATCATCGATGAAGGTCTTGTTCTAGCAAGAATTCTACTATCAGTCGCTGCAGGCGTCCATGGTAGTGAAACTGCACTTGGATTATCTGATAATGGATAGTCTTCTCTCTGTGTTAAGAAAGATGGTTCAGTTGTATTCACTGACGCTTCAGGGGCATTACTATTATTGCTACTGTCATTTCCGTTTGCAGCAACGACAGACTTTGATTGATGAGCTTGATTGCTATACTGCTTCTCGGTACTCGTTTTGACTATTATCTCCAAACCTTGATCATCCCAATTATTAGTGGTATACTTTTCAGACTTATCGCTTCGATCATCCCTTTCAAGCTCCTCAAAGTAATCGTCCTCACCTTTATTTTTCTTCCAAAATTGAAGCTTATTCAAAATCTTGCCACCTTTATTACCCCGTTTGACAGACTCCCTTGTAGAAGCAAATGACGGTTTTCTTTCTTCTGGTACAAAAGAAACAACACGCTGAATTGGAATGTCAACTCTAGTTGACGTTGGAGAGATATGTTGTGTGCTTTTCAGTGGTTTCAAGGCTGAGAACGTTTCTTCATTATTACTTGTCAGCCGGTCTCGGTCCAAACTGAATCGACTATTCATGGGGGACTTGGGCAGCAGTTTATCTCCTGACTTTCTTGAAATCGATGACAACCTAGTCCTACTTGAATTTCGGTTAGAAGTTAAACTTAAACTTGACAATATTCGTTCCAATGGTTGAGAGCCACTGTACTGATCAGAAATGGACAAGACACTCTTTACTCTCTTTCTCGATCTTAGAAGTGATTTTTTAGCTTCACGATATTTCCGCCTCTTCTCTCTGATATATCTTTTCTTCTTTTTGGAAAATTCATGTGTTAGCGAAAGTTCGTAAAAGGCAGTTAACAGGTTCATCTCATTACTGTATACATTAGCCTGTAATGCATCAACATCAAAATTTGCCTTTTGCAAACGTCTCAATATCTCCTTTTCAATGCTGGTATCAAATGGCTTTTTTATGCAGTTATAATGCTGATTAATCGAAAGAATCGACTCGGCATCACCGTGTGTTTTCTTTTGGTTTTTTTCTATATATTTGTTAAAAGTGTCAATTAGGAATGACGAGTTGAGAACCTCTCCAATACTTGGTCTTTGATTGGGTTCTTTTCTCAACATTTTTGCAATCAAATCATTAATTTCCGCTGGAACATGATCGTTGAATACAGGAGAATCATGCAAGATCTTTGACTTTGTTTTCATATCATCGTCATCATCATCACCACCATCAAACGGTAGGACTCCATAAAGCATGGTATACAAGATTATTCCCAAAGACCAAACATCTATAGCAAACCCGGAATACTTTTGTCCCATTAGTAGTTCTGGAGCCATATACACCATTGTGCCACATATTGTTGAGAGAAATTTCCTTGCTAGTGGGTTAAACTCTCGAATAAATCCAAAATCGGTCAATTTAACCACCGATCTTCTCTTATCTGCTAAAAGGATGTTTTCAAGCTTTAAATCCCGATGACTCAAGTTCATAGAATGAACAAACTGGACTCCCAATACAATTTGGAAAAAGATATTTCGACATTCAGCAACACCAAGACGTTTCTTTTCATAAACCAAATAGTACAATTCACCTCCTTCGCAATACTCCAAGGCTATCCAAAGATGGGTTTCGGTTCTTATAACTTCGTATAAGCTCACTATGTTCTTATGTTTCAATTGCTTATGATAGTAAATCTCTCGAACAATATTGGGATCATCAATCAATCCACATTTCAACACAACGTTTACATTTAATAAAACGTGCTTGGCCAAATATACTCTCCCAAATGAACCTTCACCAATTTCTCGAGTTATTTTGTAGTTACCTATCTGGTCGATTTTAGAAGATGTTATCGACAAATAAAATTCATTAAACTGATGCGCCAATTGTACTGTATTATGCTGGTCATTAAAATGCTGCCGTACCAACAGCGTTTCTCCGTTCATAGAATAGATGTATATCAGAACTTACCTTGCTTCCGTATCCTGGTACTCTTGCCTTATACCCAAATTCTGGCTTTTAGCTTATATCTCTTATTTCTTGTAACAATTCAGGAAAAATAATAAACGACATATACCAAAAACCTTACTAATGTCAGCGAGGTGTTGGCAAAAATATAGCTGCAAAAACGCAGTTTTGACCTAAAAAGATATATGAAACAGCTTCCAATTGCAATTTTACAAACACTTGAGCTCAACCAGCGTCTCTTGAACACCAATAATAGCAATAATATACCCCGATTTAATATTGAATCCCAAAACCAAAATCGTTTTGGTGCAAAAGAAGCGGGAAAAAAATCCGTAGATGAGTTTTTTTTTTTTTAATAGTGGTAGACGTATTGGGAAAGTGCTGCGGCGTTTTTTTTTCCCTAGCTCATCTCATCTCATCTCATCTCATCTCAACTCATCATTCTTTGAAAGAGAAAGAAGAAAAGCAAGGACTAAAGGGGTTCAAATTGTGAGGATTTTGAGGCTGGTAAGGGTTATGTTGAATAGGTTGGTTTGAGAAGAAGTATATTAGAAAAACAATGAGGCGTTCGTGGATCAGTTTGAATCGACTACTGAGGATTCATTATAGAAGTTTTGCAATTAATCACAGAGTTAACGTTGAGCCCATTACAGAGCTGCTATCTCTTAAGGGGACACTGCGGGATAAAGTAAGTGTCAGTGACCGTGGAAGTGACCATGGAAGTGATTGTGGAAGTGACCCACTTAAGGATCAAGCGTGTCATAATGACTTGGTCAAGGTAAATACGCGTTTACAGATTGGGACAAAGGTTCTAAATAAAGATGAGCTTTACAAAGAAATTCAACAACCACTACAACAAGTCCTCAACAAGATAAATTCTCATTCTTTTACTTACCCTTATAAGTTTCTCAACCATGATACTAGGACTCAGCTACGAAATTTTGAAAAATTTTCTCAAAATCTCAAGCGTTCAATAAAGAAGGAAATCGATTTTGATATTGATAAGTTGACGATTTGTGATTTTATCAACCCCAATGAAACTTTGCTTCCGAGACTAATTTGTCTGATATACTATAATGTCTTCCCAACACAACTATTGACCTACTACAATCTACAAAATAAGCAAGAGTTGCTTCTGCATTTGATTACCCATACATTCCACAAGTTCGACGAGGTGCATAAGATTGAAACAACTAAATTTGAAAGCTCGAAAATTGATTTTTCTAATCCAGCACGATGGTACCCGGAAGCAAGAAAAATGAAACGTAAGATCATAATGCATGTTGGTCCAACAAACAGCGGTAAGACATATCAATCATTACAAAAATTGGCAAATTCCACTTCAGGGTACTATGCTGGACCATTACGACTTTTAGCACGTGAGATTTGGAGTAGGTTTAATAAGCAAGGAATAGGGTGCAGTTTGATAACGGGGGAAGAAGTAATACCGTCTGTTGATGAATATGGACATATTAGTCAAATAGCCTCGGGAACAATTGAAATGGTACCTTTGCATAAGAAAATGGATATTTGTGTTATAGACGAAATACAAATGATTGCCGATAAAGATAGAGGGTCAATATGGACAAATGCGGTTCTTGGTGTACTAGCACACGAGATTCATTTGTGTGGTGAAGAAAGCGCAGTGCCATTAATTGAAAAATTGGTAAAAGTGACTGGCGACGAATTATCGGTCAAGAGATTTGAAAGATTGGGTAAGTTGACGGTGGAAAAGAAAGCAGTTGATTTGAAGTCGTTGAAAAAGGGTGATTGTTTAGTTTCATTTTCCAAGAGAAAGATCTTGGAGTACAAGTCGAAATTAGAAAAGGAAACTAAACTAAAAGTGGGTATTGTTTATGGTGCTCTACCGCCGGAAATTCGATCTCAAGAGGCTGAAAAATTCAATAATGGCGAATATGACGTTTTGGTTGCATCAGATGCTATTGGTATGGGACTAAACTTGAAAATCAATAGAGTAGTTTTTTCAACTTGCAACAAATTCAATGGCAATGAGATGGAGAATTTAAGCATATCCCAGGTCAAGCAAATTGCAGGCCGAGCCGGAAGGTATAGTGGGCAAAAAGGAGCACTGGAAGGTTTTGTCACAGCTTTGAATCGAGCAACGCTAGTTTTTGTTAAAGAGGCACTTCAAGAGCCAATTATTCCCTTGGAAAAAGCGTGTGTTTGGCCAACAATGATTATTTGGAAACACTACATGGCAAGTCATTCAACAAACATTTCACTTTCAAAAACATTGGAGAATTTTTATAAGAACAATTTCAACTTACAATCGGACAAGTATTTTATTGCCGACTCTGAAAGTCGACTAGTTATTTTGGATCTTATTTCAGGAGATAAGAAACTAAGCAAAATGACAATAGATGATCAATTCACTCTTAGTGATGCGCCCATTAGCTTTCGTGGCTCTAGAAACGAAGAATTAACTACACCTGTAACAAAAGCGTTTTTTGAAAATATCGTTGAAAGAAAGTCCAAAACCTTGTTTGACTTTGATTTTCTCAAAGACGAATCCATTATCAAGGTATTAACGCTGAAGCCAATTATGGGTAGTTTTCACCAACCTATGCAAAATGTCGAGATTTTGGAAGCATTACATAAATTGGTATTGCTATATATGTGGTTAAGTCAACGATTTCCGACACTCTTTATAGGTGGACAATCATCGCTTGAAATGAAACTTCTTGTTGAAAGAAGACTCTCTGAAGAGTTGATTGTGATGAGAAGAATGAACATGCTACACAAAAAGCGGTATTCCTAGAACTAGTACTACCCCCTTTCTCTATAGATATATATTGAAAATTATACATGTAAATAGCTTATTACCTGTTTGAGTAAACTGAGTCTCTCCATAAAAAGAACGGTATTTCACGTGACCGACATTGTATCCCCCAAATTTGCTGCGATGGTTTTGTCCTCCTCCTTTTCTTCCCCCCCAACTTTGTTTTCCCATCGCCTAAGCGTATGCGCGATAAGTGCGTTAGCGCCTTTAGTTAGAGACCTGGGTGGACGCTGGAACGACGCAGAATCCATTTCATAACCATTGGGGCGAGTGGAGGGGGCAGATGACTATAAATTTTTTAGTCTATGATGAAATTTTTTTTTAAAGAGCAAAAGTGATGTAGCTTAATATATATATATATATATATATATGTTCAATATCAATCTTCTCTTAATAAACGTTGGATTCTTATAGAGGTATAGAGGTATGGTTACTGTTATTGTAGTTGGAGGACCTGCCGGTACAGGGAAAACCACCCAAGGTCAATTACTTTCAGAGTACTATCATTGTCCTTTTATAGAAGGAGATGCATTACATCCCAAGGCAAATATAGAAAAAATGTCAAGAGGAGAGCCATTGACTGATGAGGATAGGTGGGGGTGGTTAAAAACGATTGCACTAGAATCAAGCAGGAAAGCATATGAGAATCCAACTCGATTGTGCGTTGTATCATGTTCAATTTTGAAAAAGGTATATCGAGAGTATATTGAAGCAAACTGTGTTCATCACGAAGCAGTCAGGTTTAGATTTGTATTTTTGTATACTACTTTTGAGGAGTTGATTCAAAGAGTTGAGAATAGAAAAGGACACTATATGAAGTCGGAGATGGTCAAATCTCAGTATGACATTATGGAAATACCTCAGGGTGATGAGTTGTTGAAAAATAAAGGGGAATGCGTTACAGTAGACACTACAAATAGAACACCAAGGGAAATATTCGAGGAAGTTGTTAAGTATTTAAGATTACCAGTGGAAGATAGAGATAAGGAGCCAGCAACTGCGGAGCCAACATCTGCAGAACCAGAGGCGACGATGGTGTAAAAATTGGTGTAGATTGGTGTAGATTGGTGTAGATTGGTGTAGATTGGTGTAGATTGGTGTAGATTGGTGTAGATTGGTGTAGATTGGTGTAAAAATTGGCCTTCTATAGTGTGTGCACCAGCATCACCATCGGCTTCAGTGATACAATATTGAATAGACAACTTATTTTCTCACGCATTGCTATTAACAACTCTATTTACAAATATGCTCAACAGAAATAATAATGTATAAATCTGAGCTTTTATAGAGGGCGGGGGCGTAATGGAGAAAGAGTGTGTGTGCGTGAGAAAGAGAAAGATAGAGTGTGTGTGTGAGAAAGAGAGAGGGTGAGTGAGAGAGTGAGAGAGTGAGAGAGAGTGTGTGTGTGGGGTACGAAGCCTTAAAGAAGGCATAACCAAGATCTATTTACAATTTGCGTTTCATTATCTGGCTGATGCTAACGGGACGGTAGACAATTGGTGTGAAAATTTCACATTTATCAAAACCTGATTTTCCACATAGGATGTATCACATTACATAAAGAAGTCAAGTTTTACACCCCACGGGTTCAAATTTCACAGGATTCAAATAATATATATATATATAGATATATATATATATACATAAAGTGGGAGACCTCATTTGAGAGGAACTAGACTTTGGTCCAACAGAGCTGTAGCAAGGTAGACAAGCCTCCTCTGACACAGTTACTTTTGGTAAACCTGCCAGATGCCATCTGCAACGCCAGCGTCGGCGGCACTGGCACCAGACATAGACTCATTTCGGTACCTAAACCCAAACAAGGATAGAAGAGTAGCTATAATAACTGGAGGTAACAGTGGTATTGGGTTCTTTACAGTTTTACACTTGTACTTACATGGTTATATCATATATATTGCTGGAAGAACCAAATTCCAATTTTCCAAACTAGGTAAGGAATTGCATCTCAAAGCAATGCAGATAAGGCAGCAATATCAGCCTCAAGAATTGTTGCAAGAACGGTATTTGGGTGAATTGAATTATCTTGAATTAGATATGACCAATTTACAGTCTATTATCCGAGCAGTTGAAAGCTTCAAGTATCGAGAAGATTACTTACATTTGCTTATAAACAATGCAGAAGTAATAGCATTACCTTATACTCTAACTCAGGATAATTTTGATATTCAATTGCAAACAGATTTCATAGCGCCATTTTTATTGACTATGAAACTATTGCCCATCTTGGAAAGAACAAGTGACGAGTTCCCCGATATTGAGAATCCAAGAGTCATTTATCTTAGTTCAACCGGGCATCGATTTGCAATAAAGAGTTTTAACTTGTCATCTCCAATGAATTATAGACTAGACTTTATATTCACTTGGCTCCGATATGGAATTGCCAAAACAGCTGGCATTCATTTCATGAAGATGTTATCTTTAAGAAACCCAAAAATATTGTTTCTTTGTATACACCCTGGATTTGCAATGAATACAGATTTATTCACATTCTGGACGAGTTTACCCATAATAGGGGTATTATTTTGGTGTTTTTTCAAAACATTTGCTTGGTTCCTTGGTATTACTTCAGAGCAAGGTGCAACTAAGGTTTTGAGAACTTCATTAAATCCAAATCTAACAGTTGAGGAGAATAATGGTAAGTATTATGACTCACAGGGGAGAGAAGCCCAGCCTTCGAGGGTTGCTAGTAATATGGATTATGCAGCAAGGACTTGGATTTGGACAATACGCGAGCTCAATGAAAGAGGTATCAAGTTGCACGAGGTGTAGCATATTTGAATTCCTAAGGCATTGGGCTCTCAGGGCACAAAGATAGAGCGCAGGGAGGAGTAAGATGTGGAGTTTTTTTGTTTTTTTTTTGTTTCCTTGGCAGGTTACAAGCATGAAGGAGGAGGCGTCTTAGCATTATGGCATTTAATTATTCATTCATTTCTTTTCAAAAATCAAATTCGTTTTGATTTACAATATATTCACTCCATGTAATTGTCATTATTTCTATTACTTATACTTTATTCTTTTAATTATTTCCTTGTTTTCCTGAAAAGCAGCTCAAGATTGGTCTTATCGTTTGTTTGCATTTGTTGAAGATTTTTAGTCAATTGTTCAATTTCCTCTTGTGAAAGTTTCATTTCTGGTTCATCGGTATCTCCTGTCTTATTCTCATCTAACGACTCCAACTTTGGTCTTTCATCGTATAGTTCCAATAATTCCTCGTTCTCACTATCTGTGTCTGTATCATCATCATCATCTTCTTCTTCTTCTTCTTCTTCTATATCCTCCCAATCTTCATCCGAATATCCGCTCGATTCAGCAGCATCTTTTTTCAATGTTTTCCTTAATGTAACGTATTCATCATATGACATATCTCCCTGATGAGTACCACCCCTGTCACACTTATTCTTTTCTTTCTTTTCCTCACTCATATTCAAGACAATCTCCAGTTCCATAAATTCTGGAAAGTCCTCAAACTCCGTATCCTTAAAACCGTGACGAAAGTCAATATTCGACTGCATCATTGAATTCTTAACTTCCTCGTATTTCTTAGGAACTTCTTCTACCGAAAGCCATTTGCCAGTCATGTCGTAATATTTCCATCGGAAATCTTTCAAGTCCTCAGATAATCCTATTCCTTCATAATCATCATCATCATCATCATCATCATCATCATCCTGCTCCATTTGTTCTTTTTCCTCCTCAAATACTGCTTCCATATTTTCGTACCCCTGTTCAAATATATTTCGCAACTTTTCCGCATACTCTTCCTCATCATCTTGACTATTGGGTAAAAAATCCCTATTGGAAAGAAGATCAAGTAAATCTTTCTCTTCATCCACTCTCTTTTCAATTATCCCTCGATTTATTAATTCATCTTGCAAGACATATCTTGAATTGATAGTTATGCTCTCTGGAACTTTTGGCAATTGCTTGCCCTTATAATATATATGCAACCCAGCAAGCAAAAGTCCACCAATTATATATTCCAGTTTCTTTCCCTTTCCCTCCCCCTCCTCATCATTACCGTCATTTCTAAATTGATACCCTAGTGTTATTAATGTCCCCAAGTTCATGGCATTCATAGGTACTGTAACATCGACGCCGTCATCAAATTCTATCAATTGAATTTCCTCAATCGTCTCTAATGCTGCTAAACTTCTCGCCACCATCATTAGGTCTTTTGTAATTACCTTTGCTGGTAATATAGGTAATTTGAAAGTCACATCATGTACGTGACCCAATCCCTTCTCTATTGAACATTGTGTTTTCACGGCCATTGTTAAGTCTTCCCTCCTAGTCCAATCTCCATTAAATATCTGATATATTGCCCTTTTCAACATCAAAAACCTATCTTCATCATCATGTTGGTTCAACACGATAACTGAGTCATTGTGTAGCCATGCTCTATTTCTGCCACCAGTGACACTCTGTAGCTCATCGGGTAAACAATCATGGCAGAGCACTAATATAGGCTCTATTTCCAAAGAATCAAATACATGGATAAAACAATCGGTGTCATATTTGGTAAAGTTCAAAAGCATCGCTATAAACAACTCCATATCTGGGGTATGACCATGGTGTTGAAACTCACCATATATATATTCAATATTATCAGTTACACGTGCCTGACAGTCAGGTTGCTTGTAGTTCCATGGATATTGATTCACCCAGGGGTCCATGTATTTAACATAATTGGAAAGTGTTTGATCGATATTGCGAGATACAACAACAACACTGAGTGTTGCAATGGGGAAAAGGGGTTCATACTCACTTGGATCTAGGTCATCGTCGGTCCATAGATACTCAACACTGTACATCCTTGCCGTATCGTACTATATAAAACCTTATTCCCTTTCATTTTAGGTTCTCTTATATATATATATTTTTCTTTTTCGCAACTTTTTTACATCTACGATGGAATATATATATACTGCTACTTACTTTGGGCTTTGCTATATCATCATTTTCTCTTGGACCGGGTTTACAATTTGGTATTGTGGTCGATTCTTTCAATGACAATTGAGGATGCACCACCTCCACCGTTACAGACACCAGCACATCCAATTTTACCGCCTTCTTGTGACAAAACCGATAACAAAGTGACAATAATTCTAGCACCAGAACAACCCAAGGGGTGACCAATAGCAACAGCACCACCATAAACGTTTAATTTCTCTATGGGAAGGTTACAGAGTTTTGCATTTGCCAAGCCAACGACTGAAAATGCTTCATTCAACTCGAAATAATCAACTTTATCCTGGGTGATATTTGCATGTTTCAATGCTTTTGGAATAGCTAATGAAGGTGCAGTTGTAAAGTCTATTGGTTCTCTTGCTGCTTCTCCCCAGCCGATAATCTTAGCCAATGGTTTTAATCCCAATTCTTTTAATTTTGCTTCAGAAACCAAGACTAATGCAGCACCACCATCATTCAATTTACTTGCATTTGGTGCAGTAACTGTACCATTTTCCTTTTGGAAAACAGTTCTTGCAGATCTCAATTTTGCTTCGTTGAGATTTTTGGCTTCTTCATCTTGGCTTACTACAACATCTGGTTTACCTCTAACTCCCTTAACTGTAACTGGCGAGATTTCGTGATCAAATTTCCCCTTTGATATAGCCTCCTGAGCCTTTTTATAAGAGTTGATAGCAAATTCATCTTGATCGTCTCTGGAAATGTTGTAATCCTTGGCGCATTTTTCGGCGGCAAGCCCCATCAAGTTGCCGCTGTAAACATCTAATAATCCATCCTTTTGAATTCCATCGACAATCGAGGCATCACCGTATCTAGCCCCGTTTCTACCAGTTGGTAGATAATAGGGAGTATTCGACATTGACTCGGCACCTCCAACAACAACGATATCGCTAGTCCCACAAATAATGTTTTGAGCACCAATAATAACAGCCTTCATACCGGAAGCACACACTTTGTTAACAGTAGTGGCAACAATCGAATTGGACAAACCTGCTTTCAAAGCAACTTGTCTTGCAGGAGCTTGACCTACATTAGCTTGCAAAACCCCGCCAAATACTATCTCATCCACATCCTCAGGCTTGATCTGTGGAACTTTACTGAGCGCACCCTTAACAGCATGAGAACCTAATTCAGGATATTGCAATGATGATAACGCTCCTTGAAATGAACCAACTGGTGTACGCGCTGCGGAGACAATATAAACTGGTGGAACTGGCATTACGACAACTTAAGAAAAAAAAAAGAAAAAGGATCAAAAACTCACCTACAAGTCTAAGATTCTCAATATCTATAGCAAAAGGAAAAGAAGAAGGTGAATGGTAAAATTATCAAGAGGTTCTGAAAATTACATAAAAAAAAATTTATAAGCTTGAAAAATTTAGTGTGCCATCGTTTGGGTATGTGGGCCATCGTTTAACTTTTTTTTTTTCCACCATTGTTGAGAACAAGGTGTGCTGGGTGGGGAGAATTAGGCGAGACCGCATCGCCTTTAGTTCTGATAGTTTTAACAGTGAGAGAAAATGCAGAGATGGATGCAGAGAGATTATGCATGTCTCAGTATTAAGAGCTTTCTCAATTGGATATTAAGCCCAAGCGAGGAATCCTCGGGCCCCGCCCATGAAAAACAAGCGAGCCGTTTGCTCGCTCTTGGTGCAATCACGTGATTCCACTATCGAGCAACACTATCGAACAACACTATCGAGCAACACTATCGAGCAGAGCGAGATAGTGTTGTAACAAGCAACAAAGTGCTCACTATCAAGCAACACTATCGAGCAACACTATCGAGCAATACTATCGAGCAGAGCGAGATAGTCAGCACTTTGTTAGCTTGTTACAACACTATCTCTCTCTGCTCGACAGTGAGCACTTTGTCAGCTTGTTACAACGCTATCGAGCAGAGCGAGATAGTCAGCACTTTGTTAGCTTGTTACAACACTATCTCTCTCTGCTCGACAGTGAGCACTTTGTTAGCTTGTTACAACACTATCTCTCTCTGCTCAATAGTGAGCACTTTGTCAGCTTGTTACAACGCTATCGAGCAGAGCGAGATAGTCAGCACTTTGTTAGCTTGTTACAACACTATCTCTCTCTGCTCGACAGTGAGCACTTTGTTAGCTTGTTACAACACTATCTCTCTCTGCTCGACAGTGAGCACTTTGTTAGCTTGTTACAACACTATCTCTCTCTGCTCAATAGTGAGCACTTTGTCAGCTTGTTACAACGCTATCGAGCAGAGCGAGATAGTCAGCACTTTGTTAGCTTGTTACAACACTATCTCTCTCTGCTCGACAGTGAGCACTTTGTTAGCTTGTTACAACACTATCTCTCTCTGCTCGACAGTGAGCACTTTGTTAGCTTGTTACAACACTATCTCTCTCTGCTCGAAAGTGAGCACTTTGTCAGCTTGTTACAACGCTATCGAGCAGAGCGAGATAATCAGAACTTTGTTAGCTTGTTACAACACTATCTCGCTCTGCTCGACAGTGAGCACTTTGTTAGCTTGTTACAACACTATCTCGCTCTGCTCGATAGTGTTACTCGATAGTGTCGTGTCATAGTGTCATAGTGTCGAGCGAGCAAGCAAGCAAAGCTTTGCTTGTTTGTACAGTCACGTGTATGTCTCACGTGATATAAATATCGACATGAAAGAAAGAAACAAAGAAAACGAGTAGAGCTTTATCTTTTTCATCATCATCATCATCATTATCATCATCATCTTCATCATCTTCATCTTCTCCTTCTTGTTGTTGTTGCTGTTGTTGCTGGTGGAGTCGCCGTTAGCTCTTTACCTTTTTTTTCAATCACGTGATACAAAACGGTTTTTCAAAAGTTGATCCTTTAGCAAGGAATTAAATATATTGGTAAAAAGGCTATTTAAACAAGAAGGAGAGAAGCAGGGTGAAGGTCTTGAGTTATGTTGAGGGTGTCGTTGTTGCTGTCATTTAAAAATGTGCGTGCTGTGCGTCCTATATTACAACATGGAGCTATTACAACGGCAAGTTTGATATCTTTGAATCAGGCATTTCATACCTCTTTGCCAGTTGGTAGTGGATTATTTAAAAAGTCAAAATTAGAACTGCAACCACAACAAGCTGGTTCTTTGCAAGCTGATACTCCAAAGGTGACCCCTCCTGCTACCTCCTCCCCTGTCTCCCCTGTTGGCCCCGCCTCCCCTGTCTCCCCTGCTGGCTCCGCCTCCCCTGTCTCCCCTGCTGGCCCCACGGAGCAGGACTTTAAAACCCATCCCATATTGAAGAGAGTGCCCAAATTCCTTCACAACTATGCATCTCAATTCATAAATGCCCCCTTTTCAAACTTAGTTGCATTCATTATTCTTCATGAATTAACGGCGATAATCCCATTATTCGGAATATGGTACTACCTCCATAATCACCCTGGCTTGATTCCTTTAGATCTCCCACAATGGGCTTTGACTAAAGGTGCTAAAGTATTGGATTCTCTATTAGACCAGTTTAACTGGAATATCAATTCAAGTGATAAAATAGCATTATTAATGGAAGGTGCCTATTCCTTCACTATTGTTAAACTATTGCTACCTGTGAGGGTTATTATCAGTTTATCAGGGATGCCATTGTTTGCAAAGTTGTTTGTGTTACCAATTACTAATTTATTCAGGAATTTGAAAGAGTTGAGAAGAGTTAAGCAGGAGAGGAAATTGGAAAGGAAAAAAATGGAGGTGAAACGTGTTGATAAACCAAGATTATAAGGTGGGAAACCCCCAACTTATTAAGGAATTAGCATATTGAAAAACCAAGGTTTTGATTGAAGAGGCGTCTCGTATTGACTATTGTATATATCTTTTTGAGCTCTTTTGTACACAGTTGTGTCAGACTATCACATCACACTCCTGTATATTTAAATATACATATTTGCTACTTTAGAGAACTAGACTCTTTTCCAAATCAGTTCTGACCAGATCAAGAAAAACTACATCCTCCAAAAAAAAAAAACCATCTTATCATCATTAATAAATATCTATTAAAGAAAATAAACAACAGTTGGTCTCATCTCGTCTCGTCTCGTCTCGTCTCGTCTCATCTCATTTCATCCTCTTTTCTTAATCAATCTAAACTAACCTTTAATTCTTCACTAGTCATTGGAACAAACTCATTCAATCCATTTATTTGTTTACTCAACTGTAAATGACTCCATGCCCATGAAGGTATTAGCTTTGAATTCAATTGTGGAGCTACACTCAATTCTCGATCATCAAAGTCAAACAATTCAGGTAATGGTTTCATATCCGGTTGGGAATTATATATTTGGTATTGTGCCGCATTGTGGTGTTGATGAGAGTTACCACCAGAATGTAGGTTTTGTGAAAATAGTTTACGGTAGTTTGGTAATTGAGTTTGTTGATTTCTTAACTCATCAAAATATCCATCACAAAGTGCTTCAATACATGAAATTCTATCAATTGGACTATATTGCAATACTTTAATCAAAAATTGTATACAGTCATGAGACATCTTCTTGAAAATCTTATTTAATGGAATTGGTTTAATTTGAGGAAACCGGTGTTCCATATAGTTTGGATTCATATTTTTGATTTGATCTTTACTTGGTGTGCCCAATATTTTAATAATTTCAACCAATTGATCAATACCAGATTCTCCGGGGAACAATGGTTGTCCCAAGATCAATTCGGCCATAACACATCCTGCGCTCCATACGTCAATTTTAGTTGTGTAGTTAGTGGCGCCAAAGATCAATTCTGGTGCACGATAATATCTAGAACAAATATATGAAACGTTTGGTTCTTGAGGGTTCAAAATCTTGGCTGATCCAAAATCACACAATTTCAACTCTCCTGTTGATGGGTTGATTAAAAGGTTTTGTGGTTTGATATCCCTATGACATATACCTTGTGAATGAATATAGTTTAGTGCTCTAAACATTTGGTAAGTGTACAATTTAATTTCCAACGGCGGCATGCTCAATCTTTTTGATACATAATAATGACTAGCCTTGTATAAAGTTTCAGGTACAAATTCCAAGATAAGGTTTAAATACAATTCGTTTTTATCATTGTTTGTGTAAAAGTAATATTTCAAATCGGCAATATTTCGATGGTGAACTAGCTTCATAATTTGCAATTCTCGATTTTTAAATCTCTTATCTTGTAACACTCGTTTCATTGCACATATTTCATTTGCTGGCATTATTTGTGTTTGAAAAACAACACCAAAAGAGCCGTGTCCAACCATTTGTGATTGTGTGTATTGTATTGTTTGCACTTCGCCAGTATGACCATTGGTAACATTTTCTGTTACAACTTCTATTTTAGACATAGTTAGTAAATTAAATCAAGAGAAGGGGGGGGGTGAATAAACCAATTAAAGTAAATAAAGGGTGGGGCGGGGTTCGAGATCGTAATGTAAAAATGATGATAATGCACTTTTAGAGAAGAAAACTTGTCGTGGAAACAATAAATAATGCAAAATATGACAAAATGGGATTCACTGGGGAAAATGGAAAACTTGGTGATTTCAGGGAGGGACCTGGGGATTAGGAAGAACCTCGGGATTAGGAGGGACCTGGGGATTGGGGTTTGTAAATTAAGGAGCGACTATTGGGGGACAACTTCGGTAAAAATATTGTCGTAGCAGATAGCTTGTATTTAGCAAAAAAACAACAACAACAACAAAAAAACAGTATGATAAAACAAATGTTTTTCTTGCCAAACTCGTTGATATAACTCGATGCGGGCCAAATAGGAAAAATCTCAATTAATCCGGGATCGAACTAGTTAAACACGCACAATCACGGGAGGCTAGTCTCAGTTTGTGAAACAAAATCTTTGCTCTTTTATTGGTTGCTCGCACACCTGGGGAATTTCTTATTAAAACTTATTACTTCCTGGGGTGCTATGCGTACTGTCCTAGTAATATTGCCTTGCCCTTGCTGGTATTGCTTGTCCTTGTCCTTGTTATCTTCACTTCTTCTCTTTAAAAAGAAAAAGATTTAATTGTCCAAATTTTATTTTATTATTTGAAATTTAAATTTTAAGACAAAATTGAAAATGGAAAAAAAAAAGACAAAAATAAAATAATCAGACAAAAATTGAAACCAGACAAAAATTGAAACCAGTCAGACAAGAATAGCATCAGTCATTTTTCTTAATGGTGGTGGGGCATTTTTTGACTTTGTAAAAATGGTAAAATAATAATCTTTGAGGTTTGTAGGAATAGTAAAATAATAATCTTTGATGTTTGTAGTAATCTTTGAATATTTGTTTGGAGTTGTAGTATATAGCTATAAGGCTCATGTTGATTAGATGTGTGTGGGAAAATAATTCTTCCTTTTAGGGTTTGATTGCTTAATATAAAAAAAAAAATTTCGACTTTTGTGTTGATGTTTGGATGCACTTGCGATCGAATAAATTATAATTGCGATTAGTTCTCATGAACGAGACTATTGAGCAGAGCGAGATAGTGGAGCTGAACGGAGCACACACTAGCTGCTACCAACAAAGATTAATTGAATTAGGCGCCGCCCCTCAGCAATTATTGGGGGAAAAAAAAGCAAGCCCAGCTTGACTCTTATATCAAAACGTGTGTGTCTAACTAGTTTTGCTCAGCTCCATATACCACTTGACTCTTATAACAAAACTTGTGTCTAACTAGTTTTTTCCTTCGCAATAGATCTATCCGTTGAGACTTTGTGTCTGTTTTTTTGTCTAATCGTACAAACAGACACAAAAAAGACACAAACCGTCAGACATAAAATATTGAACATGACCTTTTATAAAAAAAAAATGGGCGAGTGATTCAAAAACCAAAAACATTTAATAATTCCTTCCATAAACAAAGTTTGAACAACTTTTTTATTATCAAATTAAAAAAAAAGAAAAAAAAAAGATGGCGGCAATTTTGATTCATTTGAAGCCAAGCTGGCTCTAGGCTCTGGGCTCTGGGCTCTATTTCTCGCTTTATGTACCAGCTGGCTTTTACCTAGCTAGCTCTAATTTTCTCTCGCTTTATGTCCCAGCTGGACAAGAGCCAGCTACCTCTAATGTTCTCGCGCTTAATATCCCCAGGCTAGCGCAAAAGTTTTTTTTCAACTCTTGTTGTTCTGCATCTACTAGTAAATTATTGTTCAATTATGCACTACCTTCCTTCCTACTTGACTACCAAGTGACCAACTTCAAATGGTTTGTGTAATGATGTTTTTAGTTTTTACCCCACTTTCTTATTTTCTTATAAATGACACAAAATGCAATAATAGTCAGCGACACAATAGTTTTAGATATCATTCCCTCTTAAAAAGAAAAACACATTTTCCCTATCTATAATCCACGTCACTTATCCCAATCTCCTCTAATCTTCTCTCTTCCTTGTCTCCTTGTCTCCTTGTCTCCTTTTTCTCCTTCTTCAAAGTTCTTTCTTTTTTTTTTAGCAAAGGTATTTTGTTTTATTTTTTTTTTTGGCCTCTTCAAAATGCGGGGACCCCTGATCTAAAAAAGAAAAAAAAAAATTATCAAGCCCAAAAAAAACAAATAATAAGGAGCAGTATCGCTTCTTATTTGCTGTCCCGTAAGATGAGGGGTGAGTGAGGGGGGTTTTGGTTTGTCATCATTGATCTCTCTTACCCTGTAGGATATTTTACTTTAATTTGTTAGTATAATAATAAAAAAAATATGATACATACCAAACTGATCACTGTGTCTTTTTTTAATTGACGCGTCATTGGTCAATCTCATCTTGAGTTTATTTTTAAACGTTGTTTTGGCACTCTTGGTTTGATCAAATGTGTTGGATTTCTTAATAGGAATGGAACTGAATTCAGCTATCCTAGGTACACCGATTGGTTGTATTTGTGGTATTGGTTTTCTGCGGTTGTTTTCTTCAATTGTACCGGTGGTGGTGGTGGTGGCCGTAGTAGCAGTAGCAGTAGTAGCAGTAGTATATATATGTGGTGGTTTGGCATTTGAATGGTTTAGTTTATACTGTGCTTGTGGTGTTTTCCGCTTGGTAAAGTTCTCATCTACTGTATTGCCTCCACTGCCACTACCACTACCACTTTTAAAGTCATGCCCCTCTTCTTCTTCTTCTTCTTCACTGCTGTCTCCTCTTACTTGCTGAATCTCATTCTCATCGTTTTGTTGTGGTGCCAGTTTACCGAAATAATTTTTAAATTTGAATGTAATTGATGTAGATTTCTTGTTTTGAACATTAGTGGGATAATTGTAATTATACCTATTCTGCGATGAGTTTTGGCTATTGTTGATTAATGTGGTCGAGGAAGATCTTCTTTGTGGGAGTGTTTGATTGTGTTGTTGTAATAAGGGGTTTGTAAAATTGGTCGAGTTCAAATTAATGTTGACAGAATTGTTTCTTGATATTGGTTGTGGGTACTGTAAAGGTTGACGGTTGCTAAATGATGATGATGATTGCTTCATCATTACTGAAGACGACGCTGCAAGTTTGTTGGGGTCACCACCATTAGCAAATGGATTGTTGAATGTAATCATATCAAACCCTTCTTCATCAACCTCAGTTTTTTCGCTATCGTAGTTCAATTCTGCTCTATCGGGCTCATCATCATCTTCTTCTTCTTCTTCCGAGCACTCGATATCTTCAATTGTGGTGTTGTGTGAAAATTTATTAGACAATTGTGAAACTTCAGAATTTGTTCTCGACATTGACGTCATATTGATGCTAAACAGCGTCTTCATCTGGTATGGATTGACTTGTCCTTGGTTGATTTGTCCTTGGTTGACTTGTCCTTGGTTGACTTGTCCTTGACCCATTTGTCCACTATTGGCTGTATTGAAACTGTTAATCCTCTTCATGTAGTGACCACAATAATTCTGTTTGGCCTGGTGCTGGTGCTTATGCTCTTTCTTCTCTTGTTTACTCCTCATTCTCATTTCCTTAGCCTCTTCTTTTTGTTCATGTCTCAATTCTCTCTTCTCTTCCCTTTTCTGCTTACGCAGTTGTCTTGCCTCCTTCAAAGTTTCCTTCTTCTTCTTCTTCTTCTTCAATTTGACATGTTTGTTAGCATCGTGATATATTGGCTTATCCACAATCAAGTCTCTTAACACAGGTGTGGAAATTTCTTGATTGTGAATATATTGTGGATAATATTTATAGATTTGAAATTGTTTTTCCAAAAAATCGTAATCAATATTCTTAATGTTCAACGGTTGTGAAAAGTAGTCGTCATCATCGTCCTTGCCTATAGCACCAAATTCTTGACGCTTATCCTTCAAATATGGGTTTATTAGCTTGATACTGTTGAAATCTGGTGCGATAGAATCTAATGATAACTTATTGATACCTTTTGATAAATGCATAATGACTAGCTATAGGTGGAAAAAAAAATAGATCCTGTAATATATAGCTTGTTAGAAATAGATGCTGTTATATATATAGCTTGTAAAAAAAATAGATGAATATTTTGCCTGGTGATGGTATTTTGCCTAATGATAATGCCAGGTGTTAACCCTACCTGACCCTACTGTAGTACCAATAGTGGTAACCTATTAGTTGGTAAGGTTGGTTAAATTAATCCTCGTTTGAAAGGAACCCTTGATATGAAAAAAAAAAAAAAGGTCAATCAAAGACTCAGTCGACGAGGAAACTCAAGTTGGAGAACACAGTTGCGGGTCAGTAACTCAAATCAAAGAGTTGGTCTAGGATGGTCTTATATTACTAGCTACTGTTACTAGCTAAACTTCTCTGGTAATGAATCTTATCTTGATATTGGAAAAGATATAAAAGAGTAGAAAAATTTATCGGTTAATGTGATTCCTTATGTACTAAAGACATCTCTCCCACTGCTACTTGTTACTGTTACTATGAAAGTGCGCTACCGCTACCACAACTGGTAGCAACTGTAACTATTAACCCTGCAAAAGATAAGGCTTAAACCGGGTTTATTTGGAGGCTACCGGTTAAAACAGTAGAGCAAAAAAAAAACAATAAAAAAACCCAAAAACTGGTCAGATTGGAATGAAAGGTGATCATTTCAAAATCTTATTAGTTCATTTTGCTAAGGAGCTTTTAGTATTATCCATTAATAGTAATTTTTCATTTCACTTCATTCACCTGGTTTACTATATTGAGGTTCCTCTAAAAATCGGGTACCACTGTTCTTGACTTTATGATTTTAATGTAATATGCAATATTCAATTTGTAAGGTAATTTTATATAACAAACGTTTACTGCACGCTTTGTTAATTCGGAGATAATGTTCTTAACCATAACTCCTTGCGGGTAGCATTATGATGTAAAGATACTCTTCTGTTATTCCGAGAGCGCCCAGACACTCTTTTTTGTATTCACAGACACGTTTATATCTCTGCAGACATTTTTTGTTTCAAACTTCACAGCAGACACTTTTTTACACACTCGTTTTTTTATCTAAAGAGTTTTGTTAAGAAGGGTTGAAAATCTGTAAAAAAAAGAAAAAAAACATTTGAGTTAATTTTGTTAAGAGAGGTACGACTCCAACTTCACTATCAACACTATCGGCACTATCGACACTATCGAGCGAAGCGAGATAGCGTTATAACAAGCTATTCAATATTGCTCCACTAGCTCGCTCTGCTTCCTAGTGTCGCTCGATAGTGTTATAACAAGCTATTCAGTATTGCTCCACTAGCTCGCTCTGCTTCCTAGTGTCGCTCGATAGTGTTATAACAAGCTATTCAGTATTGCTCCACTAGCTCGCTCTGCTTCCTAGTGTCGCTCGATAGTGTTATAACAAGCTATTCAGTATTGCTCCACTAGCTCGCTCTGCTTCCTAGTGTCGCTCGATAGTGTTATAACAAGCTATTCAGTATTGCTCCACTAGCTCGCTCTGCTTCCTAGTGTCGCTCGATAGTGTTATAACAAGCAAATCAGTATTGCTCCACTAGCTCGCTCTGCTCCCTAGTGTCGCTCCCTAGTGTCTAATTACTTCATACAACTCCTTACTGGTAATTCTCTTTTCACGATCATATCTAATCATTCCTATAAATAGCTTTTTGATCAAATCATCATTACAAATTGGTATTAATTCATCAATCGGTCTTCTTTTAAATTTCTTCAAATTGAATTTCTTAAAGTGATATTCATCATTAGATAATTCCTTCCATAACAACTCCTCCTCCTCATCCTCCTCGTCCGCTTTCAGATCCTCTTTACCCTCGTCGTAATAAGGCGTACCGAAATTCTTAAACAAACAACTCAATAGATGTAAATCACTTATGCTCGACTCATTGTTCATCTCATCCAATTCCTCGCCCTCTCCTTGCAACAATACACTCTTGAAATTCTTTGAATACAAAATTGTCAAGATAATTCCTAGTGACCATACGTCAATCTCATACGAATAATTGGTCATACCAAGCAACAACTCAGGCAGCTTATATATCCCCGTGCATACATCGATATACTTTTCGTGAATCGGTTCATCTAATGGCGGTGACTTGTAGTCATAACAAATCCCAAAATCAGCAATTACAGGATTCTTAAGCTCATTGCTTGCAAACAATATATTACTCGGCTTGATATCTCGGTGGATTATCTCATTAGCATGAATAAAGTGTAAAGCATCAATGAAAACTGTTAAAAACTGTTGTATCTCAATTGGATTAATTATATTGGTCAAAACACACTTGGGCTGTTCACTAGGTTCATTTAAGTTGTACTTTATCCTCTTCTTGCAGTATCTTTCACTATTGATCAATTGACTCAAATTCATTGCATAGTACCTCTCAACAAGAATAACATCATCGATAATTTGAAAATCTTTGATATAGTGCACTATCCCTTTATGTGGCTGCAACCTCTTGATTGCCTCTATTTCTCGTCGAATAGAATGAGGCGGGATCTTGAAATCAACATCTACTATCTTCAAACACACCCATGTAGAATCATCAGTGGAATCATCATCGTTATCAATAACTCTGTTTACTGGTTTCGCTTTACAAATGTCCGAAATAGGACTATTATAAATCAATTGCTTCTCGGTATATATGTCGTCTAGCTTCATTATCCCCCGTTACTCTACTTCTTATATCCTACTATCAACTATTTAGCAGCTTGTTTTAACCTTTCTTACCATTAAAAGAGGTTGGTTTGGTGGTAAAAGAAGAAAGAAACTTTGGTCAAGGACGAAAACGCGACTCCGCGACTCCGCCGTAGGAAGCCGCCTAAACGGCCTGAACGACGGCCTAATTCTACGTCCACCTCGTACCGCCCGCGGCGTAATACCACGGCGTCTCATCATTGGTGTTGATAATATCGCCATGGGGACCGGATTCCACAATCTCTTTATTAACAACACTAGGAAGCGAAGCGAGCTAGTGGAGCAGTATGTAGTATCAAAACCGTGTCTTCAAGCTTTTGTATTGCTCAAGTTAGATTTCCTTCATGGTCCGTATTGAAAACTTATATTTAACAGGTTATTCCACCATCGATACAAACTTTATACACTTTCTACCTGTACATTTCTCCTCTAAATTCGTTTTCTTTTATTACTACCACCATCATCAATCCCGTTTCTCTTACTACTTGCATTGCTATTATTGCCTGCGCCTGCGGCTCCTTTTACTCCTCCTCCTCCTGCTGCTGCTACTCCTCCTGCTGCTGCTACTGCTCCCGCTGCTACTGCTCCTGCTCCACCACCACCACCACCACCTCCTCCTCCTCCTCCTTTTATTCCTCCTCCTTGAACCATATCATGATCATCAGCATAAATCTTCCTATTGGGATACTTCAAATCCAACCCTTCAAATGCATTTTCGCTAACTTTAGGCAACTCCAAAAAAAACGGATGAACTAATGCTTGATCTGCAGTTAACCTCACCTCAGGATCATACTTTAACAATCCATATAATAATTCAAGGCATTGCTTGTTATTTCCTCCAATCATCTTGTACCATTGCGATAAACTTGACGAATAATTTGTAGTGATCAGCTGAACAAATGACTGATACTCAGGGTACTTGTTAATCAGTGGCCAGTTGCTGAGATTAGGTGTACCCAAGATCTCCACGATTTTCTGAAACTGGTTTTTTTGAAAAGGAACCAGTTTCTTATTATTGATATCAATTTTGGCTTCTTCTCCTTTGAATATTGGTCGAAGTGATAGTAGTTCGGCAACGATACACCCAACTGCCCAAAGATCAATCGCTGGTGTATAGTGTCGCGTCCCCAATAATAGCTCAGGTGCCCTATACCATATCGTAACAACTACCTTATCTCCCGTGTACAAACTTTGTAAAGGATTATTGAATTTACGCGCCAATCCCAAATCTCCAATCTTAACGCATCCATTAGAGGTAACCATTATATTTGCTGGTTTTAAATCTCGGTGAAATATCCAATTCTTGTGTAAAAATGTAACTCCGTCCAATATTTGCCATGTAAGAGATTTGATTGTTTGTAATGGTATGGGTTTCAACTCGGGGTGGGAATGATAATGAATGATTTGCAATAAATCGTGTTCACAAAATTCAAAAACCATATAAATGCTTTTATTCTCAAGAATGATAGTGATAAGTCTGGTGATATTTTTATTGTTTAACTCGCGACAAAGTGACATTTCCCGTATGGCACTTTGACTTATGCCCGTGTAGTGTACTGTCTCGTTCCCGGTAAGATCATGGGTCGAGCTGTTCTTTACATTTAAATTGACAATATTATTGTTACCGCTGTTGTTGTTGTTGTTGTTGTTGTTGTTATTATTGTTATTGTTATTTCCATGATGGTTGTCGCTTTTGAACTTTTTTATCGCATAGTATTGTGGTAATCCAGCAGCGGCGGAATCCAGTCGGCGAGAATCTCCATGCGTCACTTCACCCTTGGCCTCGACTTCATTCAAAGATCTCTTTAGTTTCCCCTCAACAAGGCCACTTTTCACCATTCTATTGCCATTCAAATCCGTCACATCTCCTTTAATGCCTTCTCCCTCTTGATCCTTCTTGTTCAGATCACAACGTAACTTAGCTTTGTATACTTTCCCGTATGTGCCCGACGCTATATAGCCAATAACCTGATATGTGGACAATACCGATTCCCTGGTTAAATCCTTGCGGTGTTTAAATGGACCCAACGTTAGAATCGAATTCGATGCCATTAATGTAGGATGCGGAATCGTTGGCATATGATTCGGTATACCTGATTGGAAATGGTGGTGTAAATGAGAATTGGATGCACTTGCTGAAGTTGGCGGTAGGAGTGGGTTGTTTGTGGGTAAAGTTTGTGTCAAGGTCAGTTGAAAGCTAGATTGTTGATACTGCTGAGCTTGAAGTGATTGCTGAGCCTGCTGAGCTTGCTGAGCTTGTTGGATTTGGCTTTTCTGTGACTGCGACTGCGACTGCACCTGTGCCTGTGCCTGTGACTGTGACTGTGACTGCGCCTGTGCCAGTTGTTGCTGTTCATTCATCAGTACCGTATTATGCTTTCTATATGATGAAGATTCCCCTCCATAACTCATAATCTCAAAATTAAGCGCTTTTCTCTGTCTCTGTCTCTATCCTCTATCCTCTTAGTCTCTTTCCTCTGTCCTCTTTCCCTTCCCTTTGCCTCTGTCTTTGTCTTTACCTCGGTATTTCCCTGATAACTCCTTGCAAACTCGGTTTTTTTTCAATTTCTCTGGTTGTTCAAATTGTGCGATGTTGAAATTTTTATTGGGTGCAAAAAATTGTGTGAGAGGACAAGAGAAGAAAGAGAGTTGATATATAGAGAGAGTAATGAGACTATATAGAGAGTGATGAGACTTGTGTTGATATAGAGAGTGATGAGACTTGTGTTGATATAGAGAGTGATGAGACTTGTGTTGATATAGAGAGTGATGAGACTTGTGTTGATATAGAGAGTGATGAGACTTGTGTTGATATAGAGAGTGATGAGACTTGTGTTGATTTCAAAACTTTAACCCTTCGAGTCCATTCAATTTTATGTCTATAGGAGATTTTTCAATAGGTACAGTATCAATGTTCGTGTCAAGTTGATTACTATCTCCTGTTTCAACAATAGTTCCAAACTCATAATCCGGATTCAAATTGATCAAGTTGTTTACTTTTGTTTTTTCATACTCCCTTTTCATACTCATAGTTATATCGTTTTGTTCTTGTAATATTCTCTTCTTGATCTCTTCAATCCCCTTCTCGTCATTCCATTCGTCTTGTGTAAAAGAAAACTTATTCACATAGTAAAAAGTACCCGAAATATTCTGATCAACTACAATTTGGCCATTCTTGACAGCTTTTTCAAGCTCCTCCATCGTGATCGTGTAAGACCATTTAAACCCATGCGAGATATGTGATACGGTACACCCATAACATCCAGATTCATGAATTTCTTCTTTATCAACTGCACCCTCATTGATCATCTCACTTCTCAAATCATTCACTTTGAACTGATGTTCTTGTTCCTTCAAAAACAATACAATAAACTCGCCATATGAATCTGCGTGAATCTTGGGTCTTATAACTACCAAATCCGATTGATCATACTTGTTTTGTACAAATGGAAGATCCAACGTTTCAAATAAATCAACCAGTTTTTTGAAATCTCCAACATCAACTAATTGACAAGCAAATCCCTGACAACGGACAAGGTACCTATTATACTCTGCAAACAAATCTTGTAATGTAATCATTGCTGTATTTTTAGTCAATTTGAAATTGGTGAGATATTCGCTAATGTGTCGACTCAATTCATTATGATATAGTTTTGATGTTTTACTGATGCTTAATGGTGGAATACTCTTTTCCATCGTTCTTGCTGGACTTTTTGATACGAGACTAGAAAACGAAGATGAAAGTTTCATCAAATCTTGATATTTAAACATCAATTGTTCCAAATCATCCAATGAAGTGCTCAAAATAATCTCGTTGTTTTTCCTTTGTTGTTCACCAATCTGTTCCAATCCATGGATACCAGCTCCACTTTTCGTAACTGTCAATTTTGGAGGTTTCAACAACTTTGCATTTTGGTTTATGCCACCTTTCAATCTTAAATTCTCCCATTTGGATTCATCTATCAAATTGGCAACTTCCTGAAAAAACTTGGACTCGCCACCTTTGTGAAAGCTTACCTTGACATAAGGTCTATTATCATCTGTATACTGTTCTTTCCCTGGAGATTCTAGTTTCAAATTCAAGGGATTTTCCAAAACACAAGAAACGTTACTTACTAACGTAGTTGAAAAATTGGTCAATTCTGTACCACACATTTCGCAATACTTTATTGATTTATGGTTTATAAAAGTACACATTGGACATTGTCCATTAGCAGCCAAAGTGTCTGTTGTTGTGCCTTGAGGTTGGTCTTGAGATTTCAGCAGCATAGGACTTTGACGATTTTCCCTTTTCAATCTAGCATTTATTAAAATATTCTCTATATCGAAACGATTCGATTGAACGCCACAAGCAATACATTTGGGTGCCTCGTCATTATCCAAATCTAGTTTTCTTTCGATTGAGTTGTTAAAAGAACAAATCTTACATACCCAGACACCACCACCACCATCATCATCATCATCACCACCACCACCACCACCATTAATGTTACTATTTCTCGATTTTAAAAATAATTTTACTTTGGGGGATGATCTCAAAAACCCATCGATTAATTCCGCTAAAGATAATTGATCAATATTTACAGCGATGCTATTATTTCTAAAGTCCTTATTATCAAAGTAGATTATTCGTTTATTAGTTAGATATAACCGACCATCTTGATGGTCGGTTATTTTTGATTTCCCTTGGTATAGCCCAACGTGGTCTCTGATAAAGATATTATACTCATTATCTGCTAATATCGGTCGATTACTCCTATTGACTCTTATCGAGTGCCATACATTCAACCAAGACATTTAATCAAAAGGTAAAATGGTAATAAGATAAATGCAAAAAACTCAACCAATGCAATAAATGCCAAACCAGGAACTGGTTGAAAAGACGCAACTGGTCGCACACGCGGAGGGGGACTTATAAGCTGTGCCTGCTGAAGTAACCGAACAGTAATAGCTCCAATACGTCTAACCTTTCTTCTAAACAATAGAAGCTGGCCAATGATGGAAATCGATGATGATGGATTTTTCAAATTGCAATGTCTCAATGTCGTTTCGGACTTTGTCGTTTTGGACTTTGATTTTGTCGTTTTTAACTTTGACTTTGTCGCTTTTGACTTTGACTTTGACTTTGTCGTTTTTGACATTGTCGCTTTCGCTTTTGACTTTGTCGCTTTTGTCGCTATCACGTGATCGAGCATACTGGTTTTTTATTTTTTTTTCTTTTTCTTAAAAGACTGGCGCTGTTTATTAAAAAGCTCACAATGAAATTCAATAAGAAGCAGCTTTGAGAGGAAGGAGTTCAAAGAGTTGAAGGATTGAAGGATTGAAGGATTGAGGAAAGCTTTGGTTATATTAGGGGACTTGCGTGGGCTATTTATGTTCCAAGTGTTTTTCATTAATAGCTGGTAAACAAATAAGTAAAGGTTTGAGGTTGGTCAACAGGTCAAGGTTATCAATTTTTTTTTTGGGGCCAGGTTTTTCATTTTGACTTGACAACCAGAGTTTTGTGGTTAGCAACTGGGTGCTATAAAGAGGATTTCTCCTGTCTACCAACGCCGCCGTCAGCTTATCTCTAAGGTTTGTTGTCAAGAAAAAAAGGCAAGGGGGTAGTAAACTCAACATTGTTATGAAAAAGCTTAAAAAGGTTTTTCTTATAAAAAAGAATTCATAACATTTAAAGAGAAACTAAACTGATAGCAGAGGCATTCATAAAGAGGTAGGCCAGTGTAGTAGAGGCTGACTAGTATAGCATAGGCATCAACAAAGAGGTAGACTAGTGTAGCAGAGGCTGACTAGTGTAATAGAGGCATTGATAAAGAGGTAGACTAGTGTAGCAGAGGCTGACTAGTGTAGCAGAGGCTGACTAGTATAGCAGAGGCATTGATAAAGAGGTAGACTAGTGTAGCAGAGGCTGACTAGTATAGCAGAGGCATTGATAAAGAGGTAGACTAGTGTAGCAGAGGCTGACTAGTATAGCAGAGGCATTGATAAAGAGGTAGACTAGTGTAGCAGAGGCTGACTAGTGTAATAGAGGCATTGATAAAGAGGTAGACTAGTGTAGCAGAGGCTGACTAGTGTAGTAGAGGTATTAGCATAGAGGTAGACTAGTGTAGCAGAGGCATTGATAAAGAGGTGGACTAGTATAGCAGAGGCATCAACAAAGAAGCTGACTAATATAGCAGAGGCATTGATAAAGAGGTGGACTAGTATAGCAGAGGCATCAACAAAGAGGCAGACTAGTGTAATAGAGGTATTAGCATAGAGGCTGACTGACATAGAGCAAAGGTAGGCGAGAAGCGAAGCCAAGTCAAGCAGTTGCAAAGCCAAGTCAAGCAGTTCCGAAGCCAAGTCAAGCAGTTGCAAAGCCATATTAAACAGTTTGATAGAGACAGATTGACAAAGACAGATTATTCCACGGTAATCATACTTGATCACAAGCACAAATGGCATTCCTATTCAAGCGAAATCCCAAAACTCCTCAAGAGCTAGTAAGAGCCTTGAATGACCAATTGACTAAATTAGATTATAAAGATACTGACGCTACTAGCTTTAAAAAATACCAAGATGAAGCTTCGAGGCATTTGAAACAAATCAAATCAATAATATACGGTGATGACGAGAATGAGCCTCAACCAGATCAAGTAAATTATATATTACATGAAATTCTACTGACAAATGGTTTGTATTTGTTAACGTTCAATTTGGCCAAGTTGGACTTTGATTCTCGAAAAGATGTTGTTAAACTATTCCTGGTTTTGTTACGACGAAATGGAGTCGCAAATGGAACTAGTACTGGCGCCGGAACTAGTGCTGGTGCTAGTGCTGGTGCCGGAGCTGGTGCGGGACTTTCATCACCACCACCACCATCATCATCATCATTACTACCTTCTTCCCCTCCTGTTGTGGACTACTTACTAAACAAACACCCTGATATACTAACTTGTCTAATCCGAGGACCAGAGACTCCTGAATGCGGACTAATTTCGGGACAAATTCTTCGAGATTGTATTAAATTCGAAGCCATAAACAAATTTGTGCTTTATAGTCCTGAATTTTGGAATTTTTTTGAATATGTCCAAAATCGTACTTTTGAAGTCGCTTGTGATGCAATGATGACATTGAATGATCTTTTAACAATTAATAAGAAGTTGGTTTCTGAATTTCTAGCCAATAATTATGAGGTGTTTATGACCCATACAAATAATTTGATCAAATCTAATAATTACGTCACTAAGAGGCAGAGTGTAAAACTATTAAATGATCTAGTATCTCAAAAGGCTAACTTGGCATTTTTGAATAAATATTTTTCCGATACAAAGAATCTAAAGTATACAATGATGTTACTTAGTGAAAAACTGAAGAATTTACAACTTGAAGGATTTCACTTGTTAAAATTCTTTATTGCAAATCCAAAAAGGACTCAAAAAGTAAATGACACTTTAATAAAAAATAAGGGGAATTTCATTGAGTTTTTTAAAACCTTTGATACTGCAAGTTTTCATGACTCGAGTTTAAACGAGGAGAGGAACTATATAATCAAAGAGATTGGTGAACTTCCTGATAAAACATCGCCTTGCTAAATAAACAAATGAAATGAAATGGATAAAAATAAAAAAAGTTCTGAGAATCTTGTCTCTATATATCTATATCTGTAATGACAACATCAATGCATGCATAAATAAAAATTCGTAATGATATTTTTTTTTTTATACTTTGGCAATTCTTGACCAACCTTTGTACTCCTCTTCTCCATATTGAATCTTTCTTATCCACTCAGCTACTTGTGCGGTTAATTCACCAGAGTTTCCAAGTGATATAGGAACGTTTATGTCTTCACCTTTGTAGCCAATGTTTTTAATTGGAGAAACAACAGCTGCAGTTCCAGCACCAAATGCTTCAACCAAACAACCTTCCTTGGCAGCTTGTTTGATCTCATGTATTGTGAACTTGCGTTCACTTATTACCCATTCATCCTGGGATAATCTATCTCTAGCCAATTCTAGAATTGAGTCTCTTGTAACACCTTCTAATATCGTACCGTCTAATGGAGCAGTGACTAATTCTTTCTTACCAGTTTTTGCATCCTTTAATACAAAAAATGCATTCATAGTGCCTACTTCTGTAATATAACCTTCATCACCGAATAGCCACAAGTTTTGGTGGAACCCTTTTTCTGCGGCCTTCAACTGGGGCAATACACATGGAGCGTAATTTGCACCCAACTTCTTATCACCAACACCACCAGGCCAAGCTCTAACTGCATAGTCTGTGGCTTCTAAACTCACGGGTTTGAACCCCAGCGAATAATAAGGTCCCACTGGCGAGCAAATCACATACAACAATGCCTTATCAGGCACGCTCACTCCCAAAGAAGCAGAAGTGCCAATCATAGTTGGTCTAATATACAAGGAATAACCCTTTCCTTGAGGAATGAACTTCTTATCTAAAATTAATAGTTGATCAATTAATTTTAACAATTCTTCACCGTCAAATTGTGGCAATGCTATTCTTTCTGCTGATTTATTCATTCGAACCATATTTTTATCACCTCTGAAAGTTCGAATCTCTCCTTGAGCACCCTTGTATGCTTTCATACCTTCAAATAACTCAAACGCGTAATGGAACACAATAGTCGATGGGTCTAGTGACAAGTTATGATAGGGTGAAATTTTAGGACTTTTCCAACCAGTTTCCTTGTCCCATTCTATCTCAAGCATATGATCTGTAAAATATTTACCAAATACTAGCTCATTTTGGGGAATTTGCGGTTTAGGGTTTGTCGTTTTCTCAATGACTAATTTAGAAGAGTCCAAGGTGGAATAAAAACGAGCATTGTGCAAGAGGCTATTACACACGGGTTTGAATGACGAGGCAAAGTTCCGGCTAATAAACAGCATTGCTCTTGTTACCAGCTGAAATTAAAAAAGAAAGGGTCAATTACTGTTGACTTTTTTCATTTTAGTGATGACTTCAAGTTCGGCTCGGGAAAACAAAAAACGGAAACCACTTCCGCGCGCGCCGCCTAACACAAAAATCATCAATAGCGACACTAGGGAGCGAAGCGAGCTAGTGGAGCTGCACTTTGTAGCTTGTTACAACACTAGGGAGCGAAGCGAGCTAGTGGAGCTGCACTTTGTAGCTTGTTACAACACTAGGGAGCGAAGCGAGCTAGTGGAGCTGCACTTTGTAGCTTGTTACAACACAAGGGAGCGAAGCGAGCTAGTGGAGCTGCACTTTGTAGCTTGTTACAACACTGACTAGCAAAAACCCTTTTTGAACAAAACACTATCTCGCTCTGCTCGATAGTGAGCACTTTGTAGCTTGTTACGACACTATTTCGCTCTGCTCGATAGTGTTAATTGGAAGGGATTAGTTAACAGTTGAACCTCGTTTCTAGGCAGCACCTGCGGTAGAAGACCAGTGTAGAATACACCTCTTTATCAAAGAAACCTCTTTTCGCGCCTCATCGGCATCATTACTTGATCAGCTTGATCAGCTTCACCAGCATCACCATCGCCTCATTGGCATCATCCTCCACCTCCTAAACTACTGCTGCTACAGCACCAAACCTCCTCAACTTTTACCTAAACTTTTACCCTGACAAAATTATAACTATAACATACACCAAAGTTGGTCCCAATATGGTGACCACATTTTCACTACAACATGGTGCCAACAAACTCTCTCATGTAATTGCAAAAGAATCAACAACAAATCATTTTTCAACAGCGCGAAGGTCCAACGAAACCAACCTCAAAACCGGGTGACAAGATAATTGCAAAAAAAAAAAAGTTCAAGGGAAAGAAGGAAAAAAAAAAGGTGGAAACAAACGCAATCGCTGTATAGCCAAAGTTGGTTTTATTTGAACTTCTTTTTTCGGATAGGAACTGATCAACCGCTTTGGAACAAGCTTGACGAGGTAGAAAATAGGCAGGAAACACAGAAATGTCGGAGGTATGTTCTCAAAAAAAAAAAAAGAAGGCTTTAATAACAAGAGGGACGAGGTAATGCCAAAAGGAGAGAGGTTTAGGAGAAGGAGATGGAAGTACTAACATGGCATTAGGTTAAAAGAACCATTAGGATTACCACTGAGCAACATGTAATGAAAGATCTCCCACCAGTTGAGAATTTTCCAATGAGAAAATGGTCAATTTCGATATCGATGCTTGATGCACAAGGGTCAGAAATACCAGCCAAAATTTTGGACAAGGTTACTTATCATTTGCATCCAACGTTTGCCAATCCAGTTAGAGTTACAAAACAACAACCTTTCATAGTTGAAGAGCAAGGATGGGGTGAGTTTGATATTCCAATTGTAGTACATATATTGGGGATAAATGGTAAACCAGGTGAACGTAAGTTCCAGCACGATTTGAATTTCTTGCAAGAAAAGTATCACAATGACCATGTAATTTCGATCCCCGTTGGACCCAACAAGAACCCACAATTGAACAAATTTTTACTTGAAAGTGGTAGTTTGCCCTTTGACGAAGGCAGCAATAACAGCAATGGTCCCAGTGGGGTAAAGAGAAAATTAGAATCGAGTAATGGACCATCATCGTCAAATCAAGTTGCTGGGGACAAAAATAAGAAATCAAAGGGAGCAATCAAAGGTAATATTGATTTAGAAAAATTGTCTAATGGACTAACTAAATTAAGTGAAGATGATTTGATTGTGGTTGTTCAAATGGTTACTGATAATAGAACGAATGAAATGAATATCAAGAATGACGTCGATAACGGTGAGTTTACTATGGACTTGTATACTTTGCCTGATTCCTTGTTGAAGAGTTTATGGGATTATGTTAAGAAACATACAGGTGAAGCCTAGGGCGAATGGGGAAAGAAGATAAGCTAAGTAGAGATGAGTTTTACTGATGAATATAAAAGTACTCTAAATTTGTTCAATCCTCCTCCTCCTCCTCCCCCTCTACTCTCATCTGTTGGCCGCTTTGAACAACAATGTCACTAGTCAATGCTACTCCACTATCTTGCTTCGCTCGATAGTGTCGAACAATAGAGTCACTAGTCAATGCTGCTCCACTATCTCGCTTCGCTCGATAGTGTCGAACAATACGAAAAAGAATATCTTGATTACTACGAAACATTTTAAACATTTACACACTCCATACTTTTATTGTAGCGTCCCATGAACAAGTAGCTAGCGCGATGCCATCTGGACTTACACTGACATTATTAATTTTGTTGACATGATCATTACCAATAGTACCTACTACATCGTTTTTCAAAGTATCCCAAACAATACAGCCGTAATCTGAATAGCAAGCATATAGGAATCGTCCACTCTTGCCAAAGTCAAGAGAAAAAACACCGCGGTTTTCCAATATTGAATTTCTCGAGTCTGTACTCGACCTATCGCTTAGAGTATTATTACCAAATGTACCTGTTGCAGCAATACCACTCGTATTGAAGTGATGTTGATGATGTTGATTTTGTTGCTTTTCATTTGCAATTTGTGGTGGTGGTGGTAGTGGCAATGTCATTTGCGGCAATTCAGAATCGGTCAAATGACTGTTTTTTAGCACCAGCAGTAGCGAATACTGAGCTAGCTCACAGTCGCTTCTTAAATCAAACAATCTGATTAATGCATCATCAGATCCAATGGCAAATGCGTTACCATCAGGGAACCCCTTTAGACTACTCACATCACTATTGGAAATTCTAAAGTTTTGAGATGGCGTTGGTTGTCTTAGATCCCAAATCTTGGCATATCCGTCGGATGAGCCACTAATAAATAGGTTATCCAGCAATACATTATTAGGGAATATACTCAAGCATAGAACGTCGCCAATGTGGTCAATAAAATCACGGGATTTTGACCCTTTAGTAATGTCCCATAATGCACATGTCATATCACCACTGCCCGTGACAATTGAGTTATTACCAATAAATTCACAATCGGATATATAAGCGGTATGGCCTTTGAATATCGATTGTACCGATTGATAAAACCCCGTTCTCATTGGAAGATAACCCGTTTGGTCATCTTGATAATGCTGCACGGGATAGTTTGAGGTATCGGATTTTATCTTGTAAATAGTGCAATGGTTGTCCAAACCTGCTGAAGCAACCATTTTCTCGTTGGGCGATAAACTGCAAGTTAATACCCAGGGATTATCCAATTGAATGGCTTGCTTTTTGAAACCAGTGACTGCATCCCATAAGATCATGTACCCATCCTGTGAAGCAGAGAGTAACCTCGAGGATTCAGTATTCCAGCAAATTTTAGCAACTTTATTTTGATGACCTCTCAACGTGTTATAAAGTTTCAATTTGCACGAATTACGAGGTATTTCATTTACATGTTGCGAAACCAATTGCAATGATGCATCCTGTGTTTTTTTCTTGATGGCAATGATTTCTTCATAAAGCTTTTTGGCCTTGACTTTTGCCTGATCAATTTGTTTGGATATTGTGCTACAGTCTGTCAATTTGTATTGTTGTTGTTGTTGTTGTTGTTGGTGTTGTTGTTGTTGGTGTTGTTGGTGTTGTTGTTGTTGGTGTTGTCGTTGGTGTTGTTGTTGCTGCAGCTGTTGCAGTTGTTGGAGCTGCTCTTTTTTTGACTCAATGGTCAATGTTTGTCGTCCTATCGTCACTATTGAATCTCCAAAAACGGAAGACATTACATGCAACTACTCAGAGTATCCGGCTATATTTATTGATGTTGGTCAAGTTCCCTTAATATACGTTTGTAAGGATTGAGGAAGGCGGATGAACAAAGAGTAAGGAAGAGAATGAGAGAAATTATATAGCAAATATTGAGAGTTAAATCCCAAATCCAAAACCAAGTGAGATTTAAAGTGGAGGGGGGTAAGGACGCAAGATTAGGGGCGGCAATATGACTGCCTTAAAATTTAGGAGAAATGTTAACCTAGAGTACAATGTGGTTTTAACTCTAAACGGGTGTAATTATAAGCTATTTTTTGACAAGTTAGCACTAAAATGAACAACAATAGAGTTAATAATTTACAAGATATAAACACTAAATGATTTGTAATTAAAAACCTGAACTAAAAAGAACCAAAAAGTCAGTTTTTGAAACAATAGAGAGAAACCATTGGTTAATAGTAACATACAGGTTTTATTGTACATCCTGGGCCCCAACTAATGCTTTTCTAATTTGTAGTCTTCTACTGTAAGTCCTTCATCTTATGCTACCAAAAGAAGTTGAGGAAGAAAAAACAATGCGGTTTTCATTCAGGCTTTATATAGGTTCTTCTTTTAGTAATATGTATAATGAAACAAACCCCAAAAAAATTGAGTGTTTTTCTCACATGAGTCTAGACAAAATTAGTGAAAATGAGTAAGTAAGATGAGAGAAGAATTTGCAGGAAAAGGTGTTAAAGGGAATAAGGAGCAGAGTAAAGATGGAAAAGTATGTATGATAGTATGTATGTTGAAAGTAGTATGATAGTAAGGAAGCAATCAAACTCGTGTGTGTAAGGAAGTAATTAACCCCGTGGGTGTAAAGATGCAATCAATTTTAAATCCGTGTTGTGTGTCTACTGTTTCCAAGAAGAAATCTGTTGGAAAAGTTGGATACTTACTAAAATACGCTCAACCTTTGTAACTTGTAAGTCTACACAAAAGAGCTACAAACCAAATACTTTTCTTTTTTTCAATAATAATGCTACTTTTTTAGAATGTTCCATTGCTAAGCAATGTTTTTATTACCAGGCATGGATTAAATATAAATAATCATGTGTAGATTATAATGATTAGCTTGTACATAGGTTCAATGCATAACTCTTGAAAAATATCTCTCTCCCTGGTCCGCCAAACTTGGTTTAAATGTAAACAACACACCCTCCGCGACACTATCGAGCAGAGCGAGATAGTGGAGCACACCAACTCTACCGACACTGGCTAGCTACAAATTAAGTTGAACAATGTGAGTTAGTTTCTGAATCTATTAAAGTCTTGAGCCGGTACTTATTAGCTTCACAGCCCGTTCACCTCAATATGTATCCTTCCAAAATAAAAAATAAAAAAACACTAGTTTACACAAGTTATATGAAGGGGATTGCAAGGAGGTATTTTAGTCAGTATATTGTCTCTTCGAGTTAGTTTGGTGCACCAGCTGTTTCACCAGCTGTTGTCTCCACCCTAGGTACCGATAAACCCATGTTTTCATTTTATCAAGCAATAGAAACATCCATCTCGGAAGCTTATTTTTGTTTTTCTTTTCTTTTAAATTTATTTCTCACTAAGTTTTAGCTCTTTTCTAGTGTTTGTGTATTGTTATGATTGACAGGGTCCTGTCGTTGATTTTCTTGTTGATTTTGTCTTTGCACATTTGGAATAGGTGCGGCTGCTGTTTTTTCTGCTCTTGAAATACTTCGCTTATACTTATCATCTAGTCCACCAGTAACACTTCTTAAGTAATGAGGTATATCCATTCCGTTCTTCAAATAAAACACTTTCCAGTTTCTTGCCTTGTCCTTAAGCTGAACTTGACTTCTATTTTTCAAACTTTCGTTTATTTTTCCTCCTTTGCCAAATAGGTCTAATATTGCCGACCAATGAGGCCCCTTCAACTCCATGGCATGCTTGAATGCTTTTTCCTCTTCCCTCGTCCATGGTCTCCTTTGACTTGGCTTGTGTCCATTGACCCTAATCTGTTTCTCCCTTATTTCCGATGGGAGTAAATTACTATGGTCCTCATTGCCATTTTCAGCAGTGGTCTGAGAAGACTCTTCATTGGCTCCTCCGCCTCCGCCACTAGTACTACTACTAACAGTATAGTTCATTTGTGCATTGATTCTGTCATATAGTTCTTGACTGCGAAGTGGAGTCTCATCTCTCTTTTCCCGGCTTGGTTTTCCTGATTTACCCCAAATTAAATATCCCATATTCTTTGACACATAATCAAATAAGTCTTTCAAGAACGTGAACCATTTGAAATTCTCAGAAAGTGGTGGCTGTGTTTCTTCTTGGTAATTTAATAAAAACTGCTTTCTCGATTTACACCGCTCAACAAAATCAAGTTCGGTCGGTAATAGCATTGAAACATTTCGTCGTGCTAACAAGATTTCAGCCATGTTGTCAGGTAAGATATCTTCCAATATCTCTTCTCTAGATCGTTCCCCCGCTTCAATGGCCGATATATATGCCTGCGTCTTAAGATCTAGATAAAGCATCGCCTGTGGCTTCAATAGTTTACCTATCCTGTCTCCAATAGCTGAACCTGTTCCTGATTGGATGCTAGTTGCCAACGAAGAAAATGTGTTCTCCGAATAATTCACATCGGATAAACTGTTCTTAGTATCCAAGTCATTGGCTGGACAGAAAATGTCCAAAAATGATTCATTAAGGTAAAAAAACCCAATTTCCATCGTTCCTAGTGTAGCTGCTAAAAAAGTTGCTAAATTCACTTTTCTCAAAGTTGACTCTATACTCTGCTCTTTATTTTTGAATACTTGTGGAGTTACTTCGCCAACATGCCACATTCCAGGTGCAATATGGTCCACGGTTAGAAATGGATCTTCTTCAGAATAAAGCCTTTTTGTAAATTCAAATAACGATGTCAAATCCCGATATGTTGCTCCTTCGGGCCTATCTGGACTGGATGCGAGATCCACGATTTTTTTGTACGAAGAGCTTGCCACGATTCTTAGTAGCTGCGTGGCCAAATTATCCAAGCTGGGCAACGTATTGATGAGCAATTGTATACGTGGGGGTAAGTAGTCGGCAGCTACAATAGGCAAGGGTAGAACAGAAAGGTTTGCCAGGGTGAATATGGCTCTTGTGGGATCAAGGGTCAGATGTTGGTATTGTGAGGAAAGAGACGTATATGCAGCATGAGCAGCATTGGTGTTAAACAATTCAGAGTCCGCAGGTATAGCAGAAGATGAGTAGTTTTTCCGGCCCTGTAGTTGCAGTTGCAGTTGCAGTTGCAGTTGCAGCTGTGACAGTAGATTCTGTTCCTGTTCCTGCAACGGCAGTGACTTTGTGGCATGAGCTGTTGATTGATCACCAAAAGACACCGATTCATTTTTTTCATTTGCATCTGGTTGCTTTAATGATTTGTGTAAGTACAGCTCCTGTTGCTCTTGTTGTTGTTTCAATTGTTTCTGAGCCTGCTGAACGAGTTGGTCCCTGCTGTTGGAGACGTGGTCTTTTTCCTTTTCCTTTGGGCCTTTTTCATCACTCTCATTAGTCCCTTTTTGCTTTAGTTCCTCCAACTCTTTCGAGGTTTGTAGTCCACTAGCTTGTGTCTTTTGTCGTTTTATTAGTCGCTCATCTTCGCCTAAAGACTTTTCGTCCTTGATCTTCTCCTCGGTCAATCCAAAGTCTGCCTGATTGTTTAGCACTTGGGCAACTGCTAATAAACTATGTTCGGTTGTACTAAGGGAAGTATATGACTGTTGTGGCTGCTGCTGCTGTTGTTGTTCTAGTGTCTGTTTGCGTTGCAACTCATCATCAATATTTGCATCTTCCATCTTAATTGTGGATGGTATAAAATAAACTTTCAGTGTACCAGCCCTATGTCCTATCTGATGGACTTTTGTAATAGTATAATGTTTACATTTCTTAATCTTTAATCTCTAGAAAAAAGAAAAATTATTTCAGTTTTTTTTTTTGATGCTTAGCGCCGACACTATCGACACTATGGAGTAAAGCGAGATGGTGGAGCAGTGGAGCAGCACTGACTACTGACACTCTCGAGAGAAGCGAGATACTGGTGCAGTGGAGCAGCACTGACTACTGACACTAGTCGAGAGAATGTAGAGAATGTAGAACTGCCAGAGTATGTGAAATGGAGACTTGAGGGACCAATGCGGCTCTAGTCGAGAAAATGTAAAGAATGTAGAAATGCCAGAGTATATATAATGGAGCCAAGCAGAACAGAGTGACTGATATTAGAGTATGGAGAGGAAAAAGTGTAGTTACCAGAATTGCTTATTGCTTTACTAGTGGAGTAGTTACCTTTGGCTCTGCTAGTGGAGTAGTTACCAGAATTGCTTATTGCTTTACTAGTGGAGTAGTTACCAGAATTGCTTATTGCTTTACAACTGGAGTAGTTACCTTTGGCTCTGCTAGTGGAGTAGTTACCAGAATTGCTTATTGCTTTACAAGTGGAGTAGTTACCTTTGGCTCTGCTAGTGGAGTAGTTACCAGAATTGCTTATTGCTTTACAAGTGGAGTAGTTACCTTTGGCTCTGCTAGTGGAGTAGTTATTTTTCACTCCACTGACGAAAGGTGGGGGGCTATTCAGCTTTAGGACCGTACTAACCGAAAAGTATAAACCTTAATTTACATTGAATTACAAGGTTTCAAAGTTCTAAAGCTCTAAAGAACAAAATGTTTCCCACCAAAAATATATGTGGGCAGTTCGGGAATTTATTCCGCTTCTACAAAATTGAATATACATCATCATAACTCTCTCTCTCTCACTCTTTCTCTATTTCTCTCACTCTCTCTCACTCTCTCTCACTCTCTCTCACTCTCTCTCACTCTTTCTCACACTCTCTCCCACTCTCTCTCTTTCACTCTTTCACTCTCTCTCTTTCACTCTTTCACTCTTCCACTATTTCTCTATTTCTCACTCACTCATACTTTTTTTTCATCCCTCGCTTTCTCTTTCTTCAAAGACATTAGCGCATTTGCCTAATTGGTAACTTTTCCGCTTAAAAAATAATTTCCGCTAAAATAGTTTTTCAGGGATACATCATTAAGTAAAGTATAAAACATCTGTTATATATCCCCCCCATCTTGTCATAAAAATGTCTTTCTGCTAGCAACAACTTCCTTTTCCCGTCATTATAAGGTCATATTGGTAATTAGGGGAGCTTATACATTATGGCAACCGCATCTATCTCCGCTCACTACTTTCCGGAAGAGCCTAAGGAGCCTATTGTTAACACAGCAAGCAACTCCCAATCCAAATCCAAAGAGGCAATTGAAAAATTAAGCAAGAAATTTGATGCTCGTGGTGTTTACTTTGTTGCCGATTATGCTAAATCAATTGGTAACTATATCGCTGATGTAGATGGTAACATGTACTTAGATGTCTATGCACAGATCTCGTCAATTGCATTGGGTTATAATAATCCAGCATTGATTGATGTCGCCAAGTCCGATAAAATGATTAGAGCCATCGTTGATCGTCCAGCATTGGGAAATTTCCCAGGCAATGATTTAGAAGAAATCGTTGGGGACATTTTGAAGGTTGCACCAAAAGGCCAAGATAAGGTGTGGTCTGGATTATCTGGAGCTGATGCTAATGAATTAGCATTTAAAGCTGTATTTTTTTGGTATCAGTCGCAAAAGAGAGGATACAGAGCGGACTTTACGGCACAGGAAATTGAATCCGTTATGAAGAATCAAGCTCCTGGTTCACCAGAGTTGGCCATCTTATCGTTTGAACGTGCTTTCCATGGTCGGTTATTTGCATCCGGTTCAGCCACTTGCTCGAAACCAATTCACAAATTAGATTTACCAGCATTCAAGTGGCCAAAAGCTCAATTCCCATCCTACAAATATCCATTAGAAGACAATGTCGAAGTTAATAAAAAAGAAGACGAAAGATGTTTACAGATTGTTGAAGATTACTTTAAAACTTGGAGTGTCCCAATTGCCGGAATTTTAGTTGAGCCTATTCAGTCAGAAGGTGGTGATAACCACGCCTCGGCAGAATTCTTTCAAGGCTTGAGAGATATCACATTGAAGAATGGCGCTCTTTTGATAATGGATGAAGTGCAGACTGGTGTTGGTGCCACTGGAGTCATGTGGGCTCATGAAAAATTTGATTTACAACCGCCTCCAGATTTAGTCACATTCTCCAAAAAATTTCAGTCGGCAGGATACTTCTTCCACGACCCTGAAATCATACCAAACCTCGCCTATAGACAGTTTTGCACTTGGTGTGGTGATCCAGCAAGAATGATTTTAGCTGGAGGTATTGGTAAGGAAGTTGTCAAGCACAATTTACCAGCACGAGCAGCTCAAGTGGGAGACTACTTGTACCAAAAGTTGGAAGCTTTGCAACAAAAGTATCCAAAATACTTGCGTGACTTGAGAGGTAAAGATAGAGCTACTTTTATTGCATGGTCTTTGGAAAATAGCGCAACAAGAAACAAATTTTTGAGTGATATGAAGAATGCAGGTATCAATATTGGTGGCTGTGCTGAAGACTCTGTTAGATTGAGGCCAACATTAGTCTTTGAAGAAAAGCACGCCGATATACTTGTTGCCGCTATTGAAAAAGTTTTGTCAACCTACTAAATATATCTCTCTCCAATAACTATATTTGCAATGTAACGCACGTATTGTCTTAACCCAGTAATTGTACAAAATAACAAATGTATTTAACATTTCACATTTCTCTCATTTTTCTTTGCTACATTGTAGAGGTGTGGGCAGAAATCGACACTATCGAGCAGAGCTAGTAAGTACTGCAACACTATCTCGCTCTGCTCCATAGTGGCCCTCATCGAATCTCCAAAACTTTATTTCTTTTTTTTTTCACCCCAGATTCCACCAAAGAGAAGGGGGAAAAAAAAACACATCAATTTCTCGGATCGGATTAGAGAAATCAATTTTTCACTTTTTCTTTTTAGATTCGTTACCCCAACTTCATTCAAAAGAGGCTTTTAGTGAAAGCTTCAGTTAGGCAGAAACCTTTTCCCCCTTTTTCCCACTCCTTTTTTATTTATTTTTTTTTTTGCTTTGGCTGATGGAGAATTACAAATTGCCGGGAGCATATCATTCACAGCTATATATTGATATCAAGAGACTTATAAAGAAGGATTCCAATGCGTCGTTTCTAGCTGGCGGGGTAGCGGGCGCAGTTTCAAGAACTGTAGTGTCTCCCTTTGAAAGGGCCAAGATCTTGTTACAATTACAAGGTCCCGGGTCAAAACATGCATACAATGGGATGTTCTCAACAATCGCCAAAATGTATCGAGAAGAAGGATGGCGTGGGTTATTGCGAGGCAACATGCTCAACTGTATTCGGATATTCCCATACAGTGCTGTTCAATTTGCGGTATTTGAAGAATGCAAACACTTGATTTTTACCTACTGGAGGAAGCCTAGTTTGGCGGCTGCCGGGGCCGGGACTGGGACTGTGACTGGGACTGGTGTTGCTCAACTAACAGCGGGTGAAAGGTTATTTGCAGGCTCTATGGCAGGCGCAATCTCGGTTGCAGCGACATACCCTTTAGACTTGGTACGAGCAAGGATTACGGTTCAAACAGCATCCTTGGACAAGCTCATAAAGGGAAAACTAGTTGAGCCGCCATCAGTGTGGAAAACTTTAGAGGAAGTTTATAAGCATGAAGGTGGCATTCTTGCTTTATATCGAGGTATAGTACCTACGACTATGGGAGTAGCGCCATATGTTGCCATAAACTTTGCATTATATGAGAGACTACGAGAATACATGGACGAGTCACCACAAGATTTCTCAAACCCTATCTGGAAGTTATCTGCCGGAGCGTTCAGTTCATTTGTTGGCGGTGTCCTAATATATCCCTTGGACGTTTTAAGAAAAAGATTTCAAGTCGCAAACATGGCTGGTGGAGAACTAGGATTTCAATATAAGTCAGTAACACATGCATTATACTCCATGTTCAAGCACGAGGGGTTTTTTGGCGCTTATAAGGGATTAACTGCCAATCTATATAAAATCGTTCCATCGATGGCCGTTAGTTGGTTGTGCTATGATACCCTCAAAGACTGGCTCAAAAATTGGTAACCCTTACAATAGTAGCGAGCGAAGCAAGCTAGTGTCACTCTCCTCAAGTACCACCAAAAATTGGTAACCCTTACAATAGTAGCGAGCGAAGAGAGCTAGTGTCGCTCTCTCCAGCTACTATGGCTCTCTCCAAGTACAGCCAAAAATTGTTTAGACAAATATATAAAGACAACAACAAGACAATAGAAAGCTAGAAAGATTATAGACCAATAAATATCATTCCAGTAAATAGCCCAAAGTGGCTCAAGCGGCGTCCCTCCCCCCCCCCCTCCATAATAGGCCTTTCTTGTTTCTCTTACATATTAAATCAGATGGTTGGTCCTGTATATAACAAACAACCAACCAAAAAACCAGTAATAAAAATTCATCGCTCAAAGCAGAAGAAAAAAAATGATTGGAATTAATACTACAAGAGTTCACAAGTTTATAAGTGATACAAGTTTAGTCCTTCATATATTCACCGCACACGAGAGAGGTTATTACCAGAATGCACGCATCCAGAGTTTTATTGAATACTGCTAGGAATATTAAGCCAAAGATGACATATCCCGTGGAGATGACTCCCCTTTTTGTAGTTGTCGGAGTTGCTATTGCTTCAGGTTGTTTCTTTACATATAGACATTTCCAGTACGACAAGGAATTGAGATTGTGGAAGAACCCCAATTTATCAGAGTTGGACAGTGTATTGGATAAAGCCGAGAGAGAAAACAAGTGAAGGTGAGGGGAAACTAGGATCAATTGCAAAAAGGACCTTTTACTTCAACCTCCACCAACCAGATTTGCTTGATTGCGCACATTACGTGTAGTTGGAAAGCAAACTCGTCTCTTTCTCCTCCCCCCCAGATTTTCTTTTTTTAATTGTCCTTTACAGGTTTTGTTTTGTCTGTTTATGAATATACGTTCAATGAATTTTTTTTTTCATATATACATGGAAGAGACCCCAAAATCTTCTAATGAAATTTCTATATTAACTTAATGACGACTGAATCCTACTTTCATGCTCATTTTCAATATTTGTAAAGTAATCAGTCACCTCGGGAGTTTGATCTAGGTTGTCGATTGCTCTTAAAAACCCCTTTGAATGCTCCTCTGGAAATTGTACTTGTACGTCTTTCTCGGCAAGGTACCTCACAGTTGAGTCATGTAGTTTGTATCCCTTTGAAGTTAGCTGATTGCAGATGCTATAGATATCTCCAGGCTCGCATATTAAACGGTATACCTTATGTTTCAAATTCGGCTTAAAATCATCATCAAGATCCAATTCCTCAAAGTCATCCGCACCCAACTCCAAGGCAAGTTCAAGCACTTCATCTGAGGACTGGTTATCTCCATCTTTTCCTGGTTTAAACAAGATTTCCCCCTTTTTAGAAAACATGTAGTTACAGGGACTCATCGACGCTGAAAAATATGCCAATGCCGTCTTTACCCTCATTATTGTTCTTGCTTTGTTGTCTGTGAGGGCAGCAACAATAATCGCAACACCACCGGGACCTATAAATTCGTAGCTAACCTCGTTTTGAATTGCCGATCCCTCAATCTCTCCGGCACCTCTCTTGATAGCATTCTGTACAACTTGCTTTGAAACATTCAACTTTTTCGCCTTTTCCAAAAGCAGCTCTAATGTTGCATTTCCTTCTTTGCCACCAGTTCGTACACAACTCTCTATTCTAGTTACCATAAATGTTGCTTCCTTGGATTTTTTAGCATCATTTTTGGCCTTATCATGTTTGATGTTGGCCCATTTCGAATGGCCCGCAAATCTAAGACCGAGGCGTTGTGTGACAAAAATTGGACTAACAGATCGTTGCATTAGCAGCTGCCACCCTGGTCGTATCATCTTCTTCTAAAATAGCTTGTAACTAGACTGGTGAAAACTTGCAATTATTATCGTGAAGAATTCTGAAATTTTTCATTCGATATTGGTACCAAAAAAAAAAAGAAAAGAAAAAAAAAAGAAAGGAAGGAAAACAAAGTAGGCGTATGTGAAGATAGCTCCAAAGAAAGTTTTAAAGATAGCTCCTACAACTGTGTTACTACCATCACCGCCTCTTGCATCTCCTCCCTATATCTTTTGCATTGATACATATATATAATAATGAGTTCTGGAAGTGAGGCATTGGCCGAACGGAAGTTAATTGCTACAATTGCTGATGAGGATACAGTAACTGGATTACTTCTAGCAGGAATTGGACAAGTTTCGAACGAGCCAGGTAAAAGTACCAATTTTTTAACCGTCATACCGGGAAAGACAACTACAGACGATATTGATGAGGCATTCGACACTTTTACAAAGGACAGGAATGATATCGCTATTTTGCTAATCAACCAGCACTTGGCGGATTTGATAAGGTATAAAGTTGATGGCTATACAAACGCCTTCCCGGCAATTTTGGAGATTCCTTCGAAAGACCACCCTTATGATCCAGAGAAGGATTCAATCTTGAAAAAGGTAAGGAGGTTATTTGGTGAGTGAGTAAGTTTCCTGTTTTAAATTATATGACATTTTCCAGTTCTTTCCAGTTCCGCTTTAGAGATGTGTTTCTACGTAGGGAGGGAGAGTATTCAAATTAGCTCGTATTTCTACTTAGGCAAGGAGTATTCAGATTAGCTCATATTTCTATTTAGGCAAGGAGTATTCAGATTAGCTCATATTTCTACTTAGGCAAGGATTATTCAAATTAGCTCATGTTTCCTTTACATTGTTCTTCTTTTTCTTATTTTTCTTTTTCTTACCAGAACTGCTTTCGGGTTGGCTTGACTGCTCTTTTGGCTCATCCTCATTGTTATCATCCTCTTTGTCATCAACGTCAACGTCAACGTCAACTTTTTCCTTGATTTCTTCACCAGCGACGTTGACTGCTGCTTCTTCTTCTTCTCCTTTAACAATTTCCTTATTCAAGTTTTCACTTGAATGATCCTTCTTTTCAAAAGCCTCTTGAATATCTTTTTGGTGGTTTTCAGTGTCAGTTGATATATTGATGACATCCACATGATACTTAACCAGATCAGTATCAAATGCATCATTAATGTCTTTCTTGACCTCTTCTGACTTTACTTTGGTTTTTTCAAGTTCCTCGGGCTGGATATCATTACTTGACTGAGTTACCGCATCTGAAGTAGAAGCTGGCTCTAAGTTTTCCCCTTCTCTGGATTCTGGTACTTGTGAATCTGTGTTTTTGTTTAAATCTTTGCTCACTTCAATTGCATTTTGTTTGGATACATTAGCTTCTTCGCTAACTTGGGAGGGCTCTATAGCGTCAGCACTTTGAACAACCGCTGCTGCTCCTGCTCTCGCTGCATCTGTACCCGCTACATCACCTGGTGTAGTAGTACTCTCCGATTCACCTGAACGTATACCATCACTAACAGGTGACTTTTCATTGATTCCACTGGTTGTATTACCATTTTCGCTTACACTTTCATTATAAGCTGTAGTTTCTTCTCCAACTTTTCCATCCTTCTTTTCTGATACGGTCTCCTTCTCTCCCCCCAGATCTGATACCGCGGTAGAATTATGTGCCTTCTCAGGTACGCTGCTTTGTTCATTTTTTTTCACACGAGTGGTATCAGCCCAATAATTTTTCGCAAACAAGTCTGGCAAAACACACTCTTTGACATAAAAATCACGAACACCAACTATCCTTCTTTCTCTTTCACACGCTTTTAACCATTCGGGTCTTATTATTGGAATATTCATTTCATTCGCCTTGATGTATTCTGGGTTTTGTTTGTTTTCCCTTGTACACAAATAATGCGTCGTGTCGACTTTCACCTGATCCTGCGCAGGATGTTTTGCACCCATATTCTTCAACGCATCTTCGATGTCCTGCCTTGAGAACGGGTCATTAGGACTCAAATCCCCAATGCAAACGGTGATTCCAGATAAATTGGTCATCTTGTGAGTATTCACCTCGATTTCTTGACTCATAAACGTGCCAGCAGAGGTGTCCAACCTCAATTGAAACTTAAACATCTTGTCTACTGGTAATCCTGACAATTTAGACGTTTTATTGGTCAATGGTTGCGGTATCGAGCCCAACTTCTTTCCATCCTTAAACAAGATCAAGTTTCTCAAACTCGATGTGCCCAACTCTAAAGGATCCCACTCTAAAACGCATGAAGTTTGAGTAATATTCTTGACCTTTAAGTTGGGAGCTTTTGGCGCATGTGTAGCAAAGGTTTGATAGATCTCATCTTGGATGCTTTGAAAATGAAGCAGTTCTTCCTTCTCGCTTTCAAAGTCTTGATCACACTTGATTTTGACTATCGACCCAGCTTTAACTCCATTGGGAAGCAAGATGGTTGGAAATTCAATCAAATGATGATCTTTGGTTAGCAATAGCGCCAAAGAAGCGTCTAACTTTCCTACTGTCAAGGAAACCTCAACCATAACTTTCCTGGTACCTTAAATACTCACCGTTTATTCAATCCCATAGGAACAAAAACTCATAAAAATTTCACTTACGTAATTTTTCAAGTCGACAAGGTAGCGATGCCCATTGTAAAAATTAAACAAACAAGAATTACTTTGAACAATGATGAAAAGAGATGTTGAGATGAAAAGTATATCCTCCCCCCCAAAAAAAAAGAAAGAATCATTATCTATGTACGTATACCCATTGCCCTCAAGTCTTCATTGATTTCTTCGTCGCTGGCTTTTCTCAACAATAGCTCCTGTGGCATAGGATCATTCGTTTCAAGAGCCATAGACGAGGAGACAATAGCAGATGGAAACCCACAAAATTCAATCAATCCATTCAATATACCCAATTGTTCGTTCAAATTGTTCCGCTGTTGGACCAATTCCACTATAGCGTTTTGCTTTATGATTTTCTTTGTCTTTGGTGCTGAGTTGCTTATGATGTCTGTAAATGCAGCGTGTCCACTGTCCACGTTTAGTGTGCTCGACGGTATAGCTGCATAATTAAAATCGGGAACAATCTGATCTAATTGGTTTCGTTCTTTGTTGATCTTGTACCACATCGATGTCGTCTCGGTTATCATTTTATTTTTGCAGCCCATAATATTCTTGAGAAAGTCTTGGTGAATAGATGTTCGTGTAGCTAGCGTCTCCTTGTCAATGCATTTGAGTTTATAGGATAGGTTTGAATTAGCCAAGTTTATACTATCCTGGTAGAATCCGTTTATCTTGTAATATATCTTGGAGAGCTCGGGATGCGACCCTTCAAGACATAATTGCAATTCTTTCTCTAGTAGGGATAGTTTATCTTCGTATATCTTATCTCGAACTTCTGCAAAGCAAGTTTCTATAGCAATTAGTCCTTCAATCGCCAATTGCCTCTGTTCATTAAGATCAATATTATTCTCCTCAGCGGTAGCGGCTTTCTGATCGGTGCTTTCCTTTTCATTTTCAACGCTTATTGCGTCTTTGTTGGTAGTTAGTTTATTCTCTGAAGCTTTATCGAGGTCGTTTGTCATCTTGAAAGTCGTCGTTTCGTTGCCTTCGTCGTCCTCGGCATCAGCATCAGCATCGTCCTCATCCTCATCCTCATCCTCGTCCTCGTCCTCGTCCTCTTCTTCATCCTCGGCTTCGGCTCCGTTATCTTCCTCATCTTGAGGTATTCGCTTCGACAAATTTTCGTGCTCTTCTTCAATATCGTCTTCATTTTCGATGACATCTGATCGACTCAATTTACCATTTTTACTATCTTTACTCAGCGTCTCCTTTCCATTTTCAATCTCTATCAGTGTGTTGTTTGCATTCCCATTCAATACCTTTTGCCTCTTGTGGTTATCTATCAAAGAACTTTTATCTTTATCATCTTCACCATCATCTTCATTTTCATCATAATCAAGTGCTGTTCGTTTGCGTATTATCGCCGAGTTTGTCAGCTCATCCTCATTATGCTCATTGCTAGTCGACACTCTTTCACCATCCTCCTCTTCGTTATCTATTTCCTTCAGCTTTGCAAGTTCTGTTAGCTGGGACAATTTTTGCAAATCGGTTACTCTTGGTATACTATCAGAATCTCCTTCTTCATCCAAGAAATCCATTCTATCAGTCTCGGCTTCTGATTGATCGTCGCCCAATTCACTCAATTCTGAGCTTTCATAACTGTCTCTTCTTCGAATAGTGTCACTTTTATTGTTTGCCATTTCATTAGTGTGCGTCTCCGCTTTCACTTTTGTTGTTCTGATTTCTTCTTCATTGTCTGAAGGAGATTTACTATGAGTTTGTTGCCTAGCAACTTGTCGACCATTCTCATCTCCCGAGTTTTTAATCACTTCATCTGAAATTGTTTGCATATCTGCGTCCAAATTAAAATCTTGTTCACGTAACGACAACTCAAAAGGCGGCGGTGATGTTGCAATATCCGTCAATGGGGATTCTTTGTTCATGGTGGTGAGATTTGCCTCCTCGACATCTACATTGTCGATATGCTCATGCTCATGCTCATGCTCATGCTCATGCTCCTGTTTGTGGTCACGCTCTTGATCACGCTGTTGTAAATGTGCCCCGTTGTTGAAAACTGCATTTATTTTGTCCACCATATCTTCCGCCAGCATTGAGGGCGATAATGGCGCTGTGGTCTTGACAGGTTCTAGAAGTCGTACTTCTGTCTTGGTATCCTCCATCTTTTCCTTAAAATCGGCAATTATTATCAAGTTCAAGCGCACACGGGTATGGTATTAGAGTCTCCTCAATAGTAGAAAGCCCAGTTTTCTTTTTTTATATTAAAAGTATCTCTCTATCTCGTGGAGTGTTTGAGGAAAACTTCAAAATATCTATGATGATTTTTTAACCTGCTCTATTCACTCTGCTTAATCTGCTCTCTTTGGAACCACAGCTCTCTTTTGACTAAAATATACCTCTGTTCTCGCGACAGCCAAAAAAAAAATTGTAAAAGCCTTAAATACTACGTCTTCTTGACTTTTATCCTCGTACACTGGATGTGCTAGCAAAACCTAGTTTTGTAAGAAAACTGTTATAATTGTTGTCTTCTCCTAGGTATTAAAGTAAATACAAAATTACTGTGCGAGAAGTTCAATGTGAGAGATCCACAAAGCTGGAACAGAAAAAAAAAAAAATGATGGATTGGTAGCGACCAATCGGAGCTAAATAACCTTTCAACTGAGAGATGGCATAAATTACAAGCCGTGGGAATATAGATACTATCGAGCAGAGCGAGATAGTGTCGATAGTGTTGATAGTGATGGCTAGTCAGTGCTGCCCCACTATCGAGCAGAGCGAGATAGTGTCTGCTTAACAATGACAATTAGTCAGTGCTGCTCCACTATCGACACTACTAAAGGAGAACAAGTAAGAGAGAAGAAACCCATCAATTTCAAAAGATTAGTTTTTCTTCTAATTAGGGGAAATGAACAGAAATCTACAAGTCGCTAATTCAACAGTCAATTTGCAAAAAAAGAGTAATGTTATTCTCACGACATTATTGAGCTCCACTATCGAGCTCCACTATCGAGCGAAGCGAGATAGTGGAGCAGCACTGACTAGCCGTCACTATCAACACTATCGACACTATCTCTCTCTGCTCGATAGAAGAGCAGCACTGACTAGTCTATAGAGAGAAGAGAGAGTAGATATAGACTATCTCGCTTTGCTCGATAGTCTATAGCGCTCTGCCCAAACGCTTCTAATAGGAATTTCCCCTATTAAAAGATACCCTTACAGCTTATTACTATTTCGCTACAGGTTCTCTCAACTTTTAAATACTTCTTCCCCCCCCTCCCCCGTGTTCCTTCTCCTCTATAGTGTATGTGGCATCTAGTGTTGCTCCACTATCAAACTATTGGTGGCAGCTAGTGTGCTCCACTATCTCGCTCTGCTCGATAGTGTCTCTGCTCCTGGTTTGAGCCGCACACAATTTTTTTTTCTCCTTCAAATCGAGCTCATCTCAAAGATCATTTAGTAAGTGAGTCCTTCAATTTTTAACTTTTGGTATCAAATGTCTGGGTTTGCTTCATTATTTGGCAATGTTGAAAGCCAAAATGACCTGTCTGTGGAAAAGTTGTTCCAAAACGCAGCCGATGGGCCAATTTCGAAGGATCAAATAAGCTATAAACCTAGAACAATTGTAAATATTCCTAATCAAGGGAAGAGGAGATTTCAACAAGTGTCAGAAAATCAAGATGAAACTAAAGAAGAGGGACATTTGGAAGAGGGGGAGGATATTAAAGAGGATGATATTGAAGAGGAAGACAAGTCTCTTGATCATCATAAATCTAAGAAATCTAGAAAAAACCACGAAAATGATGATTTAGAAGCAAAATATTTTGAAAAAGTGATGAAAGATGATGAGGATGAAGAAGCCACACCACTGAAAGAAGAAAAAGAAGAAGAAGAAGAGGAAGCAAAAGAGATTTCTAAAACGGTGACAGAAGTTAACGAGAAACCCGTTTCCTCGTCTACTGCCGCCAGCGAGGCAGAAAAGGCAACTAGAACAATCTTTGTAGGAAATGTTCCAAGCCAGGTACTAAAATCGAAACCATTGTTTAAAGCATTTAAAAAAATATTCAAAGAGTATGGTAAAATCGAGTCCGTTAGGTTTCGGTCGATATCGTTTGCCGATAATCTTCCAAAAAAAGTCTCCTTTGTCAAGAAAAACTTGCATGAATCAAGAGATTCCGTTAACGCTTATATTGTATATGCTGAAGAAGAGCATTCACTCGAAGCATCAAAACAAGCAAATGGTACAGTTTTTGAAAGCCACCATTTAAGAGTCGACCATGTGACCCAATCGGCACCAAGGGACAACAAGAGGACAATTTTTGTAGGGAACTTGGACTTTGAAGAACAAGAAGAGAATTTGTGGAGATACTTTAATGAAAAATTGGACAATGACGTTAAGTCTGTAAGAATTGTGCGCGACCCCAAAACCAATTTGGGAAGGGGTTTTGCTTTGGTACAGTTTAAAGATTCTTTATCTGTGAATAAAGCGTTGATGTTGAACGATAAACCAATGGATATTATGGTACCAGGAGACAAGAAAAAAACACCGCGCAAATTACGTATAACGAGAACAAAGAATGATAAATCAAACGTTTCGAAAATTGGTGAAAAACTTGGAAACAAGAAAAATAATGGTGCTCGTGTCAAGGGACACGGCTCAAACATGCCCATTGAAGGTGAAAGAGCTAGAAAAGGTGCTAAAATCAAGGGTATAAAGGGGTTAAAGACGGGGAAGGTGAAGAAACCTAGAATAAGAGAACGGTCTACAAAATTTAAGAATGAGAGAAATTCAATGCAAAAGGAAGTTGAAGCTGGGAAAAAGTAGTTGATTAGCAGAAGCTAGGAAAAAGTAGTTGATAAGCAGAAGCTAGGAAATAGTAGTTGATAAGCAGAAGCTAGGAAATAGTAGTTGATAAGCTTTGTTGAGCTCAGTTGTGTAGTCAACCCCATCTAGCTTTTTCTTTTAATTCCTTTGTCATTGAGCAAAAATCAGTAGCAATTGTTTGTATTGTAAAGATGCTAATAATCAGTAGTGGCAGCTGGTGTGCTCCACTATCGAGCAGAGCGAGATAGTGTCGATAGCCCTATACAGCCACACATTGCCTTATATTTTTTCTTTTTTTCCCGTGAGCATAAGTCTCTTTATTACACTGAAGCGCAAACTCGATCTGTATATTCGCAACTGTCCCTAGTCAGTGTGCTCCACTATCGAGCGGAGCGAGATAGTGGAGCATTTTAACATCGCTATTCAAACCCGTGTCACTAGTCAGTGGGACTATCTCGCTTTGCTCGATAGTGGAGCATCTTAACATCGCTATTCAGTGTGCTCCACTATCTCGCTCTGCTCGATAGTGGTTAGTGTTGCCCGATAGTGTTCAGCGACTCAGCGATAACAGCAAACAATACCTTCAACTATTGCCGTAGATAATGCGCACAATAAACTTTCGCTTCTTGTGAGGTGGTTTTATTGCCTTATCTGTGGCGCGATAAAAAATATGGCAAGGGCGAAATACAATGTAGTGTTAATGTCGTACGGCTCGAAAACCACTTGTTGGCTTAAACTTTGTTTGGCCAATCTTATTCGGCGATTATTTGAGTAAAACCTGTTTCTATATTATAGCTCGCTTTTCCCACTCCCTTTGGACACAAGTTACCTTTTATTCTACAAGTTACCTTTTAGTCTCTCTCCAATAAGTTACCATCTCTTCTAGCTAACATGCAACTCTTTAGAAGTAAACCTGCTGACGCACAAGAGCCAGAAAGATCCGATACAACTGAAGTAGTCGATGAGGACTTTTCAGAATATTTCAAAGGCATTGAGTTGATTTCAACAGACAATGATGAAGTCAACCCAATTTCAAGCAGTTCGTTAGCCAATTGGGAGTCGAGTCTTCTTGCACAACCAAAGAATATTTTAGCAAGAAACGTCCTTTCGCAAACAGATATCGAGAAAGTAATTGCCAAGAGTGACCAAGCATCCAAGTTAAAAGACAGGTTCTTGTTCAATACTACGGTTAGCACAATTGGATCTCCTGCGTTCCAAAATAACCAGAAATCGTCAGGAAGGTGTTGGATATTTGCAGCGTCAAATGTTTTCCGTACCTCGGTGATTAAGAATTACAGTTTGAAGGAGGATGAGTTTCAAATCTCTCAAAGTTATTTGTTCTTTTACGACAAGCTTGAAAAGGCAAATTTCTTCTTGGACAATATCGAAGCTACTGCTGCCGATGAACCTTTGGATTCAAGATTGACCCAACATTTGTTACACGACCCAGTGGGCGACGGTGGTCAATGGGATATGATCATTAACTTGGTCAACAAATACGGTTTGGTTCCACATGAAGTATTCCCTGATAATTTCCAAACAACAAAGTCTGCTGGTCTCAACAAGTTTGTCACCAATAATTTGAGACACTATGCTTTGAAGCTTAGAGAGTTGGTTGTGAAAGGTGCCTCCAAATCGAGTATCAAGACATTTAAACAAGGAGCAGTTCAAGAGGTTTACAAGATATTGGCACTAACTATTGGTATACCACCAAAGCCATCAGACGAATTTGTTTGGGAGTTCTTGGATAAGGATGGCAAGTATAAGCATTTCAAGACAAATGCATTGGATTTCTATAAAACCCATGTCAAGTATGATGCAGCAGCGCATTTTTCGTTAATCCATGATCCCAGGAACAAGTATGATGAATTGTACACTGTTGACAAGTTGAACAATATCACAGGTGGTAAGCCGATTGAGTACGTTAACACAGAAATTGAAGAAATCAAGAATGTTGCCATCAAAATGTTAAAGGATAACGAGCCCATATTCTTTGGTTCAGATGTTGGTAAGTTTGGTGATAGAGTTACTGGTGTTTTAGATACTACTGCTTACGATTACCAGAGTGTTTTTGATGTCGATTCAAAACTCGACAAGGCTCAAAGGTTGGAAGTTGGTGCTTCACAAATGACCCATGCTATGGTTATTACTGGTGTTCACATTGACCCTAGCACCAACAAACCGGTTAGATGGAAAATTGAGAACTCATGGGGTGAAAATTCCGGTAATAAAGGATGGTATATGATGACCGATGAATGGTTTGATGAGTATGTTTATCAAATTGTTTCCAATAAAAAATATGTCACCAAGAAGACTTTTGACGTTTGGAAAGCTAAGGAGTTTAATGTTTTACCTTACTATGATCCAATGGGCTCGTTGGCCTAATAAGATCATACACCCAACGAATCCATTGGCCTAATAAGATTATACACCCAACAAATCCATTGGCTACTGCTGATGTTGTTATTGTTTGTAGTTGAAACTGTAAGCCATCTTTCTTATTAATCTTTTAATATGTATAAAAAAGCCCCTTAAAGCCCCTTAATAAATATGCGCGCTGTTGTCTTTAAGCTCTTGGTAAATGGGAATGGATGAAAAGACAGTGGTAAGCTAGAAAGGATGAAAAGATAGTGGTAACCTGGAAAGGATGGTTATCAAAAAGACCAAAGTGGGGCCGTTTCTTTGTAAAAGTATGAAAAATAAGCTGGTCTGGGAGTTTCAAGTAGAAACTTATTTCAAATTCAAAAGAACAGGATCTACCCCTCCCCCCAACGCAAACCTCAACCCTCTTCTAACAATAGTGGGTAAAATTATCATTATCATTTCATCCCCGACTCCTCTGAACAACATACGGCTTGAACCCCGACTGGTTTCTTTTGCTAGAACTGAAGAGAGTCGAATGTCAAGAGAGGGGGGGGGAAGGGGGTTCTACCAAAGAGTTGTTCATACATACGCTACCATATGTGTGTTCTTTTTGAAACATTCAAAGAAGTGAAAAATTATTAGGATAAGGGTAACCTTTGATTTTATTCACCAACTTGCAAGGGATAAGTTGAGCGCTATTCGTTCTAGAGGCACCTATTGAGAGGTGGTATGAGCCACAGGTATTGCCAATGACCTTGTCTAATCTGCTAAACACCCAAGACTTGCTTAGCTCAATTGAAGAGATCAAAACGAGATTCAAATCTTGTTCAACTCCCAATGAAATAAACAGCTTAATTGAAAGTATAGATTCAACCATTTCTCAGATTGACGCAAACTTGGTGAACTATACAACTTTGAATAAAAAGAGACTACAGCAGGGAATAAGCAATATAGAATCTATAGGAGCTAACAAACTATCATCAACCATTACCACCTCAACTGATCTTTCCAAGATTTTCACCACGGCTAATGAACTAGGCAACAAATTAACATACAAGATCAAGTCGCTAGATAAAGAGATTGGCAATGTAAATAAAACATTGAAGTACGTGGAGAATATACAGTTGCTAAAAAACAATATCAACCAGATAAATTACGTTATCAAGCATAAGAATTGGGAACTAGCTGCACGATGTATACATACAATTAATACCGAGATCCCAAAAGAATTGATCCTGGGAGAATACGCATCGGTAGTTATTCCATCAACAGACATTCCTGAATTGCCACAAGTTTGTATAGATGACTGGATTAAGCAACTTGCCGAAATATTTAGAAACGAGTTTAGCGAAGCTGCCAAACTGAGAAATGTCGAACAATTGACTAAATTTTTCCAATTGTTCCCCCTTATCAACCAAGAGGAAATTGGATTGAACTGTTATGCAAAATTCATATGTGAGATTATCAATGAATCCTCAAAGAATTTGACTTCAACTATAAACAATATCCACCTGAATGACTTGAAACCAGGGATTTTCTCTAGTATTACTATGCAATTGTTTGAAAATATTTCAATGATGCTTTCTCAACATGGGCCCTTGATAAAAAAATATTATATTCTGACTTACCCCAACGCGATGGTCTATGTTGTGAACAAGATCCAAAGAGAAATTGATCTACAAATTGGAATCATTGCTGATACTTTTTATGATGCACGAAGATTGGGTAAAGTTTTTCAAGATATTGAGTTGTACAATTTCCCTATACTATCGAAAAGAATACATGATATGCAACAAGATCGGCAAGATTTACTGGAAGTAATTAATGATGAAGCAATCAGTGATGAGTTCTTGCCTATTAGATCAATTGGAGACCTCATACTGGAACTATCTTCAATCTTACAAAGTTGGTCATTATATTGTAAATTTATAACAATAAAGTATTTCAATAAGCAGCAATTGCAGCATACCCAGGAATTGCAAGTTCCTGAAATCATAACGAAATCAAATTTCACAAAAAAGGTAAATGAGAGGCTATTACCATCGTTTGAGATCTTATACCATTTTTACTTTCGAAGATCATTGGAAAAGTCCATATCAATTGAAGAGTTGCCCTCTTTGGAACCATACCTCCAGGTCTCTCTGAAGAAAAAGTCAAAGTCGCCAGATCAACCGCCATGCTCTTCCGTAGTTGAAGATTTGACATTGATCTTGAACAGTACATTGAGAAACGTGATTAGTTCAGGATTCTCTCTTGCCGTCAAGAATTTCATAGTTGGGAGTTTCAGAATAGTACAGCAGGACTTGATAAATGGCTTTTTCATCAAGAACCTCAATGATAATCTGCCGAAATATAACCTGTCTTTGTCGTTGGTTAGTGAAGATGCTAAAAAGCACGGAGCAGAGCAAACAGCGGGCTCTCTTGGTGGTGGTCTCGCCAATTCTCGTGCCAAGTCAAGAAGCGGAACTCCTGAGCCACATGCTATCAGCAACGTCCATGGGGGGTTTTTCAAGGGGGCATCTAGTGCTTTTGAGAGCGTCGTTAGTGGATCTGGGGCTATTGTTGGAAGTTTACAAACAACTGCAGCTGGGAACAATCCCAGATTGATGAACTTTATAATTTACCTCAATAGTATTGGTGTTGCTCAAGAGTATTTCACAAAGATTATTCAAAACATACTTGGTGAGGGTGATGCTAAATCTCCCACTCTCATACAGAACAATTTCCCAATTGGTAAAGAGTCAGAAAAGATCAAATTGATTTTGAAACAAGACTTTTTGGAGCCATTCATTTCCATCACCACCAAGATCCTCAATGAGAGTTTTATTAACTTGTACAATCAATCTATCAAGCAAAAATTAATTATATTAATCAATGAATTGATTACAGAAACTTCAAACACAAGCTACATTTTAAACTCAACTAATCAAATTAATGATCCTTCAACTCTTATAAAGTTCAAATCCAATTGGTCATCGATTACAAAGCCGTATGCCCAAACTTTACATAAATCAATATGGAATAGATTGCTAAGGTTGATAATTGTGAATCTAGCCAATTTGATAGAGAGAAAATTACACTCGGCATTAAGGAAGTTCCAAATTAATGACATGGGTGCAATAAAGTTGGAAAAAGATTTGAGTTTTGTCATTAATGAAGTGTCACAGGATAACTATCATTTGAGAGAGAAATTTGTTAGATTGACTCAGATTGTTTTGTTGGTGGGTATGGATGACGATGAATATGAGGAAAGTAGTCAACCTGTATTGAATCATGTGTCTACAGAAAAGAAAAAAGGAGATGCTTGTAAAATCGAAACTGAAGCGAAGGGAGAAGATGATGAAGAGGAGGAGGAGGAGGGAGAAGAAGAAGAAGAAGAAGAAGAAGAGGAGGAGGAGGAGGAGGAGGAGGAACTAGGAGGTATTAATTGGGTATTGACTCCACAAGAGAGAAACCAAATTCGTCAATACAGAGTATAGTAGAAGGTGCCGCACCTATTTGGTGAAAATAAATAAATTAAAATAAAAAGAAAAGAACAGTAATTCATTAGCATTATTCATCTAGATACATTAGTTAAGTTTTATTGTAGCTTCAGCGCTGTCTTCGATCGCTGGTGTTGCCGGTTTTTCAACGACTTTAGTAGGATCAGGTCTAATCCTCAAATATAGATTATGATGATCAAATTTTGCATGAGTAAACTCACACTCTGCAGAGCCGGAAGGGCAAAAGCCAGCCAAGTATAAAGGACATATTATTCTCCTGACATGTCTGTTTTTGCACTTGGACCCTTCGGCACAAAATCCCGCGTTATAATTCATGCACTCTGGGATTTTCAGTTGTGGATCGACATGTAAATAGAGACATTCTGGAGTTTGTGTACAGTAGCCATTCTTGGTGTAGAATAGACATTCTGGCATCTTACGTAGATTGTACTCGTGAAGGAATTCGCAGTTATCTCCCTTTTTGCATAGGCCCCGAAGCCAATGTTTGCACACTAGTTTATTCTTGTACATTTGCGAAACGTGCTTATTGGGACAATTGGATCCATTTGGACATGATGTAGTTGGATACTGTGGGTTGTATAATGGACACACTGGTCTATCTGGATCGAGTCCAAAGTTGTACTCGTTTCGTAGAAAAGTTTCAAACTTGAACTTGTGATGGCGATTGTTGGGATGTATTAATGGGTGCAGATGTAGCATTGTGAGTCTTGTATACTAACTTGTTTCCGTTCTATAAGCAAGTATGTGTTACAACCAAGTTGTTTCCGTTCTATAAACAAGTGTATGTTACAACCAAGTTGTTTTTGTCTTATAAGCAAGCCTATCTTCCGAAACAGGTGGCGTTTAAGTTCAAGATGGTGATGGTTTGTAAATGTAGAGCTTATTAATTATCATCAAAAGGTTTTGAATAATTTCAATTTTTGTCACGTGACTCACTAGTTATTACAAATCAAATCGAACCCGTGTGTGTTGATACATCACGTGTTGTAGATTATACATTACGACACTAGCGAGCAAAGCGAGCTAGTGGAGCAGCACTGACGGCGTTTGATTATTATAATGCTTTTGAAACATCACAGTAGGATTTTGTTATAAGTAGTTTTGTTACTTGAGCAGGTAAGAGCAGAATGTAGAGAGTATCACTCGCAACACTATCGAGCGAAGCAAGATAGTGGAGCACCACTGACTAATGACACTAGCGAAGCAAGATAGTGGAGCACCACTGACTAGTGACACTAGCGAAGCTATCAAAATCTATAAATGATTAAAGTATCTTGCTACTCTTGTTTGTACCATAAAAAAATCCAATTGATACGTCACGTGATGCAGAACCTCTTTATCAATTGGATTAATGTGTCTTGCCTTCCAAATGATCAAGTTTAAGTGCCTTCCTTTACTTTGCTTATTTTTTTGGGAATAAGATTTGTTTGAGAGCTTTAAGCAGGTAATAAGACGATATATAAATCTACTCAATAGGGTATATGTATCAAACCCGTGTGTATCTAAATTAAAAGTGTGTTTCTATTAGACAAAAGTAGTGACTCTAGATTTCTCTAGATTCCTCCTAATTGTCCTCTGATGTATCTCTAAAAGAGATTCAATACATCCAGTACTTTTCTAAATCAGCAAGCAGTATATGGTATACAAGTGCTGTTCCACTATCTCGCTCGGCTTGATAGTGTCGATAGTGGTTAGGGCTTCACGTGCATTCTACTAGGGCATTAATCCATTTCGCCATATATATATTATCGTTACCCATCCACACGACCTCTCAACATTTAAAGGTTTTCTTGTTAGTACAACTTACAACTATTATGTAATATTTTACATAATCAACACAGCAGTGATGAGGTAATCCATATAGTAAATTTTTCGTGCTTAACGCTTTCTACACAGAGAGAGAGAGAGAGAGACAAGTTGACTCAGTGAGGGCTCTTTTACTTTGGTAGAGTGAAAAAAAAGTTGATTACACCAAATTTTCACTTTTGAAAATCATTATAACTTAATCAACTATCCACACCATATAGTACACAACAATGGCTGAATCCCACAGATGTATGTTCTATAATATGAAGGAGTTACCAGAGTTGTTGTTAGGAGCTGTGAGGACGGAGCAAGTGAAGGAGTGACTGGGCGACGGAATGGTATAGAAAAAGGAACAATATTAAATATCATTGCAAATCTAGGAGATAAAGAGATTTTGTCAAAATGTTGGATAGCTGAAAAAGGGCAAAGTGATTAACGAGTTAATTACATCACCCCATGTAAGCTAAGCTTTGTGCCTGCTACATTTAATATAGGCCTTGGAGCCCTGCCTACCCAACAGTATAGCATTTACAAGCTGTGAAACAAGATCCATTCTTCCATTCTTCCTTTCCGCCTTCTCCCCTTTCCCAAGCCACCACAACTTCTCCCACTTTTCCTCCGTCTCCTTCTTTTTGCTCTTTCCCTTTCCCTCCCCTGGGCTCCAATTTTCATTTTTTTTTTTTACATAAAGAAAACTTGTTTTACTAACTGCTTCTTATAGTATACGTCAAAGGTAAACACATCTCATACCAAAGGTCGAAGAGCGTCACCAACCCTAAAGTCTCATTGATCCAAATTGAAGGTGTTGCTTCTCCACAAGACGCAAAATTCTACTTGGGTAAAAGAATTGCTTATGTCTACAGAGCCTCAAAAGAAATCAGAGGTTCAAAAATCAGAGTCATTTGGGGTAAAATCGCTAGAACCCACGGTAACAATGGTTTAGTTAGAGCAAACTTCAAAAAGAATTTGCCACCAAAGACTTTTGGTGCTTCTGTTAGAGTCATGTTGTACCCATCAAACATTTAAGAATAAAGGAGAGACACAGTACACATTCAAGAATAAAATTTAAGTTATCAAGATGAATTCATGAATACCACTAAAATTCAAAATCATCCAAATACAAAAGAAAAAATAAAGAAAGCAAGAATAATACAACAGGTGGAAAAGTGTTTTGTCTATTTTTTTTTTAGTGCTCTATGCTTTTTCCACGGAGAGTAAGAGGTGAGTGTAATTATATAGTTTAACGACTGGGTAGTTTTTTTAATATAAAAAGCATTTTATATATTAGTTATTGCAGTGAAACAAATTTCAAGACTCGACTCCTTGTCATCATTGTCATTTACCACTATTAGTATTTACTTAAATGTGCTATTCGCTTTTGCTTTTGCTGTTGATGTGATGACTAGCTTCCTTACCAAAAACAACAGATTCCAATAAGGAACTACCGCCTAATCTGTTTCCTCCATGTAACCCACCACTTACCTCACCGATCGCGTACAAGTTCTCTATCGTATTTCCCTGTTTATCAATTACTCTAGCATGCTCATCAATCTTTATGCCTCCCATAGCAAAATGCAAGACTGGTGTGGTCAATCCAAAGTAAAATTGTTTACCAAAAGGACTACCGAATACCTTACGGCCATGGACGTCGCCATCACCACCATCTTTTGAGATGGCATTATTGTATTCTACAAAAGTCTTTGACACATCTTCAATTGTTAACGCTGTGTTTACGGGGTCAATCTTGTGTAATATCTCAAGCAAATCATTAACAGATCCCTTTTTCAATAATCCCTGAAACTCATAAAAATCAATGTGATTCTTGGCCTTTGGGTAGTCATCCTCACTAATTACTAATATAGATGCAAATGATCCTATAGGAAAGCCATACTCATTTTCTCTTTTTATCTCACAATTATGTAAAATAGCACTGGTGACAACATTCCTTGTACTCAATTCATCAGTAAACCGTGATCCTTGTGGTGATAACAATACTCCACCAATTCCTCTCATCACCTCGCCGCAAAGGAATTTCCATTTCGACGTAACATCCTTAAGATTGATAAACCCTGTGGGATGTACCTGAATTTGATCCATATGAATTAACTCTGCATCGACATCTCTTTCGGCTATTTTCTGGCCATCACCAGTTGTCTGTTGGCCATTTGAAGTAGGAAATTTCAATAAATCTGGTCTATACTTTTGAAGTAACGAAGTATCTAAAGACTGAAAGTCTGCCGAAAATCCTCCAGTAGCAAGGATTAAGTTGTCTCCAAAAATGGTATCAACTTTATCAGTTTTCAAATCCTTGTATTGGACTCCTTGAATTCTATGGTCCTCATACAAGATTTTTTCGAGTTGACTATTCTTCAAAATCGTCAATATCTCAGGAGTAGCTGATTGCAACTCCTCAATTTTTGTTGTAATACCCTTAATAATTGCAAAACCAGGCGGCAATTTTCCAGCCCCCTTATGAGTCCGGGCAAATGAGTGTCCTCCGAGTTGAGCCACCAGGGAAAGGTCAACTTGCAAATCTTTAGTCAACCATTCAATGGCACTGCTAGATTGTGTAGTTAACTTATCAACCAAAGCCACATTGGAGAGCCCCTTTCCTGATTTCAAAGTATCCTCTTTGAAAATCTCAACGGTATCGTCATTATGTTGGTAGATTGTAGGCACTCCATTAATACCAGATGATGCCTTGGCCGAGTTCCCGCCCAACTTATCGGTCTTCTCCAATAAGATAACTTTGTGATTTTGGGAGATCAATTCAAGCGTAGCCGTTAAACCCGCTAAACCAGACCCAATAACAATTGTTTTATCACTTGCAGGCGCCATAATAACTGGAACGTACTTGAAAATCGCTGTTTTCACTAATTGCAACACCTTGAGCTGACTCAAAACAAGATATACTCCAATGAGTAAGATAATTCTCTTCAAATTTCTTAAAAACAACTTGAACCAAACAATGAAGAACGAGAACAACCAAGAGTTATCAGCAGCTCCAAAGTTAATATATTCATATAGTAATACATTTTTGTTAATGAAATATAATTTTTCGTAACTAAAAGTTTCTAGTGCGTAAAAGAACACTCACCTCTTCCTCCTCTTTCCTAATAAGCCAAGTGATTTCGAATAAAATTGTTGCGTAATACAAACCGTGAGACTATCGAGCAAAGCGAGATAGTCTACATCTACTCAACAGCACTAGATCAGCGATAAACAGTTATGAAACCAGGACCCTCCCCCCAAAAAAAAAATGAAAGTATAAGGGCCTCTTACTAGATAGTGTCATTAGTCGGGTGCAAAATCGCTCTCGCTTTTTCCAGTCTAGGCCACTTTGTTGGGTGCAAAATCGCCTTTTCCAGTCTAGATCATTTAGTCGGGTGCAAAACCGCCATGTTTTCGGGCGACAGTTGAAAAGGAAATGGAAGCAAGAGAAAAAAAAAAAAAGAAAAATATAAAGATGCGCTCGTGTAATTCGTATAGTTTCAAACAATAATGGGAAAATTACTGAAATAGGTTACAAAATTAACATTTTGATACAAAACAGCTTCTCCCAAAGGGTATAATCCTGATATAGTTCCTTCATCTTCTTCTCTATATATTTTATTTCCCAACTTTTCCGTCTATTTTCTCACAAAATCATACATTCATATCATCATTTTCCCATTTTTCTTTATTGAATCTCCAATGCTTAGCTTCGCCTTGATCATATTTGGACTTCTTTAATGAGCCCAGTGGTGCATTGTGGATAGATAAGTTAGCCAAATTGGTCAAGTTGATAAATTCATCTGGTTGTATAACATTACTGTCGGTTTCGCCATTATCATCATTGTAATCGACAAGATCAAACCATCTTGTTTGCCATTTCGTTCCGGCTTCTCGTTCCTTCTTTCTCAATTCTCTTTGGTGGTTTTCAATTAGAGATTTCTCATAAGAAATCAAATTGTAATCGGATTTCTTAATTGCCTCAGCAACTTTTTGCCATGCTTTTCTCGATTCGAAATCTTGCTGTTCTTCAATTGGTTTCACCTTCAAATGTTCGGCTTTGGATGCTTTGGCATCGTAAAACAATGGTGAATGTTTGGAATTTGGCGTTGACCCTCCTTTGCCAATATACGATTTGCTAGACCATTGTCCGCTGATAGTTACCAATGCATTTTCTTTCGACGAGCTTGCTACTTGATCGCGGAATATTCTAGCCTTAAATGTATTTTTTTTACCCGTAACCCATCCTCTTCCACTATAATCTATCACTGCAAAGTATCCATTCGATGCCTGTATATAAGATGTACCTTCCAACTCAACAAAGGGTGCCGCTGTAATCAAGCCCTCAATATGTAATGGCGGCAACGTCACCAAATAATTTTCTTCCAAGTCCTTATAGTCCAACAAGGCATGCCCATATTGCTTAATATTAATTGAGGAGGTTGAAATGCTCGAGGTGATACCGTTATAGCCTTGTAATATGATATTGTGTTTAGGATTCTCAATAGCATAAGCAGTAACCGGAGGATGGTGGCTCACTTGTTCGCTCAATAAAAAGGTTTCTCCCAATTTTTCACTTTCCCATTTACCAACAAAAACTTCACCCAAAAATGGATTTAATGGTTTCTTTTCACTTCCCATACTTTCATTTCTCGAACAATATTGCGACTTCAAAGTAGATATGAACCATTTTGTAACCGCAATCATTCTTTTCAAGGACATTGCTTCGATTTCGTCATTATCCGCATGTGCCGTAGTTGTTAGTTCGTTTGGCGCAACAAGCAAGTCGGGATGTTCTGCCCAGTACTGAGAATACTCCACAAGCGAAGTTGGTGATAAAATGAATGGAGGTGCAGTTAAGGAGGATAAATCACCATTGAAGGAAGCAATTGATTTCAAAAACGAGGTCCATGAACCTGAACGAGCTGTTGTCGAAGCACTGGAAGGTGAAGAATCGGATGAAGAAGAAGAAGGCGAGCCCGTATCGGAGGCATTGGTGGTAGATGACATATTGGAGCCCCTGTTGGGTTTGGTTAAAGAGGGCAAAAAAAAAAAAAAAAAAAAAAAAAAAAAAAAAAAAAAAAAAAAAAAAAAAAANGCCCCTGTTGGGTTTGGTTAAAGAGGGCAAAAAAAAAAAAAAAAAAAAAAAAAGAACAAGAACAAGAACAAGAATAGAAAAACTAATACACCGACACAGGTTTAGTATCAGTATCAAACACAACCAAGCTATACTGAGAAAGGGTGGCGGTGCGATTAACGGTAGAAACTAGTAGGAAAGTGGTGTTTTTTTGGCACAAAGAATATTGTTAAATGGTATAATTTACCTGTAGGCTATGATACTTTTTCAATATTGAAATTTCTTGTACCCGCTGAAACTTTTTACTATTCCCTCTCCCTCCCAATCCTTCTCTTCTGCTTTCCCCTTAGATTTTCTTTTTTCCGTTGAGCGAGTGAACGAGCCAGAGTCGGCTCTATACGACCGACCTTTGGGCGAATACTACAAATATTTTTTTATAATTAGACCCTGTTACACTAGAAAATTACATCATAGATTAAGGAAGCAAACAAAATAAGGAGAGTAAAAAGTGGGAATAATAACCAAAAAAGGGCCTATATTCGGAACTACCGGAACTGCTTAAACATCAACTAGAAAGATCCGACTCGTCATTCAAACTTGAAAAAGTTCAGATTGTCTAGTAAAGTGCCCCCTTTCCTCCCCCTCCCCCCCC